AGCGAGTTCCCTGCGCATCCAAAGCCTCCTGGAGCTGGGCTACGCTTTTGGTCGTCCCACTGATGACGGTGGCCCTCGGGCTGTTGAGACAGGCGATGGTGCAAGGTGCTTCCTGGTGTGTTTGATGGCTTCGGATGAGTGCCTGTGTACTTTCTTTGGAGCCCAAGACAGCAAGCATCTCAAAGGCTCCTGCATCACACATCTTCTCCATGAGAAGAGCGCGGTGGCCAACAAGGTACAGCGCGTCGGCCAGTGAGAGCACACCAGCCACGTGCATGGCCGCATATTCGCCGAGTGAGTGGCCTATAACCATGGATGGCTCGACGCCGGCGTCCCTCCAGAAGGCGGCCAGCGCGAGCTCCAGGGTCAGCACAGCGAGCTGAGTCTGAGCCGCGCTCTTGTGCGCCAGGTCAACCCCCGGCGCCGCGGTGATGATGTCCGTGAAGGGCGGGAACCCGTGGTCTGCGCAAAGTCTTGCGCACAAATCAACCGTCTCACGGAACTTGGGGCTGATGCGATATAGCTCGCCACCCATGCCGGCGTACTCGGAGCCTTGGCCGGTGAAGATGAAGACGATGGGTGGTCGCTGGGGCACGGCTTTGGTGAGAGGCCGAGGTGTGGGAACGCCAGCATCGGCGTCATTGCATGCCAGGGCCGACTCCAGGGAGCTGATCAGCTCTTGTGTCGATTTTACGGTAAATGCGAACCGAAGGGGGTGCTGTATCCTCCTGGCCGTGGTGTAGGCGATGTCTTGGAGCCTCGCTCCGGGATTCGCGTGAAGCCATTGGAGAAGCCTCTCTTGATTGACGCGGTGTGATACATGTGATCTGGCGCTTGTCACAACAACGTGAGCGGGCCGAGGGTCAGGAATCTGGTTTCTTGTCTTGTGGTCTTGTAACAGGGCGGGTATGCCAGCCGGATCTTCAAGTAGCACGCACGCATTGCCGCCCTGTCGATGAGCGACGTCAGCACACCTGGGCACTCTCGCACAAGACACATCTAGTAAGCAGCACAAATTCGAAGACACATACCGCTGCATCAACGTTGTTAATCAGAATTCGGTTGGGCTTGGCAGGACACGAGCTGAAGTGGCCCGGTGTGAAAGGAATGTTGACGTTGAACTTGTCAAGTGCCGGGAAGTTGGAGTTCAAAGGGTGAGGTAGGCCGACTTGGGGAGGCATCAGCTGGTGTTGGAACATGAAGATACCCTTGATGAGGGAGGCAATTCCTGATGCCTGTGTCAGAAGTTAGAAGAATGACCTTTTTAACTGTGCAACCACACACTCAACTTACTGCTTCACTGTGCCCGATATTGGCTTTGACGGCCCCCACAGGCAGGAGCCCACCTTTTCGTCCCCGGCCTAGGGCTTGGGTAACAGCATTCATCTCGCATGCGTCGCCAATCGGGGTTGCGGTGCCGTGCATCTCGACATACGAGACATCGCTGGGCGTGAGACCCGCATCCCGCACGACCTTCCGGAATAGCTGCTGCTGGGCGTGGCTGTCTGGCGTTGTGATTGATGGTGCATTACCTGACTGGCTCATTGCTGTGCCGGCAATGACGCCCAGCACGTTGTCGTGATGGGCGACGGCATCCTCAAGGCGCTTCAGCACCACTGCTCCGACAAATTCACCGCGGCAGTACCCATCGGCGTCACTTCGGAACGTTTTGCAGTTGCCCGAGTTGGACAGAACGCCGGACTTCGACAGAGCACACCAGCCATGCGGGCTGGACATCACATTGGAGGCCCCTGCAACAACCATGTCGACCTCGCCAGCGAGGAGGGTCTGTGTTGCCAAATGCAGTATCGAGGTCGAGGTAGAACATGCCGAGTCGACTGACCAGGTCGGACCCTCCCACCCAAAGTGAAATGCCACACGGCCCGGGGCAAAGGCACGCTGGACAGTCTGCAAGGTGTACGCATCGCAGCCTTTCTCGCGGTGCGTCGTCATGTAGCCGTCTTCGTTGCTCTGCCCGTAAATAACCGCGATCCTGGCCGGGTCCATCTTTCTCGTACGGCCGTCCGCGAACCCTGCCATCTCGACAGCCTCATATGCTGCCATCTGGAATAGTCGACTGCATGGGTCCAGCAGCGTCGCCTCTCGTGGCGAGAGCCTGAAGAAGGGGGCATCAAAGTGGCCCGGGTCCTTGAGGAAACAGCCATACTCAGTTGATGACTTGCACGGGGACGTCTGTCCCCCATGTCCTGTTGCCGCAAATAATTCTTCGGCATTGAACCGACCCTCTGGGATCTTGCGCGCAGTATCCTCGGCATTCTTCAAAACTTCCCAGAACTGGCCGAGGCCATCAGATGAGGTACTGTTGGGGCCCCGTCCGCCCATCCCTACGATGGCAATTCGGCTGGGTGGTAAGTCTGCCTCACCGTTGCCTGCACAAGAGCCAGGCTTGTCTTGGATCAGTGTGACCTGTGCCCCCGCAACCTTCGCTTTGAGTGCACCGAGGACGTAGGGCAGGTGGCAAGTGGAGCCCATCACGCCAACTTCGACCTGACGGCACGCGCCTAGCTTGGAACACAGCCTGGTCGCCTCCTCCACTATGTCTACCGGACGGGAGAAGGCATGATCGACGACGACCCTCAGAAGGCTCCCCCAGGTGTCGTGGCTGGACGACATGTCGCCGTGCTGGGCATCCTCCAGCCCCCACAGCCTAAACCCTGGGATCAGGGGCGCACCAAGGAGGCCGGACGTCCCCAAGATGTGGTCGAAATCGGCGGACGACAACCTGCAGCTCGAATTATGCTGCAGGGTGAAGATGGGAAGCTCCATCCGCCCGGCACTACTCAGTCCAGGACACTGCTTCAGGCACAGCTCCATCACGGAAGGAGGGCCAACCACGGTGCTCCAACCATGACCGCGGATGCCAATTCGTACTGTCTTGTGCGCAGGAATATTCTGTGGGACACAAGGTTCAGACTAACTTTCCCGTGCAGTCTTCTGTTCCAAAAGAAAAAGGAACATGGTGGGATTGGGGATCGTTCTAGTGTAAAACTAACCATGGTTTTCTGGAACTCAATTAAACTTCTGTCAAGCTCGTCTGCCGAGATTCCCGTGATCGCCCAGCCCCAGGCGCGGCTGCTTTCTTCCACCGCCCTGGACCTTCTCAGCGCAAATGCGCAGTGGCGGCAGATCAATGCGGCCATCACGACACAAGCCTCGTAGAGATGGTCGAAATCCCGCGCCACCGCCAGCACTGACGCGTTGAAGAGGCCCCCCGAGATGCCCAGCGACTCGATTGTGCGACTCCTCAGGGCGTCCGGGTTCTGCTTGGCATATCTTCCCACAAAGGACATCAGCAATTTCTTCCGACCAAACCGGGCACTCGAGGACAACTCAAGTTGGGCCGTGTATTCCATCAGTCAGACTATGATGGCATTGGGGTAGCAAATACCGTAGTAGTGCAACTGCTCTCACGACATACGCCATGATAGCGTGCACAAAGCCAACCTTATCGCTCTCGTGACGATATAACTCAGCTACGTCCCGGAGGCTCACAAAGTTGCCTAGCCCGAGGCTGTCCCGTAAGGCTCCATCAAAGGCCCCAACCTCCACCCGGACGACTGATGCCACATCGTGGAGGAATGCCTGCATCCACCGATTTGAGGTGGACTCCTGATAAATCTCATTGATGGGCTCGAACCAGGGGTCAGAGAAATCCCCAAATAAAAAAACCGTGGCTGGCGCCAATGATGCGAACGAGCTCATCTTGCAATGGGATTGGCAACTTAGCCTAGAGTAAGGTTTTCAAGCGCATGCCTTATTGGTTTTGGGTTTTGCTTCCATCGTACATTTTGTAGCTGACTGTTGTACCTTCGCTCTTTGGTTATGGACTCATTGCATGCGCGTAAATGCATACCTCTATACATACAACAATGGTGATCAATACGTAGTTGCTTGAACAGTTTCCGGGCTTTCGAGCATTTTCCCGCCTACAACTTACTCTACCGACAGTCTATAGTGGGCCTCAAAAAGTCCTATACGACTCAGATATCCGCACCATCATCCCATAACAACAACTGTGAGTTTGTGTGCGTGAGTAGCTACAGTGGACCTCAAAATATCTTGTACGACTCAAAATATCTCGTACGACTCAAAGTTCTTATGCGTCTCAGACATCCGCACCACACCCCCATACTAACTGTGAGTGTGTGTGCGCGGGGGACTACAGTGGGCCTCAAAAAGTCTTGCACGACTCGGATGTCTGCACCACGTGTCGCGATGAGTGACCGCTACACTTGGCCACGCCGTGTTCCGCAAAAGGTACAGATTTTCAGAAGTGCAGTACATACGGCCATGCCGTCACACCTCATCCCTATTCTAACCACCTAGCTTTAACTAAGTATAACTTTAAAAGAGAATTTATTTAGAACTATTAACTTCTATTTAAAAAACTATAAGAAGTTATTAATTATTACTTTATATAAAACTAATATTTATATATATATATATATATATACTTAAATATTTATAATAAATTAATAACTATTAAGTTTTAAAATAATTTTTAATTTTAACTTATTTTTTTACTTAAAGGAAGTAATTATAATATATAAAAATATAAAATTAAATAGATAAATTAGTTAAATGCAATATATTATACGATTAGTCTTTTATTTACCTATATTAAAATATAACTGAGTAAGTACTTAGTAGTTAACGCTTTGAAGCCCTTAGAATTTACGGTTTGTCGAACCTTCCGGAAAGCCATGTACCTCGTGTTCTGTGCGGCTGACGAGATGGCAATGCGGCAATTGACTCGTGCCTTTCTTTCGCTGGGGTAGGGCTGAGCCTTCATACCCCATGTAATTTACCTCGGGACTTTTCAACGTGGTTGCCTTGAACGTATCAGCTGAAGCCGGTAGATACCATGAACGGTGGATAGTAGACTACAAATACCTACACCTTGAGTCAAAAGTGACGAATCAATGTTTCGAATCCATTGATCCCCTCACAACACCGAGGCTTCATCAACAAAGACCACCATGTCTAGTATCAACAATGAGCTCACCTCCGATCAGCAATACTGGTGGCAACTTGTCGAACCAGCGCTCTCGAGACTTCTGGCATACACCGGCAGGTATACGGCCGAGGAACAGGAAAGTCACAAGCGTTGGTACGCAACCAAAGTCACGTCAATCTTTGGACCGCGAGCCACAACGGAAAACCCAGACCTGAACCTCTTCACACACGACTCTGGTCCATGTCACATAAGCGTGAACTGGTCTGCCAAACGGAAGCCTGTGGTGCGCAGCGGCATGACCCGCCCACATGATGTTTTCAACAGCTCCTCCTTTGTTGATGAATTGCAACCCATGATAAGTACGTCCCACGCGGCGGACCAGACCGTGTTTGACGCGCTGGGTGAAGATCTGTTCTTGAAGGACCCTGAGGAGATTTCCAAGGTCAAGGCAGCGGTCCCTCCCGAACTGCATTCTCGTATACCCAACATTGCCATCGCGTGGGATCTGGATGGAGCTAAACGCAAGCTGAAGCTGTACGTCAACCCCCAGGGGAAGAAACTTGCGACAGGGCGAAGTGGAAACGACATTGTCATAAGCAGCATTCGCCGCTTGGACAGGTGCGGGTGCGACTTCAAGAGCTCAATGAATCTTGTCGAGCGCTACGTCACAGAGCTGAACCCAGAGAAACTTGACCTCATTATCATTGGCATGGACGCCGCCGATCCATCTCTACCGAATACCCGGATCAAGGTTAGTCCTGCTGCCTCCCCAAGCTTTCCAACCTTGGAACTGAGGCTATTCCTACTCAGCCCGTACTAAAGTTCGTGCGCAGCCCTACGGCATTGTGCCCGAAGCAAATTCATGGGAGGTCGCGAAGAATGTTTACACACTCGGAGGCCAGGTTGTCAACGAAGAGCGCATGAGAGGGCTCGACATTCTTAGCAGCATCTGGGATCTTCTCCGTTGCCACAGGGGAGAACGTCTGCCGGACGACTATCATAAGCCCTGTAATGATATGAGCTCGACCCGCGGCGTCCTGACCCCAAGCTTCGAAATGGTTTCCGGCCAGGCCGTTCCCGATGTCAAGATGTATTTGAGTCAGTGGCAGTTCGCGAAGACAGATCGCGAGATTGCTGAGTGTATTGTCGAAATCTTCAAGAGGTTAGGTTGGCAGAAGGAGGCAGATTCCTATTTCGACCTTTTGCTGGAAGCATTGTCAGTAGTCTCTCCATCAATCACCCTCTGCGAGAGAGACGCGCACGCTGTATGAACTAACACCTTGACAAGTCCCCAAGCCGATCTGGATGCGCCGCCTAATCTGCACGAATTCGTGTCATTCGTGTATACCGACGCAGCTGGTGTTGGTTTAACAGTATACTTTTCTCCATGCGGTAAGTCTATGAGACTCGCAGGTCGGGAAGACGGAAAGAAGGTGGGCGAAAAATTGTTTGAAGGCGAATATACGGGGTGGCCAGCACATCTGAGCGAGGGGAAAGGCCAGGAAATACGAGCAGAGGCCCTCTATACCTAAGTAGCTTAATAAACCACCCAACTACTACCTAAGTACACAACCACTTGACTGCCCCCTAGCACTATTATCCCCCACAGTGTGGTTGGATCTGTGGAACTGTCGACAGCATCATCCTGGAACCAGGTTTAGTACAGTGGAACCATCTGTTAAGACATCTGTTAAGATATTTGAGAGTCCAAAGATCTGCGATTCTACCATCAATCACATACTTAGAAGCAATGCGAACACCCTGTGAGTAAGACCGCCCGCCAAACTGATTGCTCCGTAACTTGAATGTCTTCTATCGATTTATTCAGAGGGTTGATTTTCGAGCCCTGAGCGCTGCAAAATCTGTGTATAATCCAAAGCAACTTGAAGCTATTGAGACGGCCACAACGAACCACTCCAATTCGAGATCATTCTGTCTGACATTACGCGTCTAGTTTGCTGGGCTCTGCGCAATTCCGTCTCAACTCCGTCTAATCAAGCTGGAATAGATTGATTGGTGTTGACTTTGCCTCTATGAGCCGCCTGACCGCCGGACCAATGAGTCAACAACAACCTAGAAGTCTGTCGAAGCTTTCGGATGCAGATGCGCGCGTTGGGCCAGATGCATGTGGGCAGCGAGTAAGACTTGCAGACTGCTATTCATATGCCGAGTCACAGGGTAAATTCTCATCCGCGAAGCTTGACTAGGTATTCGGAGACAACCGCGTGGCACGACGGCGGCCGCCTGTGCGAGATGACTAGTTTGAAGCTTATCCGGGGGTCAGGCCTTTGATTGCCCCTTCCGTGTGCCAGCAGTCGGTGAGAAGAACCGAGACCCAGGGGCGTTGACCTTTACCTTGATTGAGCTGCCGGGTGAAGGGCTAGGGCCTGTCAGTGACATAAAATAGCCCGTGCCTACCGACGTGGTAGCGACATGGCATCAGTTGTGACATATTGACAGGCCCTCACCTAGGTAGCAATTATTGCGAGGAAGCTTTCCGGCTTGGTAGTGTCCAAGTAACTTAATGGAACTATACACTTAGGTACAGTTGGGGCGATGTAACCAGCTCTTCAGAACCCGAAACAGCCCTCCAATTGCAACTCCGAAGTCTAACGGCTTATAGTATACCCTGGGAACCTTTCGGTTAAACTACGCGAAAACCACACCTTTCTCCAAGATTTGAACGACATACTCACAGGAGTCAGGACCAACAAGGCTGACAACTTTGAAATTCTTGCCTGGCCCTCTCGTAACACTAGAATAGCGAAAACCGGGGCGCTACTAGCCATGTCGGCACTGAGCAGAATATTTCACAGGGAAATTGTACTAGTCTGTGGCAGGTTGCTTGAGGCAGCGGCAGTTGCTGATGCCAGCAGGTCTTCCCTGCCGCTTCTACTCCTTCTCAAGCTCCGTATTGGTCGCGATCTCAGCGAGAAGATCAAGTTGGACATGCACATGGTGGTTCCGAACTTGTTGTAGTCCCTTGCGTCCACCTTCTTATCAGCCTGTGCCTGAGCTCTGCCCAACTCCCTGAATCCAGCATCGTCGACATGCATCCAATCCCAGTCGCGGAAGCCTCATCGTAGAAACGGGCTAGCTCTTGGGCGGCAAGGCCCGGGGGAAGGGCATTCGCGCCGCCCCCCCCCCCCCCGCCATCGACAACTCCCTGTTTTTCCGAGCTGCCATGGACGACAGATGGCCAGACTCCCAGAGAGGCCAATTTCTGTGTGTACTAGTAGAGCAGCTGGGCATGGGGAGACTTACTGTGTTGATCCTGAAAGATACATTGCATTGTCCTTCTGGGGCACTTACTAGGTAGTACAGATGTTCCGGCGTAATAGAAAGACTCAAAAATATACAAATAGTAGTCCCATGTAGAACAGCTGGGATCAAGGTCTCAGAACCGCACGTGGATGGAAATGCCTACTACTAGTACGTCGGGATGCAACCACATCTGGACTTCCTCACGGTAGTGACAACCCACGGCATGCCCGAACCCAGCCTCGGCACGCCGCCCTCCCCTGGACCCGGCATGTGCCCCGACAGCAGGGCCCGAACCATGGTACCAGCAGGCCGGCATGGACCGGCCACGCATGCGTGTCATCACCCGGCCGAGGTCTCGGGGTTGCCGCGTGGATGCCAACCAAACTCGCGCCCAAGCAGACATGCATGAGACCCCCGAGCCGTCCTCGTCGCTGGGCAAGTGGATAAAGACGCAAAAACATTTTTTTTTTCCTTCCTATTTTTTCCCTCACCTGAAACATCCTGCCAACGTGTCAGCCACTATTCATTCTTTAGCAGCAGCCTTGGTACCCAGGTGGAGCCGCCGATCAATTGGGACCGGGATTCCGTCCTAGAGCCGGCGGAAATTAGCGTCCGGCGGAGAAACGGTATTTGTCGGGACCGGGTTTTGAAAGCTATTCGGTACGGCCCGGCCTGGGAGTTTAGGCACACATGTATGTATGTACGGCCGTATTGACGTGGGCGGCTCGTGTGACATTCACACAATCTTACTTGTTCCCGAGGCTGGCGACCAAATTCCTAAGAACCGTGATTCTCACACGAGACCGGCCATGGCGGCGACAACGCACGAATCAGGACGGCGTCTAGAAGGGGTGCCAACCAACCAAAATTCTCAAAGGTTCGACGGTTCTTGCCACGGCAAACTCCAGTCCAGCACCTGGGCAGACAGGTGAGACGGAAGTGGGCCCGGGCCGGACGTGCTCTAGAAAACGGCGCCGACGAGCGGCAGATACCGCGGCCCCGCTCGGAGCTAGCGACCGTTGAACCTTGGTTAGAAAAATATGTTGGTGTTTCAGCTAGATCCGCATGTACCTAGGTAGGCAAAGAAGGGAGGAGGAAGAGGAGGAGGAGTGGGTTCGCTGTTAGTGTGCCCAAGTGCAGTAGTCGGTCCGGCCCAGGATGTCGTGCAGGACCCCTTCGACGCCCTTTTTTTTTTATTAACAGGGGTTCTCGCATATTATTCACCGCAGCTCCTACGCCGAGCACCCCGCGGGGCAAAGGGTCTCAACGGGGCCGCCGGGGCCGCCGACGGGCCCCTCATTTTGCGGACCCGACATCTTGGGTCTAAGGCAGACGGCCGGGGCGCAAGGGCCTCGATAACAGGGACGCTAGAGCAAGTGGTCTGTCTGTCTATGTGATAGTGGGCTTGGTTGGATATGGATTCAAGAATTACTATTATTATTATTACTAGATTTATTTATGTTCCCGTAGTAAAAGGCCACACAACTTAATATTCTAGGTTATATGTTTAGCCCACCTTCAGAGGCTCTAGATGATTGCGCAGAACAGATGCCGAGCGCATCTCGATGTGCCTTGCAAAGTGGCGACTCCTTCTAGACCCTAGTCTACCAAGCTCGTACCAGCAGGTACGAGAGTCTAGGTGGTGGAGACGGAGGGGTGCCCCTCTGGCATAGTTTCATGCAGACGCTTGATCAAATGATAGTGTTCGATAATAGATAGTGCTCCGAGCGCAAGTTGCTTCGCGTCGGTATGAACTACGTGAATCACGATTCAACTCGGAGCCCGTGATCAGCGAACCCGGCAAACCATTCGGCAGCTTGCTTTGGCCAACCTGAGACTATCCCCAGTCCAAGTAAGTCGACTACTAATGGGTCAGTCGCAGGTTGGTCATCGCGCCGTCATTGATTGTCCCACGACATATTCATTCCCCCGCCGTGGCCGTGGCTAGGCCGGTACTGATGACCAAAAGCCTGCTGTCCCAGCTGTAGCTGTTGGCTAGGGAGTATTCCAGCTTGCGTTGCGTAATTGCCAGCCCCGGCTGGGTTCTGCGGATATGGGTTCTGCCGTGCCTCTGCCGCCATCTGCTGAGTGGCGTAGGGTTGTTGGTCATGGGTGATTTGGCCGTGGGGCATCGGGCTATGCGGCATTGGGCTATGAGGCATGGGACTGTGTGGCATCGGAGTTTGAGGCATCTGCGCAATGGTCTGGGGAACTGGCGTATGTGCCGCTGAGAGGTATCCCTCTCCACCGCTCATCTCAACGTCAGCTTCGGCATCAGCGTCGGCGTCAGCGTCGGCATCAGCATCCTCCCCTTCATCTGCGTCCTGCTCCGATTCTCGGTCTGAATCATCGGCAGATTGTTCCGAGGGGGTTCCGGCGATCGATGTCTTGGTCTCGCTGGTGGCTATGATTGTTGGCACAGCTGGACTTCGTGGCGTATTTCGTGGAAAGGGCACTTGAGAAAAGGTAGAGACGCTGGGCGACGATTGTTGCACGTGTGCCTGTTGGCCAGCCGGCGTGGGGGGCTGCGTCGTGGTGGTAGGTATTTGCGCAGACGACGGATCAAGAGGTCTCTGAGCAGCCAGGCCACTCGTTGCCCTTGAGGATACGATCACGTGTTTCCATCTGTCGATAGCGCTCGAGACCACGGTGTTTAGGTCTGAATGGCGATCCTCTAGGTTTAGTCCAACCACCCGACGGCCACTGACGCCCGCTTCCGCCGCAAGCTGTATCATCTTTTGGCTCATGCCCCAAGTCATTGGGTTGGCGACTTTGAACTCGCGTGGTTGCTGTAGTCGATTCAGATGATCGATCTGAGACTTGAGGTTGGTGTTCTCCTGCTCGAGCGAGTGTTGTGTCTCCTTCAACCTGTCCACCTCCTTCTGTTTCCTCCCTACGCTTCGTGCCAGCTCCAATATCCATAGTTCTTGCCGGCGCTGTGGGGAAAGCTGCTGCCACACGGAAAAGGCCGAGGTAAGATGCTCCGTGACTTGCCTCTCGAGGTTTTCAGCAGCTCGTTCTGCTTTTTGTACTGAGTCACGGGTGTTCTCTTGGAATGTTGCTGCTTGTGAAGGTGGGTAAGTCAGTTCTTCCATGATTGCCGTCGTTGCAGAAGCACAAGTGATCTTCCACTTTCGAAATTCTTCTCGAAAATAGGCCAGCAGTGCTTGATCCTGCTTCTCCCCAGGAGGAGTTATGGACCACGACGTTGGGGTTGGATGCTGCGTAGACGAGAACAATGTTGGTGGCGGCTCCAAGCATTGAAGACACAGGGCTGGGAAGTCTAGCGAGAGCGGATCGAAGTCGAACGGCATCGAATGCACATTCACCTGCTGCCTAGAATCCAAGTCAGTACCATGTCCCACCCGTTATCGGGGAGGAACGTCAAGTCGGCGTACTTTGCCGCTCTCCACGAGCTGAGGATTTCCCGCAGTGCCAGTTCTGCAGCCCTGGCTCGGTCGAGGGCGTCCTGGACTTTTTGCTTGACCTCGAAGGACGATTTGATCATCTGCCTGCTGTGTGCCCTTTGTGTATTTGCTTTCCGGACGGCATCCGCGCTCCCGCCTCCAACTTCTGCTTGAGGGATGTTGTTAATGACCCCGGTTGTCTCCCATGAGGCAATAAAGGGTGCTAAACCCTTGGTCAAGTCCGCTGCGGACCGTTTTTCCTTAGGCATACCTGGTGATTTTGCCGCTGGCGACTCAGCATCAGAAGCCTCCGGACTGCGTCTGGATCCGGCATGGCTGGCGGCGGGGTCTGAGCTAGCTCTCCTGCTGCCCTTGTGATGTCGCCGAGTGATGCCTCCCCGGATCTTCCGGATCTCCTCGACGTTGTGGATGCCATCGGGTGCCTTTGGGTTCCTCTCCTTGATGTACAGGTCAAGGTGTCGTCCAAGAGAAGACGAAGTGAAAGCCTGCCCGCAGTAAGGGCAATTCTTGTCCTTCGGAGCCTTGGTGGTTGTTTCGGCACTCAAGTTCGCTTCAGCCATCCTTGTTGAGGCACCCTGGCTGGCCCGAGTCGGAGAATTTAGGACTTCAGAACGGTGGGTCGTGGATTTCCGCCCGTTAGATCCAAACCGAGACGATATGACAGGTCTCTGGATGGTGGTGAGTTCGGTGCGATACAAGTCCCGCGAGTTGATAGACCACAGCCCCCGGGTACAAGGTAAACAATAAGAGGACGGCCTTGGGCGGGGGAGAAGGAGAGGAAGGCGGCAAACACGACGTTGCTGGGCGTATTAGGCAACGAAACCGGGCGATTTAAGCGCAAGGCCGCGGAGAAGCTCGGTGGTCCAGGGGAAGCTTGTTATGGGTCGATGTCGAGGTGACGGTCTAAAGACGCAGCCGGGCAAGAGAGGCAGGTCGGGATAACTGGTGACTTGATAAAAGCCTGCCGGCCAAGGCAGAGAGGGAGGCGATATCGATTGGCGTCGACCCTGGGAAATGTTGCTCGTCTCGCTTCTCGGAACCCCTACTCTTCATTGGGGCTGGGGGGGCCAGGCAGGGGGCCAAGTCCCGATGAGCTTCAAGAGCAAGACCGTGGAGCCGGGGCGGAGCCCAATTGACAGTCCGTGCCAGAACGTGGAGAAGATGTCAAGCAGCAACGACGGCACACCCAACCTGGCTGGTGCCGCCCAGGGCAGCAGGGCAGCAGGACCGAGTGGCTGGTTGTATGGAGCTGCACAGGGTGCTCGAGTGGATAGAGATGATGTGCAGGGAAGAGCTTGGTGGCGTCTGTTGTACACAGTAGCTCCGAGGGCCTCTTCCACATGAGGGAGGCAGAGGGCCAGAGGAGGGGGGGTGTGGGTGTGTGTATGTGTGCGCGGACAGGTGTCAGGGCGAGACCAGTGGTCGAGTGTCTAGGTTTCCACACATGGTCGTGGAAATAGACGCAGCACGGCAACGGCGAGCGGACAATTGATTGTGCATGCACACGAGACACTGTCCGTCCTGCCGCCGTGGACTTGCATTAACGGCAGCACGCAGTGTGCGGCGGTGATGTGACTGACGGCTGGAGGGGGCAGCGGCAGCGGCAGCCAAACTGCTCGGTCGACAAGAGGTGAGGTTGGCAGTGGGGGGGAGACGAGATGCATTGAGTGGCATTGTGACCGACCGACCGGCGAACGAGCCGCCCGAAAAAAGAAGCAGCAAATTGTGAGAGCACATCCTTGTTTGATTACTGTGTATCATTAGCGTCCTAATTAAATCCAGAAATCCAGAACAAACCACCCGAATGAGAGTTTCTCGTGAGGTCCAGATTGGGGCCTGGGCAGGTAGCAGTGGCCGGCAGCTGCTCCTGGCCAGTGTGCCAGTGTGCCAGTGTGAGAAACGGTATCACCCAGCTGTGTATGTCATGATGCCTGCGCGACGGTGACCCTCAAAAACTGGGTGACGACCACCACCTACCGTTCTTGCCCAACCCTACCAACACAGTAATAAGTACCGTACCGTACCAGCGTCGGAACGTCCACTTCGGGTTCGGGTGTGCATCTTGCAGCCCAAGCCCAAGGTCCCTAGCGCTGGCGAGGGAGCTTGGCCACTGCAGCTTCGCGCTAGCTAGGTAAGATGGCCTGGCAGCCTAGCAGCCTGGCTCTGGGAGGAAACTTGGACCGTTGAGTGGTTCGAAACGCCTCAGCGGGTGGGGGGCCTGGGGCCATCCAACGGTCAGAGCAGGGGTTGGGGGGCAGACCCACCAAAAGACAGGGGCAGGGGTAGACGATCTTGAAGGAGGAATGCAACACAATTCCTAACAAAACTCAATACATGCCCATGGCACGCGAGCCCATGATATGCCATGCTGTGCAGTGCAGTGCATAAGATACTGCTCGCAACCAGAGAAATCTCGAGGTTTAACAGCACACGGCAAAGCGAATCAAATCCGTCATCTCGCGAATTCAACACCCAAAATTGTCGCACTCAGCCGGTCGTCTCGAGCTGTGTGGCCCTCGCTCGCTCCCTTTCCTATCGGATGCCCGTGATGGGGATAGCACCATCCCATGTGGGCAACATGATAGGTAGCACGATCCACGCCCTAACCAGAACTTGCCTTGGTTGCTCACATGCAGGCCATATGGACCGCAGCTGACAGCTCATCTTTTCCCTCCGCCGCAGTGTGGCATCTCGAGCGTCGGAGCGTCGACTACCCAGGCATGAATGACATCGACTCCAGGCAGGCCCAGGCCACATTTCACGATGCGCAGTCTCTTCCCAGTTTCTTCGGCATCGAATCTCATGTCGTCGCAGCCCGCGGGGCCCAGGACGCAGTGCTCTCTCACCGTCTGAACCCTCCATTGGTCACAGAGCCAGCGACAGACCCTCTACACAGTACGCTCATGGCTCATAGCTCTGGTCGCCGGGGGGTGGGGTCTATTCACGATGGGGGCCCATCTGTCTTCGACCCTGCACTCTGTACAGCAGTCCCGCCCAGGGGCAGGGATGTAGGGCTCCCTGGAGTCCAGCATCCTCGAGAGGACCAGCAGTGACAGCAATACTGGTTATAAAAGACCAGGGTGAAAGTTAATGGCGGCTACACAGTACAGCCATCAAGTTGCATGAATTCATTTGCCCGGCCGAAGGAGGCGACGTTCTCCGCGGCATGTATCACAGTACATTGCCAGAAAGGACCGCAGCTACAACATGCTTCTGGTTGGCGACTCAGCACACACTGGCAGAGCGGATCCTCCCGCAACCCACAATGTGGCGCCCCTCAACCCGGTTGGCTTCCAAGGTTCCTGACTTCTCGTCGCCCACCCTGCCACCCTTCTGTCCTGGATTACTTCCTGCCTCAGATATCCACCACAACCGGGGAAAGATTCCTGCCACGCCTGCGGAGGGCCAAGTCAGCCAGTGCCTGCCGGAGCTCCTACGGGGGTTGAGCTCCCTTGAGCTCCCAGCGCCTTGGATGCTCGACATGGAGCACTGAGGCCTGAGGGAGCCTACTCCGTCCTGCCAGGATCAGGGAAGCAGACACGCCCGGTGTCAGTACCGTGTATGTATGCTTGCCGCTTGCCGCTTGCCCTCTGTGGACGAATACATGTCGATCGCTGAGTACTGCCTTCCATCGCAGCAAGGTACCAAGGAAACTCCACCCTTCCATCGCGAGGTTGCCACTCTTTGGTCGCGAAGATGCTGAACCCAGATGTGAGTCTCGGGCAGAAAACCAGAGATGACGTTCTGCTCGGATCGCTGGAAATAGCTGGTCTGCCTCGTGGCAACTGGTAGATCATCCCCGACTAGGCGAAGAAGCCCATTTCCTGGCATTCTAGAAGGGTAAGCGGCTTTCCAAAGATGGTCTGTCTCGCAAGACTGTGACCCCCAATGATCGCCCTTGATGAACACATCCGAAGTAAGCTTGAAAGGCGCGGCCCCGGTGGATTCCACTGGCGGGCCCCCCTGTCCGGTACGGGACTCACTGACAGCTGTCACTTGCACTCGGGCCCCCGTGTTAAAACTTGGTGGATGGGGACTGCAGCTGCACATCCTCCCCTGAACGATGGAAGGGACAGGGCGTGACAGGGTTTTTTTGGTCGCAGATCCTCACCTCATGTCGAGCACAATACCTGCTGACTCGGGATGGGATGCCACAAGCCACATGTGATCACATCTCACCTTTCGGTCTTCGTTAACCTCATGATGGAGGTGGCAGTGGAAAGTTTGACTGTCACACTCAACGTGGAAGAGGCCGCTTGTTACCTGCGCCTCTCTTTGTTTGGGAAACAGCCTAGACTGTTCCGCACCGCCGTGCATAGCCGCGGCTCACTCGTCTTCCCACAACAGCGGTAGCGATGAAATCTGTGGTATCTAGTCAGTGCCCTCTAGCAGTCCAAATTTCGGCCGAATGCCCAAATGGCGTCGGCCGTCCGCTGCGGGACGATCTTCGAGAGAGATTCAACCCCTGCCGGCCCGTGGATCAGTGGCCGGTTTGCCACTGCAGAGACGCATGGCTACTGAAAAGATGGATACAGCCAATTGGGCCCAACTCCCAGCAAGAAGAGAGACGCATCCCCGGGAGGAGATGGTGAAATGAGACCCTCAAGGTCGGAAACCTGCTCATTTGCAACGGGTGGGTCCCCCAGGAAGCACGGGGCAGGAGGAACGGTGAGGCAACGAGATTGGATTGTGTACGGCTTCATCTTGACACTCGCACGGCGTGCACTGCGGCTTTTATTAGCATGTGAAAGAGCATCAATTTGCAGCCAGAGACGAAGATGAAGCAATTTTGGTGGCGGGCGGCGTCCCGTCACCGCGACCGAAGGGACCCCGACCAGCCGAGGACGAGCTCCGTCGCCCTCCCGAACGCCCACATCCACTTGGTCTGGTGCTAGCCTGTGCCCAGCTCCATCCTAGCGAGCCCGCCATGCTCCACAGACTCCTTCGGCTCCGGATGTTGGGACGAGCGAGGGGGCCGGACGGTCATGGACGTGAGGACAAACTCGAAGGCTCACAGCCTAGAACTTTGTGGACTTGCCTCGCTTTTGAACACTCGAGCCAGGTGTGACGGCCCTGCCGTGATCGCCAGCTAATAATTCGTACCGCAGGGTCCATCACGCGGTAATCAGAAGACTATTGCGTGATAGGAATGTTCTACACAATAATTGCAGGCGGTGATCTCTTTCACGGCACGCTTGAAGTTGTAGCCCGACGCGGGCGCGTGTTGTTGTATGCGAGCTACTGTAAACAAATCGCATTAGACCGATTCCCACAGTACATGGGTTCTCGCGAGAAACAGCCAAAAAAAAAGATAGGAATAATACAAAATCTTAATCAAGATTTTGCTGCAGGTTTCTCATCCAATATGCAGGCCCTCTATCTCAAATGCAACAGTGATGAGTACGTACTGTGGCAGCCATCGCCAGTAACAAAATGGCAGGAACCCTGTAACCTTCTTATCTCTTATCGTCTTGAGTGCTTAGCTAATCAGGCGCTTCCCCGTCCCCAGCCTCCGCCAACTTGCAGTGCTGTGTGAGCTTGGCGCGTCGGCGGGCGGCAGCTTCCCAGCTCTCACGCCCAGCTCCGCGTCACGGCTTGACCTCACTCCGCACCGCCTCTCCGGTCGCAATTCTTGCCGGCAGCACACCGATCTTGGCCGAGGCCATCACCAGCTGGGACTTTCCTCCCTACCCTCCCAAGCGCCCATCAGCGTCATCAATCTGCGACCATGCCTCCAGGTAAGCGCGGCGCAAACCGACAACCCATTTAGCTCATACACTTTGGAAGCGCGTCACCCGCGCGACGAGGCTGCCATTGGCAGGCGTTCGTCACCCCACACTGGCTAAACAACATGCTTCTACAGCTATCAGTGATGACGAAAACTCCGACAGCGGCGATTTTGCCGTGACAAGCGATATCCTGCCCCCGAAGAAGGTTGGCCGCGGGCGCAAACCGATCAAGAAGGAGGAGGAGGAGGAGGAGGTCTCGGAGGACGACGATGGCCCAGACACCAAGATGACAAACGGAGGCGCCGACGAGGATGACGGAGAAGACGAGGATGAGGAAGAAGACCTGGACGAGGATGAGTGAGACAGCCCGGACCTCTTCAGATTGATCGACGCGTGCCACTGACCAGTGTGCAGGTACGTGGTCGAAAAGATCTTTTCCCACTACATTGCCGACGACGTGCGTGTCCCTCCGATGACCTTCCTCGGTATCTTCCCCACTTACATATCGTACAGGGTGAGCCACGCTTCGAGGTGAAGTGGGAAGGCTACGCGAAGAAGTCCGACCGGACATGGGAAACAGAAGAGAACCTCCAGTGTGTAACGCCCCGGCCGAGCCCAATTATATAAGAAAGCTAGCTGACAGCACCCATTCCCAAACTCCAGAGAGAACGCCGCCGAGATCCTACACGAGTACTTTAAGAGCGTCGGCGGCCGGGAGCAGATCTTCGAGCAGACCGCCAGCGCGCTGAAGGGCAGGAAGCGAGGCCGGCAGTCCAACTCGGCCACGCCAGCAGAGAAACGGCCCCGCAAGAACGGGAACACCAGCAGTCACCCGGCGGACTCGACGCCGCCCGCGACCGCCCGGCAGGCGGCCGAGTGGAAGCCGCCGAGCGGCAGCTGGGACGAGGAGGTCGAGACCGTGGACATGTGCCAGGACGAGGAGAACGGCACCTTCATCGTCTACCTGACGTGGAAGAACGGCAAGAAGACGCAGCACCCCAAGGAGGTTGTCTATAGGAGGTGCCCACAGAAGGTAAGGTCCACAGCGACCAAGCAGCAGGGTTCGAGGCTCTGGGATTGGGGGCTTGGCAGCGCTGACATTTGGTTTCGGTAGATGCTCCGCTTCTACGAGCGCCACATCCGGATCTCCCGCGATGGAGGCTCCCCCGTGGCCATTGGCAGCATGACCCAATGATCGACGACATCCCCCCATGCATGCACGACGGGACAGGAAGGGACAAATGCGGGCGCAGAAGACATACTCACTTGTTACTTGGTCTGCGGAGTTTGACGTGGAATCTCTTTTTTTTTTTTTTTGCGTGCGTGTGTCTGTTTTCGGGTCGATGCGACAAAGAAGCACAAACGAATGCGCGTGTAAATTCCAGGGGCAAAAGCATCCGCCTTGCGTTGGAACCGGAGCACTGTGAGGCTGGCTTATCGTGATTTTATGGCAAGTTTTCCGATCCATCCACGAGTGGGATTGGAGATGTCGAGGCGGACAGCGCCGCTCACATGCATATCGACCTTGGGGACTGCCAGTATTGATCATTTCCTAAGGTTGCTTTCTTGTCGTTCTAGGAATCCGGAAGAGGGAGTGAAACCAGCAGTGCTATTCTGATATGATCCTTCCGTTGCAAGAACGGTGCCCGGACTTTTCCTGTTTGCCGGTGACGGACGCCTTGAAATATCTAGTGTGTTCATCTCGAAAAGGGCCGAGAAAGAGGCGTGTTCGTGAGACACCCGGCCCTCTCATACGCCATTGCAGTTGATATTGTCTGATGAATCATTGATGAGTGTTAAAGGCGTGTTTGGAGCAATTTCTCCCCTCGGACGCCGAATGAAGGGCGAATGGAATCGAGGTTTGCCGGAGGTCTTCTGAGCAGACCGTCCCTAGTAGTAGCAAAACAGGACAGCATCGATCCAGTCTAATCTACCGCATACATTCAACTGGACACAACACAATGCGTCCAGCAAGCTGACTAGCACAGATCAACGGACTGACCTAGGTATACTTGGCCAAGTCTTATGAGAACATCGTCGGTGTAGCATGATTCCGAACTCCGCCAGGCATTGCCTTAATTCAGACGACAGAGTAAGCGCTAGACACCTGGGCATGAAGCTGAAAGAGGATCAAAGTTGGTGCATCATCAATTCAACAGGGAACTTTTGCAACGGATGTCTCGGACTAGCCCCGCTTGCCAAAGTCGCAACATGAGGCCCACAGCCAAGCACTAGCAGATGACCAGGTATGGGGCCTTGACTGACGGTGTAGTATTTAAACCTCGCAACCTCGGCCTGGGTTTCAAGTCTGCGGGGGAGTCGACGACCTATACACCATCACCGCCACCAGGAACGAGCTAAACACCTTGGAATAAAGCAGACATGGCGCAGACTAACGGCACCTACGACCCCAAATTTGAGGGTGTCTTTGCGAAGTTCAAGGAGTCCCTCGAGTCCGGGCAGGAGGTGGGGGCCTCACTCACAGTCACCATCGACGGCAAGGATGTTGTAAACCTGTGGGGGGGCTTCACATCCGCCGAAAAGACCCAGCCGTGGAAGGAAGACACCATCGTCAACGTCTTCTCGACCACGAAGACCATCTCCGCGCTCGCCGTGCTGATGCTCATCAACGACGGCCAGCTGTCCGCAAACGACAAGGTCGCCAAGTACTGGCCCGAGTTCGCCGCCAACGGCAAGCAGGACGTCGAGGTCCGGCACCTGCTGGCGCACTCGTCAGGGCTCGCGGTCTTCGACGAGCCCACGACGCAGGCGCAGCTGTGCGACGTCGCCTTCGCCACGGCGCGGCTCGCGGGCCAGGCGCCCCGGTGGGAGCCCGGCACGGCGTCCGGGTACCACGCCATGACGTACGGGTTCCTGCTGGGCGAGGTGGTGCGCCGCGTGACGGGGCTGAGCCTGACCGAGTTCGTGGCGCAGCGGATCGCGGGCCCCCTGGGCGCCGACTTCCAGATCGGGGCCAGGGAGGAGGACTGGCCGCGCGTCGCGGAGCTGATCCCGCCGCCGGGGCTCCCGCTGACGGCGATGGAGGGCCTCGACCCGGACTCCCTGGCGGCCAAGATGATGAACCCGGCGTTCGATGCCACGTTCGCGCACACGCCGCTCTGGCGGCGGGCCGAGATCGGCGCCGCCAACGGGCACACCAACGCGCAGGCGCTCGCGCGCATCTGGTCCAAGGCGCTCACGGTGTCGGACGAGGGCAAGAGGGTGCTGTCCAAGGACACGGTCGACCTCATCTTCACGGAGCAGACGTACGGGACGGACCTGTCCTTCGGGATGCCCTGCCGCTACGGGGTCGGCATGGGCATCAGGGGCAACGGGGACGCCCTCGTCGACTCGTGGGTCCCCGAGGGCCGGGTCTGCTTCTGGGGGGGCTGGGGCGGCTCGCTGGTCATCAACGACGTGGACCGGAACATGACGATCGCGTATGCGATGAACAAGATGGAGCAGGAGATCGCGGGGAACACATCGATCAGGGCCTACGTTGGGGAGATCTACAAAGCTCTCGGGATTCCTGTCGGTGCCAAGTTGTGAGGATATATATTATAATGCATATAGCGGCATCAAATAACCACAAAGCCACCGATCGAAATGGCCCAGCCTGAATATTCGTCCTTTGAATAAACCTGCTCCTAAGTCTAGAATAGCTGTGAGGGTAGATCGTAACTATACGTATAGTAAGTGGTTTCGCTTCCATTCCGTCTACATCCGAGATACATATAGTAAAAGAGTACTAATTCTAAACAAGCCTTTTTAATGGAGTTTCAACTTAATCAAACTTATTTAATATAAAACAAGCACCTATAGTATTATAACTATAGTTATCGACACTGTGTCTTTTTCAAGCGCTGGGTCTTAAGCGCTTACCACCATATGAATGCGCCATGTATGTCCTCGGACGTATATGGAATTGAAGCGAAACCAGATAATTAAACATCAATCAGTAGGTGAAGCCTTACTCCTCAAGCGATCCCAGCCATTAGGGCAATTATCTAGTAGTATTGTAGTGTAGATCATCTACATTATCTCCACCAGTACAGCAACTATATCAGCAGACGGTACAAATATCTCCAAACAATATTGATCGGTACTTCTTCTAGTCTATATGAAGAGCCTCTTCCCTCCAAATGCTTTCTTGTTCCATGCGATTCTTTTCTCCGGAGGTGACACAAGCTTGAAGACGATATACCCATTCTCCTCCATCGGCAACACATCAGCTATCTGCACTCGCAAGTCCTTGCACATACGCGACCTATCAGCGCCACCTAGGGCTGATCCACAAGAACTCACTGAATCCGGAAAGTAGGGGTTGTCTCGTGTTAATGAACTTGCAAACCCAAGCAAATCTGGACCAGTGATCCAAGCACGAAGGCAGAGCCCTGCTATAGCTAGAATCTGAAGGAAGGAGCTGACAAGCAGCAGAGTAGCACACCAACGACGGTCAGCTCGGTAGATAACACGGGTGTCCGAGGCAGTGGCTTGCGTAGTGTTGTAGAAAGGCTCAGTCCCATCCTTAGAAGACGAATCCGTCTGCGTAACGGAAGAGGAGATGGCAGTGGTTACGTTGAGCAGATTCAAGGAAACCAGGAAGATGGTGTTCAACAGTGTTGTCATCCGCCGGGAGAACTGAATCATGTTGGAGGCATCGCGACCCCAGTCACGAATTCTGTGGCTTACAAAGAGGGCGTCGTCGCCTGCGAGGAAGTTGTCTGTAGCCGAAGCGCCTTCTATTATATCGGGTATACCAGCCGCGGTTGGCCAAAAGGCTAACATATTCGCGACTGTTGGTGGGGTCATGCTCCAAGGCAGGATCTGGAAGAGCTCAGGGTCCATGTGTTCGTTCTCCCCGCCAGGATAGAGGGATACGTCGGATCTCTCTTCTCGTTGCCGCAATCGCCTCGCACCGCAGCCAGTTGCAGGAAATGGGCCACAATGAGACTCTACCTCAACCGGTATGCGCCGAAGTATACATTCGAAGTGAGTCAAATTGGCCGGCATCTGCCCGCGTGGGTGCTGGGTCACGTCCCGGCTGTCATAGTTGAGTCGATGTCCCGATTGTTCCGTGTTTACGAACCAGGACATTGGTTCGCCACGCTCCGTGTAGTTCTGGAAAGAGGAATTGAACGAACTCCGGTCAGAGGGACCTTGTGCCAAGTCCCCGTATTGATGACCAGCCACCCTTTCGCATTCTTAGTCGACATATGAAGTGTTGACACCGAAGCGCAGTTGCCGCCCAGGAACATCTGGTGTTTTTCCCCTGATGTCAAGTCCAAGAAGAGATGCATAATCTTCAGCATGCTGGAGATCTGCCTGAGATACATCGTACCACTTCATGGTAGAATTGCCGACCATGGCTTGGGCCAGCTTTGGTAGCTGTGGTATTTTAGGTCGGCTCCAGAGATCGGTGAGGTCCGCACGCTGGGAAGGTGCGGAGAGAAGCAGGCCTGAGTAAATAGTAGACATCGCGTTGGAGTTATCGGCCGATTCAGACGCTGAAGTGAAGCTTGACGACTGGTATTCCGGGTTCGCGAAGAAAACATTAAGCTCTGTCTCAAATGAATCATGACCGTGACTGAGAAGCCGTAGTGAGCTTTGGCCGCCAATAGGGGACAAGGCCCAAGTTACTATGATCATGGTAGATATCCAGTGTTTACTACGGACAGTAAATGCCCTTTGTACTGCTCCTGGGAAACTCTGACTGCCAGAGATTTGCTCCAGGGTCCCCAGCTTTATTCCGTTGGGCCGTTCGAGGTGCCACCGGGACATGTTCTGAAAAAAGCGCCCAGCAATAGCGGCAAAGGCGATAGGGAAAAGTGTTGGCCCTAGGCGAGTAGCCGCAAGGATTCTTTCTCCCAAGTCGGAGCGAGGCTGATGGTCTAACTGCAGTGCAATAGCTGCAATACCTTGTATGAACACCAAGGTTAGCTAGAATCAAGGCAGGATAAGAGGGGCAGATATGTCAACTGGGTACGGTGGTCATACCAATGAAGAGGAGCGGTATAATTGTTAGTACAATATCGAAAAACCAAGCAAGACACCAAGGAAAATCTCTCTGGATAGTGGTTCGAGGTTCGAGAGGGAAGACGTTTAGTATCAGCCTCTCCAGCTGTGGACTTTTGGCTGTCCGAAGCCAATGTTGGCTTATTGCCATTGTCTGTGAAGGCAAGGTGGCCAACTTCTCCTGAAGATTCATGGCTACGTATCGAATTATCTGACCCAGGCGCATTTGAAGGTGTAAGCTGTAGGGAGTCGAGTGACATGGATCTTATCCTCCCTGACATTTCGAGGCCGCTCTGTGGTTCCCCGGGGATTTCGGGCGTGAGCTCAGGGGGGGACAGTGCTGGTACATCGCTGTATTCTTCCCCTCTGCTCGGCCCATCCCCTATTCGCTCATACGCAGTAGAGGACTGCATCACGCCGGGAGTTGAATCTTCAGTCTTGGGCTACCATATGATTGCTTCCGCACGCCGAGAAGGGGGAAAGAAAATGGAATGCGTTATTTCGAAATCAGGCTCGTCCCCTTTTATTCTAGGGCAGGCAGGCAACCATCCACTGCATGCGAAGATCGCTCTTGCGCCACGCCACACATGAGCCCCTCACTTGCTTTAATCCCTGTCTGGCATTGGGGGCGGAATGCGCTGCGCCAGAGCAATTTTCATGATGCTATGGCATCCGCCACATGAGCCAACTGTGACAGGTAACGAACGGGCCGGGTCAAGAGACTTTACATGGGCACAGAAAAGAATTTGTGTGCCGGTTTAGTTTCATTTTCTCAAATAGTGGATCGAGGATTCTTGAGCATTTGGGTACTATGGGAGAACACCTCATTGCCCAGGTGCCTACCTCATTTTGCCTGAGGCGCAGCCAGCCCTCTGACGGCACGCACCACCTGTAGACTTGCCAGTAGGGCTTTACCACCTCGACTGTCACTGGCGTCTAGCCATTGCGACTGGAGATGACTGGTTTCGTCCTTAATCTGTATACATGGCGAAGGTGTAGCCAGTCTCCCCGTCTGCCCATCGCGGGTTGGGACCACGCCGGTGACATCTTCAACATCAGGACCAAGGACAGGGATGGTCAGCCCGGGACAAGTAGCGTCAGCACACTTGAGATGTCAATTGGGCTTTACGGCACGAGGGCTCGAAGTTTGCACCAAATAGTGTGGATTTAACGAGTAGGGTTGCCTAAGGAAAACGAGAAGAAAGGAAAGTTGCCCTCGGGTCGGGCTTCGGGGCGAGAGGTGATGGTGTGGCCGCCTTATCGATAAGGGGACCTGTAGGGACCCCTGCAGGGACCACCTGCCACCTTGACCCCTGGCCCTTACTACATACACACTCTGCTCATCGGCAAGAACAACTTCAGACACGGGAGGAAACGGCACAGAAATCTTCTCTTCATCTTTTCATGTAATCCGACTCGTCCCTTTGCAATGTGCTGACAGAGGATGCAGATGCAGCGCAGTTCCAGGGCGCCATCAAATAGGTTTTGGGCATCCAGATCCACGAAAACAAGGAAACACGCTCCCGTCGCAAAGAGAACTGAAATAAAGCCGGAGGCGGAATTTGTGGCGCTCTCTTCCCGCGGCTGCTGCACCCAAATCCGGTAACCGAGAACACTCCGACAATGGAACAACAAGGCAGAGGAGGCAGAGGAAAGAGCTGCGGAGAGATTAATTCGGTACCGCAATCTGACGCACGCATCGCGGGCCTCCCCATATCTCCTCAACCACAACAAAGGGCGCAACCAACCTCTGGCTGGCCGGAAACGGCGGCATAGATGGGGCATTCAAAACAGGGCCAGGAACGGCACGGAGACCAAGTATGCTGCCTTGCTTTTAGATTGAGAATCTTCTCCTGCTGAAAGACTTCGGGGTCTTCAGAATTCTGGCTTCGCCTTCATCTGTCAACCGGCGTGTGCTCCCTTGGGTCTCGGGACTTTGCAACAGCGCCTCACCAGCAAGTATCAGCCTTCTGGACGACATCTGGAGGCCACGAGGGCTGAGCGGATAACAAGGCCGCTTTTCCAAGATGTCACGACAACTGACCGTGGACCAGGTCCAGCAGCACAATGACCAGTTGGGTACATTTGACAAATGGGCGATTATCCATGGCGAGGTCTACCGCCTCGCGTTGCTCCCATTCCACGATCGTAAGAAGTCCCGTCGGCCATTTCCAAGCGCCCCAAGACAAACCCCCATGAAGTGCATTGGCTAAACTTGAATGTGAAACAATAGTCAGTATGCCAGGTAGTGCAGTGATGGAATACTTGAACCGTTGGACAATCCCGGACGTAACTGCTTTTTTCCCCGTGAATATTGGGGAAAATGACGGTGACTGGCAGAAGGTGAGGAATTCTGTTGATGCCCGTGTTGGCACGATTGTCCAGGCGCCGCCGGTAGGAGCACCACCTCAGGCCCCACAAGGACAGCCTCAAGCACCCCCTCCAGCACCACCTCAAGGAACGCCTCAAGTCCCGCAAGGAACGCCTCAAATCCCGCAAGGAACGCCTCAAATCCCGCGAGGAACGCCTCAAATCCCGCAAGGAACGCCTCACAGCCAGGCATCAGTGCAGAGTCCGCCAGGGCGCGATGAGCCGCCCCAGAACCAGGAGACAGACGCGCAGCGCGAGGCCAGAGAAAGGGCCGCCGAGATACAGCGCCGCCGGGATGAGGCGCGCACCAGGAGGCTCCGCAAGGCGTACAACCCGCTGCGGGCGGACCCGGACGACGCGGGCGAGTACCCGGCGGACGCGGTGGCCATGGGCTACCTGCCGGACCTGGACGGGCGGCGGTGGCGCGAGAGGCGCATGCGGCTGCGGCGCTTCATCGAGTTCATCGACGGCCAAAACATCGACGACGCCGACGTCAGCCACGACACCGCCCAGTACCTCGACCTGGACTTTGCCCGCGAGATCGTGTACAAGAGGCACCTCCGCGGCGGCGAGAAGAGGTTCTGCACGGGGCCCTTCCGCCGCAGGAGGCCGCCGCCGCGCCGCGACCAGGTCCGCCGGAAGCCCGGCCTGCCCCAGGGCCCCTTTGGGCCGCCGCCGCCGTCCGCTCCGGACTCGGACGACGACGGCGGTGACGACGGCGGTGACGAGGGCTTCCAGGTACAGGAACTTCCCTCGCAGGGAGGCACGGACGGGCGCGCACGGCCATGGGCGCCCTCTACATCCGACTTCAGGACCGTCGGGCTGAATGGGCAGCCAACGCCGCCGAGGTCGCCTGGGGATGTGGGTGGGCAGGACGGGCAGGAGGAGCCGCAGAGGCAGCCCACGCAGCCGCCGCCCCGCCCTCCCACTCAACCGGGCCAGTTGACCATGGAGCAAGAGCAGGAGGTGGCCAAGCAAAACCGACAAAGGGAGAAGGACGCGGCCGAGCAGAGGCTGGCAGAGCAGGCACGTCAGGCACAGGCTGCGTTCTGGGGCCAAGCAGACAATCCGGACCAGCCGGGGCAGCAGCAGGGAAAAGCGGCGGCAGCAATTGAACGAATGAGACGGCGGTCGCAAACCGCGGCAGAGCAGTCAACACCAACACCTGCACCTGTTCGAAGACGGAGCCAGGTCGAAGAAGACGATCGGACGAAGCGAGCGGACGTGCCCAGACAACCGGAGAGGAACGTGCGCAGACAACAGGAGAGGGACAGGAACGCGGGCAGGCTGAGAGAACTACAAAGGGTCCAGCGGGCCCGGCAAGCCGCTGAGATCCGCAGGGTTCGTGAGGCGGCCCAACGAGCCCAGCAGGCCCAGCAGGCCCAGCAGGCCCAGCAGGCCCAGCAGGCCCAGCAGGCCCAGCAAGCCCAGCAGGCCCAACAGTCCCAGCAGGCCCTCCATGCCCTACAGCAGGCCGAGCAGGCCCGCAGGGATCGTGAAGCCCAGCAAGCCCTACAAGCCCAGCAGGCCGAGCAGGACCGCAAGAACCGTGAGGCTGCGAACCAGAGCGCGGAACCGGCGGACGTGCAGCAGACGCGAGAAAGAATGGCGGAACAGGAGAGACAGGCCCGCGAGATCGTGGAACGCCAGAGGCAGGAGGAACTCAGACGACAAGAAGACGGCACAAAGCAGGCCAGCAGTGCGCCGACGGGCCCACCCCAGGATTATAATCCCACAAGCCCCGAGGCCTTGAGGAGGTTGCAGGAACAGAGTCAAGACACGCTCAGGCGGATGCGGCATGCAGAGATTGTGGCGGTGCGGGCCGCAGAAAGAGCGCGGGCACAAGAACGCATCCAAAGAGAACAGGACCTTGCCAACGCGCAAAGGGCCAGGGATGCTGCTGCTACCGCCGGCGCCGCCACCACTCCTTCTACCGTCACCTTTCGTCCTCCCTCTACTCCCTCCTCTTCTTCCACGGGGACGAGGCATTCAGACGAACATCAAGACCAACAAGAAGAAAGAGCGCGGGAACAAGAACACCTCCAAAGAGAACAGGATCTTGCCAACGCGCAAAGGGCTAGGGATGCTGCTGCCGCCGCCGCCGCCACCACCACACCTCATCCCACCACATCTACTCCCACCTCCGCTCCTCCCAAGGGGACGAGGAATTCGGGAAAATTTCAGGACCAAACTGAACGCATCATGTCGTTGAGGAGACTCAACATGTCACTAGAAGAGGCAAGAGATAGCATCGCCAGAGAGGACGGAGGGCTAGTAGACGTCAGAGGGAGGGTGGTCTACACGCTACCAACAGAAGCCGGTTCAAGCAATACCGGCACCGGTGGCCGCGCCAGCACGAGGACATCATCCAATCCACCCACGACCAGCACGCCCCAGCCTCCCACTACCATCACGCCCCAGCCTTCCACTACCAGCACGCCCCAGCCTCCCACCACCAGCACGACCAATACGCCCGAGACACAGAGAACCACGGGCAAGGTCAACACCCTACAGACTCCCGTAAAGACTCCCGTAAAGGCACCCGCCCCGGGGCCATCTGACGGTGACTCGCCCAGTAAGTCGAACACGCAGCAAGGACAGCAGCAGCAGACAGGCCCCCCCTCCCTCAACCCCTCCGACCCCCAGAGCTTTGACCACGGGGAATGGCTCCGCCACATCAACGATACCTGGGACGACGATGATGACGCCCGGAATGACCCAACGCCCGAAAACAATAATAACCAGCACCAGCAGCAACAACAGCAACAACAAGAGCAGCAGCAGCAGCAGCAACAACAAGAGCAGCAGCAGCAACAACAACAACAAGAGCAGCAGCAGCAACAGCAACAGCAACCACAGGAACAACAGGAACAGGAGCAGCAGCAGCAGGAGCAGCAGCAGACAGCCCCCTTCATTCCCTTCGACCCCCCAACCTTTGACCACGGGGAATGGCTCCGCCACGAGGACGAGCACTGGGACGACAATAACCCCGATGCCACGTCTCAGCCGCCGACCGCCACGACCACCGCCCCCCCAGCCTCGACCTCCGCCGGCCCAAGGCTCAGTGTGCCATGGCCGCCCCCCCAGTTCGGACCTTTCGGCGGCCGCCTCCGTGGCCCCACCGACACCGACGACGACCTGATGGCGCCGGCTCCCAGTGGTGACGCCTCCCCAGCCAGAATATTCAGCCCCCCCAGTCTCGGGTCCCCCAGCGCCGCCTCCACCGTTATCCACGACGGGGGGGATCAGGCCCAGTTGAGCGTGGAGGATCAGGCCCTGTTGGAAGGGGCTTTCAGGAACCAATCCGCCTCCGCCTCCGCCTCCAGGCCCACCGCACACGCCCGCCCCGCCGCGACCACCGCGACCAACGCTGCCTCGGGCCTCCCCGGTATCTTCGCCGATTTGATCAGACGACCTACCGGGCCCACCGCCCCCGCCGCGGCGTCCGGCCCCACCCGGCCGCCGACCTGGGCTTTCCCCTCCGCCAGCACCGGCATTGGCACCGGCACAGGCAGCGGCAGCAGCGCCACGGCGTCCGCCCCCACCCGGCAGCCCACCCGGCAGCCCACCCGGCAGCCGACCTGGTCTTTCCCGGTCGGCAGCACGGGCACGGGCACCGGCACCGGCAGCAGCGCCGCGCCGCCCGCGGCCACCACCAGCAAGGCTTCTTCCTCAGGCGGCCGTGTCGCCAAGACAGGGGGCGCTGGCGGCAGGTCTTCTGCGGCCGCCGGGTCTAGGCCTGGGCCTGGGTCTGTGTCCGGACCGAGATCTGCCGGACCTACCCTGCGGTCTGGCAGGACGAGGCAGTCGAGGCGCTGAGATCGGGTGGGGGTGATGTGGGACCGAACCTGATGTCTCTCTGTTGTGAGTGTTGACAGGCTTGATTTGATGGCTGGTGGCATGGGGTGGATGTGCTAACTCTTGTCCAGGACAGAACAGTGGGAGATATCTCATAAGGGTATTGAATGTATCAACTACGGGAGATAAGATGAAATACGGAAGTGTGGACATTGTGAGGCTGCGTGTGGGAATAATTTATTTCCATCTCAGGGGTGCATTGGTTTTTTGGGACGGACGGGGTAGGAAGAAGGGTTGACGCTGGATTCTTGACCGAGGAGAGAGAGAGAGAGACAGATGTGGCGTGTTGATCTGTTGGATCAGCCGTTGTTGATCTCTCTTTCTGGGATTTGCACATGTGTGTGGGGACTGAGAGGAGAGCCTTGTTAAAAGAGAGTGGTGCGCCGCGGAGAGTCGTCCAGCGACGGTGGCTGGCTCACACCTATTCCTCCAAACAGGAGCAGACTTCCCTTTGTCTTTTGATAGTTGCGATCATTGAAGAATCAATTAGCGGCAATAGCTGCCGTATGAAAACACCGAGCCCCATGTAGTAAGTAAGTCTGCTGCTATGTCCTCAGTCACCACGTTCCAAAGCGAGGCCTCAGCCACAAGTACCAATATGCCACCCCAAAGACTGTGCCTGCTAGATGACTCACGTACCCAATCCTCTTCTGTGAAGCCCCTCCGGCCAGCCAAGGACAACCAGAAGCCAGCTCAAGGCGCTGGAATAGTAAGCCTTTGAGGTCCCCCGTACAGCCTGTCAGTAATGTGAGGAAGAGGGGGTAGGAAACGTCGCCCAAGTTCGGGACGCGGAAGCGCATCACTGGTTCGAGAAGAATCGCCGCGGCCTCTGTGATTGTTGTATTGAAGTTAATAGATCTGGTCATAATGGAAAGGGCCATGTAACTAACTATCAATGAAGAAACAACGGATACTGAGATGATTTCCCACATCGCAATATGAAGAAGTCGTTCCAGAGGTAGGTATGAAGAGGCGAAAGAGAGGGACAAGGCAAAAACAAAAATCAAAAAAAGAAAAAAAAGGATAGAGAAAATAAAAAAGGATAGAGAAAACAAAAAAGGAAACAAAACTCACGAAGCCCACAGACAACACCACTAGCCCCGAGATACACCCCAGGCCGCCTCGCACCCCAAGCCTCCCAGAGGACACACGCCAGCCCGCAGCACACCCCCGACCCGACCATCAAGCCCGCAACGCCGCCCACGCCGCCGTCACGGCGGCGTTGGTGGCTATGAAGCCCCAGATGAAGAGCCTGCGCGCGTGCCTTGGCACCCGCCGTCGTCTCCGCGCCCCGGCGGCGGCGGCTGGTTTTGTCAGGTTGCCCGCCCAGTCCAGGAGCGCCGCGTGGAGGAAGGAGCCCGCCAGGCGCAGGCCGACGGGGTGGAGGGTGGTCAGGGCGGGATGGCAGTGGTATGTTTCCCTGCTTTGTGCGAGCCACAGGGGGAGGAGACACGCCATTGCTCAGGTTTGGTTTTTTTTTGGTCTCGGTAAGTTCCGAGTTCGCGGATAGCAGAGGGACTAGTTGAGTTTGTATATATATTTTTGAACCCATAGTTCAAAGACAAGTTGACCCCCATTCTCGATTTCTACAGATCTGGCCAGAGTGGCTGGGGCAGTAGTCTAAGTAATTGCTTTTGCCGTGCATGCGCTCAGTGCTCCTGCTGCCGCCCTTGGGCAGACTGGGCCGTGTCTTGGACCTGTTCACAGAGCTTGATTTGCTCCTGCTGCCAAGTTCTACTCCTCTCCAGTCTGCCTTGTCAAAACCTTTGGAATCATTTTGTGTCTGAACTCAGTGAACTGTCAGATTCAGAGGCCAACACTGGCCTGGGCAATCCATGCTGATGGGCAGGTGGCTTGAAGCACATTGTCAGCCATATGATTCAATTGTTCAGGGAGAGATCACATCAACTTTCTTCGGCTGACCGTTGAGTCCATATCAGGATGTTAGAAGGTCTCTGGAGGTAGTATTTTCTTGGCAAAAGTGCTAGAGCTGTTGCCTTTCGAAACGCATCTGCTAATAAATGTTCTCAAGTTCAACCGCTACGAGCACCCTGGATTTCTATATTTCCCTTCCTCGCCACCCCAAAGATTACGGCATTGACAGGACAGAAATTTCAGATTTAGGCCCTTTGAATCTTGTGGGTTTACCACTGCATGAAGGCGCAACACACGTCTTGTATCATGGGAATTAGAGACGGAATCACCCAGGCCATTTAAGACCCTTGGTATGCTATCTCTGGGAATTTCGCCCGAGGCAACGTCTCTATAACATGGCAGCTCAAGTATAAGTCTGGGTTCGACATGTCAAAGTGTTTCGAGCACTGCAAGACTGCATACACAAGGAAATATAATGAATCAGAGCAGGGCTTGTTGCATGTTGGACTGAAAAGACAGAACGTCTTTGCAGTTCAGCACGATTGTATTCAAGTATCTTTAGACACTATTCAGAGGTCCAAGACATCTCGTCTTTGGTAACTGAAATGAGCCTCCCATGAACGCCATAACCCATCAACCTCCTTGTCACAGGTAGGCTTGAGGTCCCGCAGCCCTAAAAAAACAAAAGGGCAGAGTGCCATCCCATTCGTAGCCGCAGAATTGGTATCCAGGAAAAAGCAAGAATCTCTCGTCTTCGGATGGTTGCCCCGAGACAACTTCCGTGGTGGATTGTCTGATGCAGGACATTGATACTCAAAGGCTGTGTCCGCAGCTTCGGACATCTAGCATGCCGGTGTCCGCATGGAAGAGCGAGGACAAAGGTCGGCCCAGGGCAGGGATATGCATGTCGCACTACCGAGAGCCGGTAATTTACACGGTATCGAGCGGCCCATGAAACTCATGAAAGGCCGAGGGATGCCGATGATCCGATATGTGCCGTGGCAGTAAGTGTGAAGTTCAGGGCCAAGGGCCCCCGATTGCTTCATGATCATGCCGCTGAGGAGCTCTATGGCTCATGATCGAAGTAGTATCCATACAAGTCGCTGAGAAAAAACTTTACATGTGAATCGCTGCACGAGAATTACTCCCGATATAGACCGTGGTGGGCGATGTACTCGATGACCGAGTCCGGCACGACATATCGGAGAGACAGATCCCTTTTCCGCATCAGCCGGACCTTGGTGCTCGACACGTCATTCTGTGGAAACAGCAGGTCAGCAATGGCGCATTAAAATAAGCGAGGAGCCGGGGGAGGGGGGGCATACAGTAATGACTTGTGGAATAACATGAATGTTGTCCTGGTAGTCCTTGAGGCCGGCCAGGGCCTCATCGATGTCGGTGCCGGTCCTCTCGATGATAAAGGCGCCGAACTTCCTCAGGATGTGGTCCAGATCGGGCGGAGACCAGACACCGGGCGTACTCATTGTCTGTATAAGATCAGCGCCGGCGAGCAGGGCGATGCGCACTGGCTGCTTGTTGCCATGAACATCCTCGCAGCCGCCAATGACCTGGTTGATCTCGTGGTCGAAGTGGTCGAGGACCTGGGCAGTGGGGAAGTAGTTGGGCTGGATGGCCTCCCAAGGGTCGCAGGTCAGCCACTCGGAGGTCTTCTCGGCGGCATAAGAGCACATCTGGATACGGTGCCTGGCGGGGGCCAGGCCGGGCTTCTTGTAGGCGTCGGACACTGGTGACAGGAAGCCGCCAATGATCTCGTACTTTGTGTTGAAGCGAGCGTAGTCGGAGGCCATCTCGAACATGCGCAGGTGGAGATAGGTGATGGGGCTGTGGGGAAGTAGCATTTGTCAGTATGGTCGGGGTGGTTTTGCGTCATCGGAGGACGACAATGCGAGCAGGAGGGGAGAGGTGCGAGGGTACCTGAAGGAGCCGCAAGCTACCAGAACCAGAGGTGTTTTGCCCTCATGTCTTTGCCTGCGCAATAGTCGCTCTGAGGGGAATCGGTAGGTGTCTGGCGACAATTGGGAGTCTGGGATGATGTTTGGCAGGGTGGTGGTAGCCTCTTGGGCGTCGTGGTCTTGATCGTGATCCATGCTGTCAATGGGAGGGTCGGCCAGCTGGGTTTGTTGTTGTTGTTGTTGTTGTTGTTGGGAGGTTCCGGCGGGCATGTTGTGTCGTGAGGGGTTTGTGAAGGTTCGGCGGAAGACGGTCGTGGGAATGGTGGAAGTTGGAATCCGGCTTGGTGATGAGTAATGACGCTCGGCCGGTCGCAGCGGCTGAGCGGGTCGTTTGGGATGGGAGGAGGGGTCCCAAGGGCCGGCTGCAAGGGCAGGGCGAGTCTCGGGGATGTGGATGTGGATGTGGGATGTGGGATGTGGTGCGGCCGCTTGTAAATCGTGATTGCGATTGTTGCAGGGAAGACAAGGAAGGTTATGTATGTAGGTAGTCGGCGCGGGGAGGGGTGGGGGGCTGGTTGCAGGTTGCAGGTTGCAATGTGATGCCGAAAGCCGCAAAGTCGAGGCAGGCAGGAGTCGAAAGCAACAACCGAGGTGTTGTGTCTGTCTGTATGTATAAGAGACAAGAAAAGGAGGCAGATCAAGTCAGATCCGATCAGATCTAGTTGATGTTGCCTGGAATGGAAAATGTCCACTTTCAGGTTGGCCCGAGGCTCCGATCAAGCCGTGCGCCCCAGCAAAAAGAGTCAGCAGCCTGAGTAGTACGTACCCTCTGGTGGTGACGAATTGTGTGTGCCTAGGTGTGGATATGGCTGGATTATTGCAGCAGACAAAGTGGCTTGATAGACAGAATGAATGTGTCAAGCAAAGTTGGACACCAGCCGTGTGATCTTGATCTTGTGACAAATGGTCAATGACGGAAGTTGCGCGACCAAAGAAAGGCTCAAAAGGTCCAGAAAGGTGGGGTGCCAGTCTCGGGTGCCAGTCTCGCGCCGATGGTCGGTGCAAAACGAAGAAACAGGCGGGAACAATCGACGGCACGCCATTCCACTTCACAAGACCGTTTCGGTTGCAAGTCTGCAAGTCTGCTGGGCGGGCAGGGCCGTCTGGGGCTCGACCACTGGGCCTGGCCTGGCCTGACCTGCCCTGCCCTGACCTGGGCAGCCTGGGCCGGCGCGACTCCGAGGTTTGGGTCTGGACCACCCACCTCTATTGCGGGGGGCGGCGGCCGCACCTGCAGTTCGTTCTTTTTTTACCCGACTTTACCTGTCCAGCCTGGCCGTGTCCACGTTTTGTCGCCTCGCATCTGTCTGGCATATGCAGGTCACTGAGACAGAGTGCAAGGAGACCCCACCATGCACGGGATACCCAATCGAGCACAATCTTCTTTACAACCCATCCATTCCTACCGGCCCGTCAGCAACAGAGGAAGGGCAACCTCAGACCCAGCCGACTGGATCTGACGTCGCTACAGTTCAGGGAGACCAAGCCTGGGGTGCTCAGACGACGCCTGCTGAACTCTCAAGTCCTGAACTCTGGCCAGAAAAGCTTAATGCACGACTACGACTGCATTGCATTGCATTACGACATGTGCTTTGCTAAGAGCTCGGCCACCGTCTCCGAGCTGTCATCCCTGACCTCGCAAAAGCTGTGACACCAAGGGTCCTGAAGGCCCTGGGGGACCTTGGGACCCAGTATTACTGCTGCGTGTGCCCTTGCCTTCACCATGGGCTGCGTGGGTGGCGGTGGGTTGGTTGGAGCTGCAGCTGCCTGCAGCTGCAGTCTACCGCCACCAAGGAACTGGGAGGACAGAACTGTCCGCGTGCCGAGTACATACCGTGTGTACCGTGGCACAAGAATACTCAGCCTCCTCCAACGACGACGTCGACGGCGCGGGCTGTCTCAGGCATTCATCCCGGTGCTGTACTACCTGACTACTCGGCCAGAAAACCGTCAAGACGCACAAGTAATGCCACCTGCGCTCCACAATGCAACCCTCGGCACGGACACATGTAACAAGCCATAGCAGATCGAAGGACACGACCATCAACAACCCTGTTGCTTAGTCTAGTTCTAACGCGGGAGGGCGGTAAGCACCACGCACCACGATGCCCACCAGCCGCGTCACACCCTGCAAGGCACCAGTTGAGTCAGTTAGAGTTTCCGACGCCATGATCCTGTCTGTCCTTCACGACTTCTCACAACTGGCAATCCCACTTGCCAGCCCTGCGCTCGCTCGTCGCCCGTCCCACCCGTCGCTCTGATGCCTTCTGTTCGCGAGGGCACGGCCTCAGCCAGTTCATGCAGCGAGGTCTGGGCCCCCGCAAAAATCCGTGTCACAAAGCTTACCTGGCCAGACAGACAGACAGTCGGCAAGAAGCTCGGTATGGCGGGCCGTGGCTGTCGCAGCGAAGATGCAATTTGCTGTTGTGTTGTTGACCGTCAACAAGAGTCGGGCGTAGAGGAGAACCCACCCGAGCTCGAGCCCTATCCCGGCTGCCCAAGAGCTCCACCGCTTCGTGTGTGTGAGGTATTCCAGGCTGACGAGGACATGAACACGGCAGCCTACGCTGGTTACGTTCAGAATCACAAGAGGAAGTTGACTCTCTGAGTGTGATAGGTGTCCTGTCATTCTTGCCAGGGTCATAAGCTGTGAAGTTGATGTGTCTGAGATGCCTAGCTCGTATACCTAGGTACCAATCTAGGCAGCACAAAGGCAATGCCGAACCCCCCCCCCCCCCAAATCCAGTGAGTAATCCAGATTATAATGAACGGGACAAGTGTCAGGTTCTTAAAAATCGCCTTGATTTGCTCGGAGTCAAACGTCTTGGATTCCATAGACGGCGCCCGGGACGGTACATAGGTCCGAAATGATTACCTCCCTCTCCTGTGTGGTTTCGCTTCTATTCCGTATACGTCCGAGGACATGCATGGCGCCTTCATACAGTGGTAAATGCTCAAAGACCCAGTGTTCAAACTTTTCATCTGGCATTTTAAGATATTTAATTTGTGTCCAGTAGAACTATTATAAATCAAAATCTCGAACGATACTACCGGCGTCAACATAACATTCCTCCATGGCAGCAGCATGATATCTGCTCCCAACCCCTCTGAGAAGCTCCAGAAGGATGCCACCCGGGCGCCAGGTGAGAGTGCGAAATGTCAAGCCCCGTGCCGTTCGTCCGATGCAATTAGCCTCTCGCTGCCCCTCGCGAACAAGGCCAACCGTACATTTGGCGCACTGGCACGGGGACGTGTATCTTATAGACCAGCCATACTGCTGAAAATCCAGGCACGTCTCTGCCAGCGGGAGCCGCAGCCTTGTCCTGAGTACCGCCCTCCTCACCTTTGGCATCTGACTGACGGCACGAGCCCAGGCTTCGATCAGAGGGAAGAGGAGGCGGTCCTCGGGCACGAGGCGGAACACCCAGACAGGTGCCCAGCCCGAGTTGAAGAGATCAGAATCCCAGTCGAACCCACTCAGAGCCACAGATTCACGTGGGCCTGATGTGTTGTATCCAGGGGGCATCTCTCTCTCGAGCACATCTCTGTCGACCAGAGTGCCTGGCTCGCCTTCGAGCTGGCTCGGGTCGAAGAATGGGTAGTCGTGTATATCGACCCCATCGGGTGCGCGGAAGTACCACTCGCCCGATGGTGTCCTGGGGTCGAAAGCGATAGTCATGACCGTGATGTTCTGCCAGAAGGGCACAGGGATGGTACGGGGGATAGAAGGCGCTCTCGTTGTCAAAGGCCCGGGCCAGAGCAAAGAATGGTCGAAGCTGCCCTCGATTCTCAGAGTCCTTAGGCCCTTCAGCTTTGAGCTCGCCTCCCATATTGCAGCGCTGACAGGATCCGGTTGATCATCATGGGCCAGCAGATTCGCCGGACGCCATGTCTGATTTGCGCCGTCACGACTTTCTACATGAATTCCAAGGCTTTCCCCTATAGAGTTCGGTAGCGATTCAGTCCGTAGGACCGATGCGAGGTCGTCCCGGTTCCTACGCCGGAGGGCGGGATACCTGTCCTCTGTGTCAGGCAGTGGCAGCATTGCCCAGCTCACCCTCGGCATCCTGGCCAAGAGTTCGACCGCCGTCCGTGGTGCGATGCGTCGCTTCGACAAGAGTGGGTTCCTGCGAATATCGAATCCACTGATTATCGGCGCCGGCGGCAGGTCGGCTGCTCGTTGAAGACGTATGTAGGAGTATCTGTGACGCTCAACTGCCTCGGGCCCCCATCTCTCAGGACCTGGATCGCTTGGGCAAATGATATCCTGGAGGTATAGGCACAGGGCGTCTTTGCGCGCCACTGAATGACCCCAGGTGCTCAGGATGCGAAACAGATGGTGAAATGCCGTTGAGAATGCCTCATCGTTAGTTTCCTGGTCAGATTTCTGCTCGAAAAGATCGGTGGTGTCCTTCGACCACGGCGGCAGGATGATGGTAAAACCCAAGTTATGGAGATGGTTACGCCGATCTCCTTGTACAACTTTGGAGGACCGGGTTAGTGACAATCCTCTATCGTCGGCTACGAGCTGATGAAATCATGCCTGGTGGTCCGGAGAAGTGCGGGCATGTCATCCACATGCACCCTCAAAGCAAGGCTGTGGTCGGGACGGTGACTCCAAAAGGTGCTGAATGAATCCTCCCAAAGAAGGGAATCTTACTGGCATCGAACTCTTCCAGCTCATTGCTTTTGATTCGCAGGTTATCGAATACTTGTCGCTCGAGCGCATACTGCCACCTGCGAGAGATACACGCAAGTGCTGCCTGGCTGGGAGCAGTCGGGCGGAGACACCATCTCGACCGAGGTGGGAGGCTGGTACGGTCACCATGAACGTGTGCAGCAATCTTGTCAATGATTTCTTGAGGTAAAGTGTCCATATTCAGTGGAAAGTTACCTAGGTATGTATTCGAACTTCTAATGGGCGGTATTTTCGACTGCGGAAAGTAGCGATTGAGAAGACGAAGTTTGTGTTCCAAAGGTTGGTTCTAGTTACGGGACTGCAGAGCGACGTCATTAGTTTAGAGGAGCGGCACGAGGCCGAGGCCACGTGCCACAGACGTACTGTATTCTCTCTCTACTGTTATTGGTACTGCATTTTTTTTTTAAAAAAAAAGAAATTGGGTCTTAAGCATTTACCACTATATGGAGGCGCCGCATAAGTTCTATTTGTATGGGGACTAGAAACAAAACCACTATACGCCAGCACCTCATCATTCAACACTGAATATGTGAACTTCTTGATGTCGCCCGCATGCTCAGCGCCCATCACACCGTGCATGTACGAGTAACCCCCGATGCGATGTGTAGTTCCAGATGGGCGGAGAACATGAGGATAGCTGCTCCCCAAGGCAGCAATGACAATTGGCTGCGTCTCAGATATGCAGCAGCCAACAGCTCCTTTGTCGGTGATGTAGATACTGGAGTCGGGGTATTCGAAGTCCCGCACTGGCTTACCAAAGGCGAGTCCGTCAGAAGCCTGAGACTCTAGAGCTACTTGTTCAGAAATGTAGCGAGCAAATGGAGCGCCTCGTAGAGCCAACTGCACGAATGTTGTTGGTCTGGTTGACAACCTTACCTAGGTACCAAAACCATGAATTATGCTAGGTGGTATCAGAAACCTCGGTTCCCGATTCCAAAGGGATGTGACCAAATTATTCAATTTCATGATACGCAGAGTCTACGGTGGATACGTGTCGAAAGTGTAGTTGCTGTGCAGTTGGCTTGGGCTCCAACCGTCCTGCAAAAGCAGCTGCTTAAGTGCTCACCGTTGGCGGGGCACCCCGCCAATTCTCGGGGTTGATCGGGACAGAAGCGGCCGCTTCAACACAATCTTCCCATCAAACACGCCACAGTCACTGCCCACGCAGGCACATACCTATCACAGCCTACGCCATCAGAGAATCGGTCTCTGAAGATCAGCATCAAGGACTGTAATCGCAATTTGCAGCAATCAGCCTCAAAATGGCCTCGACGAAATACAAGCTTGTCTTTTTCGTTCCCGTCTCGGATATGGATGCCGTGAAGAAGGCCGTCTTTGCCGCCGGCGCCGGACGCTACCCAGGCCCCGGGAACTACACCGAATGTGCCTGGTCCACGATCGGGACCGGCCAGTTCCGCCCAGGAGACACGGCAAATCCGCACATCGGTGAGGTCGGCGCCCTGGAGAAGGTTGAGGAAGCCAGGGTCGAGACGCTCTGCATCGGCGAAGAATGTGCCAGAAAGTCCGTGGAGGCTCTGAAGAAGTGGGTACCCTCGTCTCCTTCACCTTGTATCATGTTGCTGGTGGATTTCAGCGAACTAATATCTGCGCCTATAGGGCTCATCCGTACGAAGAACCTGGCTACGAAGTCTACGAGATCAAAGACTTCTGATTCAGCGCTACTGATTGGCTCCTGGGAGTTCACCTTCGCGTAACCATAAGCATTGTACCCAGTCAAGCAGATGTAAAATCTTAGGGGATATATAACGCGTTATTATAAGACTCGCCTACTATATCCTTCAATGTTCTAAGGACTTTTACGGCGACTAGTATAGTATAGCTAAAATAACTGATTTTAAAATCAGGATTGTAGACCGCGATTGGTGCTTATAAACTGCTTGAGGTTTAAGTCGAAGACTTCAGGACTTAGACTTCCGGTCTGTTGGCCGGCTGATGCTTTGTACAAGGAGTCATTGGATGCGTGTCACATATCACATGTATGGTAGAGGAGGCAGGATGCAACTGATTAACATCAGCCTGCAGGAGGTTCTACTGGTAATAGCAATCCCAATATGTTCTCCTCACCATCTTAGCTTAGATGACGTGCTCCTAAGATGTACATCCCAACCAAATGCGACACTGAGCCCCTCAGCGATAATCGGCATTACAATCAAGATTGGAGAAATATACATGCTTCTACACTAGCTTTATTATGATTTATTGTCGGAAGCTCTGTATAAGACATTGAGACGTCATCAGAACCTCGGCCCTCGCCAACACCACTACCATTTTACATTCATACAACACATTGTCTCATCAGAATGCCCTCCGCATTAAGTCGTCCCGAAACTTTGCCCCTGCCCAGGTGGGAGCGGCCAGCTAAGACATCGCATGATCTCCCATGGGCGGATATAAAAGTCCTGGACCTCTCAACCTTCGACGAACCAGGCGGCAAGGAGAAGCTCGCCGAGGAGCTGCGAGATGCTGTAGGTTATTGACAAGACTATTCAGCCTCTTGACCTTGACCGCGTCAAACAAACCCGTTGACAGGCTTCCAGGTCCACAACACAGGCTTCTTCAGCGTGACAGGCACCGGCCTCACAGAGGATGAGATCCAGCGCCAGTACGACATCGGGCAGGCCTTCTTCGCCCTCCCGCACGCGGAGAAGGCCCAGCCGCGGTACAAGTGCGACTTTGCCAGCGGCAACTACTTCGGGTACCGCGAGCTGCACGAGCGCACCGTCCGCGGCACCGAGGTCCGCGACAACGTCGAGTCGTACAACCACGCCAAGTTCACGCCGTCCAACGCGTCGGAGCCACGACACCCCTTCTTCGACCCCTTCACCCCCGAGGTGGAGGCGTTCAGCCGCAAGGCCCTCGGCGTCGCGGACCGCATCCTGCGCCTGTTCGCCATCATCCTCGAGCTGCCGGAGGGCTTCTTCGCGGACGCGCACCGCTATGACGACCCCTCTGACGACCACCTCCGGTACATGTGCTACCACCCGCGCCCGGCGGAGGACGACGCCAAGGTCGACAACACGTGGGCGCGCGCGCACACGGACTTTGGGTCGCTGACGCTGCTGTGGAGCCAGGACGTCGCGGGCTTGCAGATCCGGACCAAGGAGGGGGGGTGGCGGTATGTGCCGCCTGTGGACGGTGGCATTGTGTGCAACGTCGGCGACACGCTTGATTTCTGGTCGGCGTCGTACCTGCGGTCCACGACGCATAGGGTCACGCGGCCGCCGCCTGACCAGGTGGGCGGGAAGAGGTTGGGCCTCTTTTATTTCGTTCGCCCGGGTAATGACGTCGATATCAAGCCGGCACCGTCGCCGCTGCTCAAGAGACTGGGGCTGGTTGGTGACAAGCCAGAGGAGGCTGCGCCTGTCAAGGGGCTCGAGTACGTACGGACGAGGGTGAAGGATTATCATAATAGCGGTGATTACGGGGATCGCAAGGGCCAGACCTTCAAGGTTGGTAACCTGGAGATTGTTGATGAGGCGGCGTAGAACCTCTAGGTAGCCGCAAATGTAAAGGAATGTTCAACCACGGCGCACCAGGTTGTCTTGAAATTAAATCGAAAACCAGTGTTTTCTTTGTACGAGTACTGCTCGCCACTAGTAGGCGTGGCGGGAAGGGTCAGGCATGGCGAAAGGAGGCTGAGCTAACATGAACTTCGGTCTTCCGCATGATGCCCATGCGACTCGAGTCGTCATCTTCCAACTCCAGCTCAAGAGCACCGGAGTTGGCACGCCTAGCCGACGCGTGGTAGCCTGGATTGCCATTGCTAATCGAGCTCAACTTGATGCCTCGGCCAGAACCCCCGAGAGCGTTCTCACTCTGCCGTGAGGGGTCAGTAAAGTCTTGATGAGAATGCGATCGTTGTATTTCCAGTTGTATCTCTCGATACATGTAGTCGAGCTTTTTGGGTCCCTCGAGACCGAGACAGGTTTGAAATGGAGAAAATAAATATTACTGACCTCTCTTGGGTACTTGTAATCCCCATCGTGTGAAGAACCGTAATAAAATTTGAACAGCTTACGCAGAGGTGGAAGGGAACATCCAATGATGCCTAGACCACACTCAATGTTCGAGGTGATGTTGATGACACCAAGATGATCTGTGTTGTGCCGGGCTGGTCAGCGCTGCCGGCATAATCTGGACTGTGGCTGCCACACTCACATGCTATGTCGGTCGGGTACTTCGTGGTGTCATAGTACTTGAGGTATGGCATGCGAACGCATGTTGCCACGCTTGCAAAAACTCCAAGTCCCAGAATGCAGATGACGGATACTTTCTTGCGGCGCGACATCTGTAGCCCGGCAACTATGACGAATGGGACGCCTGCGCACACCCAATCGGTGACCATCTGGATAGCGGAAACAATGTAGCTGACTGTTTGCAGGCTGATAAACGTTTGACACGTTCCTCTAAGATGGAGTTGGTAAGAAGCGTCGCCTCAGCGTATAAAGGTTTTCACGTCAACTTACAGTGCTGGGTTCCAAGTCGCTGCGAGAGGTCTGCAGTTGGCGAACACAAATACTAAGGCGAGTATTGCGATGATGACCATGATGGCCATGTTGATAGATATTGGGATCACTATCTCTCTTCGCCGGTCCAGGCGAATGCAGGTAAAGCCAATCGCACACTTGATGATAGTGGAAGATATAAAGTACAGAATCTCCCAGAAGATCACGTACTCGGTTGCTCGAATAAGGTAGAGCGGAGACGGAATGGCGTTATCGTGTGAACCGACGCCATAGCGAGCAGCATACACGGCGAAGACGACGGATGGCAGGAATGGAAGCTGTTGCACACATCATCAGCTATCATCGTCACTCAATCAAGATTGAGCGACATGTGCATATTCCACGGGGGAAGCTCAAAGTCTCGCAAGAAACTTACAGTTCCGAACAGAGCCAGATAGTCTTCCACACCCCATATTCTTGTTGACGCTCCGGACAAACCAGCTCGAACGTAGATCCGGAGGGACACGACGATGGTACAAACAACACCTAAGAAAATGGCAACAACCTGAACTGCTCTACCTAGGCCAGTGGGGTTGATCGGTTCAAGTTGGTTGGCTAGAGCCTGTATCTGCTCACCAGACATGGAAGCTGCCATGCTGATGATGTGCTTGCTGGAGTTCAGCCCAGGAGATGTCTGACATGCTCGTGGAACTTCTGGGGCGAAAGATAGACGACTCCGAGAATGTCAACGTTAGGGTCGGCACAGAATACGGCGCCGGTGTCATCAATGAAAAACTCGGGGGAACTTCAAGCCCAAAGACAGGAATCAAGTTATTATTGGCTCTCTTTGTGCCCTTGAAATCCGTGGGCGTGGCAATCAATTTCAGCCGCAAAACCTTGGTTCCCCCCTACTAGGCCTCGATCCTACATTGCTCCCCGGGAGCCCTTGTCCCCGCTAGTCTCCTGTGACAGGCACGCTGGCACGCTGGCACGCCGAGCACCCCCATTGCCCCATTGCCCAAGGCTCGTGTGGTAAATTGTTGATGGCACTCCGTAACCTACTAGTAGTGGGGATGCTTTCTCGTTTCCCCTTGAATATGCCCGTACCCTTCGAGTCAGCGCCATCCTGGTAAAACGGCCACGCGAGTGCAGGCATTGGATTGGTTGATCCGGTAGTCTTCCCCGATAGATCTGGCCATTTTGGGCCAACATCGGCTCTAAGCGATGGCTCTGGATCCTTGACACAGTTGTAAATGACTCGCTCTGTTGCCCGTCGCGGACAACACGGTCTGCGCCACAGGTACTCCGGCAATCCGGGAAAGTGTTTAGCCCACACTTTTTGCGCCTGAGAAGGTATTTTGATCAGTTTTGAAAGGTTCTGAATGTCCTCGCCTGGTACCCAGGGATGATCATCGTGACGCTGCGTCGACTCTGTGCAGATGTAGACTACCTAGGTACGAATACCTGTGCCCAGGTGCTTAGTACTAGTATACAATAGCAGATCTGCCGAGATCGTCTAGATATATGCCTATTTAGGTAGGTACTGAGTATACAGCAGCGCAAGGGTCTAGTTTCAACCCCATGGAGCCGACGCTTCCTTAGTCCTCAGAGCATAAATTTATACAGCCAGATACTTGTACAAGACTGGGGCAGCTAGTGTAGAGCGTATCGAAGCATGGTGGGCCTTGAAGGAATTACCGGTGGAGATAGAGTTTTTTTTAAAGAGAAATCTCCGCCAACAACGTAGCAACCGGGTTGAGTAGCGCCTTGGTTTGGACCACCTTTTCCAACGCTCTACAGCCTGTTCGCGTCGGATGGACGGTATAGGATGAACGGTGGTAATAACCCGTAACGGCCGACTTTCCGATTGACCACTCAGCGGTCGGTAGTTTTCAATCCCCTTTCTCCGGGTATATCGTCAACCGCCCCTTCTGGTCGCTTTCTCAAATACACCCTTTATTTTGCCCAAGTGGACGACAGTGCACCTCTCTATTCGAGAGACACTCGGTCACGGTCCTAGCGGTGTTACTTCAGCAGTGTCCGAGCAAGATGTTGAACACCATCCTTGCCGCGGTGGCCTTATTTTGCGCCTACCTCCTCGCCAGTGCTATTTATTCCGTCACGTTTCACCCTTTGGCGGATGTACCCGGTCCAAAGATCTGTGCCATTACTCGCATACCGTACTGGCTGGTGTCACTCTCGGGCGACGATATTAAATGGATGAAGAAACTTCATGACCAATATGGACCAGTCATTCGCTTTGGTCCGACCGATCTGAGCTACGCCACCGGCCAGGCCTGGCAAGATATTCATGGGCCGAAGGTGACGGAGAAGGCACAAGAGTTCTCTGTCCAGCCTGTTAATGGTTAGTCGACGAGATCTCAGAGCCTTTCAATGTTCGTCAAATTAACGGAGCGAGGCAGGTGTTCCTAGCATGCTCACCGCCACTACCGAGAACCACTCGCGAGTCCGCCGCTTGTTCTCGCCGGCATTCTCCGAGCGTGCGCTGAAGCAGCAGGAGCCCCTATTCCGAAAATATGCCGATCTATTGGCGTACAAGATCTCGGAGGTCGGCGAGGATGGCAACAAGCCCGTGGAGATGACCCAACTGCTGAACTTCGCGACGTTCGACGTCATGGCGGAGCTCTGCTTCGGCCAGCCTCTTGGACTGTTGGCCAAGAATGAGTACAGCCCATGGGTCAAGTCGATCTTTGAGTCCCTCAAGATGCTTCCCATTGCGTCAATCATCAACTACTACCCGATCCTGAATGCCATATTTACCCGGTTCGAGCCGAAGTCGGTCACCGAGCAGCGAGTGACTCACTGCAAACATTCGGAGGAGCGTGTCAACCGGCGTCTACAGGATGGTTCCACTCAGCCTGATGTCTGGAACCTTGTGTTGTCAGCCAAGGAGGGGAAGGAGTTGACTCTCGAGGAGATGCACTCCAACGCCGAGCTGTTCATGCTGGCTGGCTCAGAAACCACGGGTGAGTGAATAAAACCGGATTCCAAAAGTTGAACAATGGCATTCTAACGGATGAACTTCCTATAGCCACCTTGTTGAGTGGTTGTGTATACAACCTCCTCAGGCACCCCGAAAAGATGAAGGTCCTCGTCGAGGAGATCCGAGGAAGCTTTACCAAACTCGACGATCTGACCTTTGAGAATCTTGCGGAGCTGAAATACATGAACGCCTGTAAGTTCACTCAAACACTCTGGTGTGTTACAACACTTCGCTCAGGATCCATTACTGACAATTATTTACAGGCCTCAAAGAAGCACTTCGCGTTTACCCACCTGTCCCAATCGGCAGTCCACGAGTGGTACCAAAGGGCGGGCAGAACATCCTCGGCAAGTGGGTTCCGCCTGAGACCCGCGTATCGGTCCACCACTGGTCAACATACCAGTCCGAGGCCAACTTCAAAAACGCCGCCACGTTCGCACCCGAGCGTTGGCTCAAGGCCGACCCGTTGTACGCCGGAGACGCCCTAGACTCCCACCAGCCGTTCGGATTCGGGCCTCGCAACTGCCTCGGGCAGAGCATGGCCATGCACGAGATGAGGCTGATCCTGGCCACCCTCATCTTCAAGTTCGACTTTGAGCTCTGCAGCGAGAGCCGGGACTGGGCCGCCCAGAAGTCGTTTGCGCTGTGGATCAAGACGCCGCTGATGGCCCGGGCTAGGCCAGTTTCTGTACAGAACAGGTTGAATATTTGATTGACAGGGGGGAAGCCCGCGATAAGATGACCACACGAAGGTCAGATGCCGGGCTGCTCCTCGTTTGTCTAGGCCTCTCCTAAAGAGGGGATCCAAGATTCCATGGCACACCGTCGTGTTCAAGAGCATCATGAGCAGTTTTGAGCAGGGGTGCTCTCGGCTCCTTGCCGACGGAAAACTTGGACCAGGTGGGGGGTGGGGGGCAGACTGGATCTAATTCGGCCGCATGCTATAATCGCAAGGGACTTTAAGGAACCGTTCTAAGGTTTTCGATTATTTGCAACCTCGGGTCATTGACTTGAATCATCTCCAGGGAAAAGTTATACCTGGATCACGACGTCGCAGTAGAATATAGAAATGGACTTCAGATAGAAAGATTTCAGGGATGTGTTCATATAGATTTAATTATATTTCTGTATAATTACATCTCGCTGTGAAAATACTGTAGAGTTCGTATGTAAATGCATTTTGGTAAGGTGAGTTGCTGTGTCGTGAGTTAGTAGATCCCTTGGATGAACTGACCAAACTCGTTTGTCAGCGTGGAAATCGACGTGTCAACTAGCAACGAATGGATCCGGGGGGTAAAGTGGTAACAAATGCCGGGTCATAGGGAACCAAATACGGCTTAGTAGCTAATCAGTACGGAGCATTCGTACTCTTTATGTCGGGAGAACTGATCAGGGTCTTGTCTTTTTACTAATAGATGGCGTTGTGCACCGACTTTATGGGGATGCCTTCAGGCTGAATACTGACTCCGATTGTAGACGAGACATTCGGAATGTTGGTTGCTGTTGGTTTTGTGCAGATTGATTTCAAGCAGTCTGTATACACCGAAACCGAGCCCGAAAACCCTGAAACCTGTGTGCATGCAAGTTTTTCATAAATATCAATACTGTCAATCACCTGATACTGCCCTCGATCAATGAAGTGGGTGGTGGTCGCGGAAGAGGCTTACTGAGTTTTGATGTCAGTGGTCCGAGGTGGAGCTGCCAGCCCTACATTATGGCCTGGGCCCATCATGCTAGCTCCCTGCCGATCGACCACATGGGCCTGGGGAAAGCATGGATCAAAGCTCCGGCCTGATCTAGCGTCGCTAGCACGTCCAGGTACAGATGTACTCCGTACCTACTTCATAGTACTGTCCCAAGGGTAACTCTAAGTAGACACCACAGCAAACCCGCACATCGAAATGAGCCAACACCAACACCAACAAATCCAACGACGTCAGCAGCAACAAAGTCAGGATTCCAAGGAATCATCATGCCCTGGTCTAAAACAACAGCATGGGCTGGCTGGTCGTTCCTGCAGCAGAGGCGAACAGATCCGGCTTAGCGGTGGTTGGGGAAAGGACGGGACCCCACTCCCAGCCCGCCGATTTATTATTGACATGGCCATATTCTGGTGGCGGGGCAACAGCACCAAGCATCAGCGCCGGGCATCAGCTAGCAGCCCCAAGCTCCTGGCCTACTGCAGCTTCGCGGCCACTGGTCTTGGGCCCGCACCACAAAACCAATTCTCCCGTCCTGTTACTGTTTGCGACTTTTCTTCTCTCCTCTTTCCATATCCATTTCGGTCCCCATTCTGCCTGTCTATCCTCGGTACTGTGGCTGTGTTATCGAGAGAGAGAGAGAGAGAGAGCAACACTTACACGACCGTCATCGACTCCACCTACCTATCTATCCTGCTGTGCAAGCACATCGCTTCGAACAAACACAACGAACCGCTCCAAGAGACCGTGGGCCTAGCTCCCGAGTCCCGCATTCCAGTGCCGCCGTCGACCCAACCTCCACGCAAAAAAAGATAAAAAGTTTCACACACAAAAAACCGCCAAGATGGTCAAAGAAAACGACACGATCGCCATCATCATCATCGTCCTTTTCTTCGTCCTCGCCCTCATCTCCTTCGGCATCTACAGGCTCGTCTCCATCGCCCGCCGCTCAATGTCCGTCTCCTCGGGGTCGACGAGCAGCAGCAGCGAGATATTAAACGACTGATCCGGGGGGCGGCTGTCTTTCCCGCCCCCCACGGCTTGGCAAGGAGTGGGTGGGCGAGAAGAAAAAGGAGGGCGAAAGGGTGGCCGCATTGGCTTCCCATACACACACCTTCAAGTTGTGTCTCGCCCACCCTGCTGCTGCCTCTGTGCAGCTTCTGGTGCTGCTGCTGTGAGCTGGGCACAGAGACCACGGGGCGCAAGGGAGAACACTATGAGAAGAAGAGGGGGCATATATGTGCAAGGCCCCCCTAAGACATGATCTCGAGAAACCCCCGGGAGGCCTAGACAGGCCAGGGGCAAAGCTCCGAGCATGCACACACAAGTTTCTGGATACCCCATTTGAGGAAAACTAGTGATATAATTCGGCCATCTAATACCCATGTACGGCGGAGAGAAGAGAAGGCAAAACACATCCCATGTAACGACGACCACGACCACGACGTGTTTACGGAATTTGCATATGAAATGGGAAAGCCACATAAGGGAAGGGGGGATATTCTAGGTGGCGTCGCGATCTGGGTCTTGGTGGTTATTTCCTACATTTTTTTTTACCAGGTTATATTGGGGAACAAGACCCCCTGAGTACCTTCTGATAGGGCATCGTCATCTCCCGCGGAGCCTGGACGGCTAGGAAGCTGCCGTCGGAATTGGAACCTTTTGGACTTCTGTTTTAGATATCAAGATAGAACATGGGATGTGGATGAGATATTCCACTTCCCAACCCAATCCAAAGTCGACTTCAACCACTCATACAGCACACACAACTGGGAGAGCAGCATGTCTAGTCATGGATAATTATCTTTATATTCATCCCTCCTAAATTCACATCAGGTGAGACACTGTTATAATAATTTCACTATAATAGGTAGTTACAGGCCTTAATCCTCAGCTACCTAGATATTAATCCTATAGTCGGCCTGTAGGGCGTGGGGGTGAGACTGCTGTGCCTCACAATCCACGGCGGTTAACGGAAATAGGGTGCAAGGAGGGCTGACCTGATATACGGCGCAGCATCGTAGGGGAGCGGATCCACGACCCCGTTAACCCCTGCCCAAGCCCCTCTCACTGCCAACCTGGACGACCCCATAGTCAAATCACGCCAGATCCCCAGCCGGCGCTTATCTGTGATCATGGTATCCATCACTGTGGATGCTCCTACCTCGTATCTCTGAGGTCGACCTCATATCCTGACCTACCATCCGTTATACCTTCTCATACTATCTCATCCCAGTGGGCTCTCAATCTTCTTTGAAGGTCCAAGGCGGCTCTGTTCGCCTGCTCACGGTAACATGACCGAATCATCGGCTCGGCACACCGCACGAGAGCTCGTCAAGAGTATCGCAGACGAACATGGCTATCTCGGCGAGCGTGTGTACGCCAAGATGGACGCAGAAACCCGAAGGGCAGTTCAGAAAGCTCTCCTTGCCAAAGACAAGATGATCGGAAGTTCCATCATGGTGCTCGCCAGAGAACTTTACTCCAAAGATGTCCGTTTCATCTTTGAGCTCTTGCAGAACGCAGATGACAACCATTACGACAAAGCTCAAGCAGCCAGGCAACAGCCTAGCGTCGCCTTCCACCTATACAAGCACAAAGTTGTGATCGAGTGCAACGAGGACGGCTTTAACGAAGCCAACCTGAGAGCAATCTGCAGTATCGGTAACAGCTCCAAAGTCGGCGGCCATGGCTACATTGGTGAGAAAGGTATTGGTTTCAAGTCCGTGTTCAAAGTCGCCCGGAGAGTCCTCATTCAGTCAGGCGACTACTCCTTCACCTTCACACACAACCCCGGCGATGTCGGGATGGGCATGATTTCACCTGAATGGGAGGACTCGGCAGATGAATCACCAGGTGAAGGGTGGACACGCATTACTTTGTACCTCCACGGCGACTCTGAGGCTGCCACCCGATATCACGACATTCTCAAGGAACTAAATGAGCTCGACAACACGATGCTGCTCTTCTTGAAGAAGCTCCGTCGCATTGAGGTGACCATCTACGACGAAGACAATGATGCAGTGTCATCCACGGCTCTGTCCATCAGCATCAACGAGACGACACATAGAGCTGTTCTTACGAAGCGGAAGTCCGAGGCTGGTGGGGACACAGAAACAACCAACACATACTGTCATGTCACCAAGCACCAAGCCACGAGCCTGGCCAAGAGCACTCACAGAACCTACACGGCGACCGAAGAAGCAACCAAGAGTTACGGAAAGGCCGAGGTTATTCTCGCGTTCCCCCTTACATCCAACGACATTCCCATTGTCGAGGCACAGCAAGTCTTTGCGTTCCTCCCCATTCGTCGCCTTGGCTTCAAGGTTGGTGCTTCCTTCCAGATGTCGCATCCTTTGTTCGCCTGCCTACGTGATGGCTAATAGATTGTAGTTCTTGATCCAAACTGACTTCGTCACAATGGCAAACCGAGAGGATGTGGTCACCTCTGCGTCGAGGAACTTAGGTCTCCTGGATGGAGTTGCTGAAGCCTTCATCAAGGCCATCCATGAGATGTATGGCCATAAGACGCTTAGATATCAATGGATGAGATATCTCGCAGGCATGAAGGAGTACCCTTGGGACGACTTTTGGGGGGGACTAGTCAACAAGATTACCGCCAAATTGGCCGAGGCAGAGATTCTCGAGCCTCGTCGTCGAGGCTTTCCGAAGCGCATCGGGGACCTGCGTCGTGTTTCCGCCTGGTCGCAGGATAGCAACGGCAACCCTCTTTTCGAAGACTTGCCCGGGACATCGGAGATGTACATCTCTACGGGCTATGAGACAGCCGACCAGGTTATCCTTGCGGACTATGGCTTACAGTTCCTATATCAGAATGAAATTCTGGAAAGAGTCGGATACGACTTAAGCCTACCCAACTCGCGAATGAAGAACCCAGTGACAACCGCAGATTGGCATACCCGGGCTGCCAAAGCTATTAACCTATCCTGGGACAGGAATTGGGCAAGTACGATAGCACAAACGAAGGCTTTCGGCCTTCTCCCCCTTAGCAGCGGGATCTGGGTCTCTGCTACCACCAGCGATGTCTACCTTCCGACTCTCGACAGCGGAATTGAGGTACCTACTAACCTTGGCCTTAACATACTGGCCGCCTCGGAATGTAAAAACTCGGAAAGGTTGAAGCTGTTCAAAAACCTCGGGGCACACTACGTCGACGTCAACGACGCCCGGACCAAGACGCTACAGAAGTTCGGCCAGAGGCAATACCTTCCCCTCTCAATCGGAAAAGCCATGCTCGAATTTCTTTACCAGACATGCAGTCACCAGCGTGGCACCTTCAAACACTACGATGTCGTCATGGTTCACAATTCGTGGCTCGGACTCAATTCACCAAGACAAGTGGAATTCCTATTCCCCAGCGACGACGCATTCAGTCCATGGCAGCTTTCTCAGCAGCCCCAAGAGCAATTGGACCCTATTGTAAAGATCACCCACTTTATTCACAAGGATTACCTAAAAGACGAGCCTTCCAAGCCAGGCAGTCTCTCCTGGCGCGAGTGGCTCGAAGTAGCCATCGGGGTCAGGAAATCCCCCAGGCTTGTCAGCGCGAACGGAGGGTCGCTCTCGGTGCTTTGCAAGCATGTGGCAGAGGAGATTCCCGAATCTTTCCTCGGTTTCCTGCGGTACGCATGGGAGTCAGAGAAGGACTCGGTGCTCAATAATTCCGCTGTACTCGAAGAGTTGAAGAGCATCGAAGTCGCCTGCAACGTAGGGGGGACGTCTACATATGCGCTCGGCCAAACATACCTGCCAATTCCCGGTCTTCAGCAGAAGGCTTTGTCTCTCATGGAAGGAGAAGATTTCCCCTTTCTCTGGCTCGTTGGAGAGACCCTGGACGATGATAACCTCGGGGTATGGAACTTTTTGAAACGGGACCTGGCTGTTGGCTCGCAGGAAGACGCGCAGTTTTACATCGACATCGTCTACTACACCCAAGCAGCAAAGAACTCGCGGAATGATATCGAGCGCCCTGAGCGAATGATAGACATATACGGCCGGATCCACACTCGCATTAGAGAGGCAACAGATCGATCATCATGGGAAGAGAATCGGTAAGGAGTCACGATCGTGCCGTATATTATATGTCAAACCAGCCCTTTCTAACCACTCAGGCAACAACAGGAAACAGTTTAATATGCATAGCCTGGTCTACATCCCTGCATCTGGAGATGACGAGGCTGCCTGGGTTGAGTGCTCGATATGCCTTCTGGACGCACCTCTCACGTTGCGGCACAAGTACCCCATTATCGCTCGATACAAGGCTGCATTTCCCGGGGTGGACCTGACTCTCCTCACTCAGTTCTTCCAAGACTCGCTGGCCATGACGAAATACTCATGGGAGGATACCATCCGCGAGATAAAGTATTTGCAATCCGAAGGCTGCTCCGAATTCGATCTTATAAACCCTCATTATGAGTGTCTAAACCGAGCTCGTCGCGGCTGGATTACCACGAGCATCAACGCCAAGAAGATGAGGTACGTCTAGCCCAAGATCCGAGTCCTTTTTTGAGCCCTCAGAGACTCGAACAGCATCTGACGGGTCAACAGAGAAGAGTTTGAAACCTACTCTCTGATCTTCATCCAGAACGAGAAAAGCCAGTACCACTGGTCGGCACCCTCGGAGTGCCTGTGGTCGAGCGCCACGGAGATCCAGGGCTGGACGAGCCTCAACAATTACTACGATGATAGCTTGGAGGACTTCTTTGTCAATGTTCTCAAGGTGCCCCGCCTCACCGTCAACATGGTCTACGATGAGCTGCTGCGCGTCGACCCCGAGCGGACTACAGTCAAGCAGGTCAAGGACCTGCTCTGGCAGATGAACGCGCTGCTATCCGAGTCCGAGGACAAGAATCCGGAGGGCACGGCCGAGAACCTCCTCAAGCATCCGATTCTGCCAGTCCAGTACCGCAACGGCAACATCAAACTATGCTCGAGCAAGAACGACTTTGCCATCGTAGACCGCCAGCCGCTGATGGAGCTGTTCCAGGGCAAGATAAAGGTGTTGGCCTTCGATCTCACCGAGGTACACAACCTGAAGCGTTTCCTGAAGTGGGCGCAACTTGGGCGGCGATACCTCTCCAAGGTGGTGAGGGAGGTATCTGTTGTTGACCCGGTCTCGGCCTTCCCCCTGGCCGACCTGAGCCTGGACATGGGCCGGAAGGCCCGGGCATTGACACGGTATGTTGCGGCTAACTCACCTCGAGCTCGCCATCCGTCGCATCTTCGAGGGCTAATATATGTAAAGGGTAGCAGTTCATATCCGGAGCCCTCGAGCGCGCGACGACATCCCTGCCTTCTACGAGTTGCTCCGCAGTTCCAAGACGTTAGAGACCGACACCATCTCGTCGGAGCTGACTATCAGCCAAGATGGGACGTCCGTTTCAGTCAAGCAGCAGCAGAGCGAGGTATACATCGATGATACCGCCGGTACACTGACTATCTACGTGCCACACGACAGAGACTCGCTCGAAGTCTGTTTCGGCGACTCCTTGCCCAAGCAGTTGGTCACCTGGATGAACACCGACCCCGTGACCAATGTGCCAGATAGTCGCGTCGACGACCACATTGTGGCCGTCGTCACAGGCATTCTGGCCACCAAGTCTGCCGCCGCCATCAACCGCATCCTCGAGAACAACGGCATAATCGAACTGACCGCCCCCAGCCTCGGCGCGGAGCTCGAACACGCCGCCAACGTAGAGCACGACGTCTCCACCCCGCGAGGCACGGGCGACCTGACCCAGCCATCATCGCCCTCCCCAGGCCTTGACGATGCCGACGCCGACGTCCTCACAGGCATCTCAACACCCGGCTCGACGTGGAGCAGGCCGCCGTCATCATCAACAGGCCACAGGCGCTCCTCCTCCCCCACCATCACCACACCCACACCGTCCCCAACCCGCACAGCCCACAGGCACGAACGGTCCGTCTCCCCTCCGCCCGGGGCAGCAACCGGCGCCACATCGGGCCCGTACCGCCGCCTACTAGCGCACGTGGTGCAGGCCGCGCGCGCCACCGCGACCCTGCCCAGCGCCAACACGGCGAGCGCCGTGCCCGACACCATGCTGTCCCCCGCGGCCGGCACAGAGGACGACGAGGGCCACATGTTTTCGCCGTCGGGCGGCGCGTGGGCGGTGACGGACCAGGAGAAGAAGCTGATCGGCGCGGCGGGCGAGCTGTTCGCGTTCGAGCTGCTGCGCCGCGCGGTACGCGAGGGCGGCGCGGGCCGGGGCCTGTCGCGCGAGGTGTGGCAGACGCCGATCCGCGCGCTGGCGGCTGCGGGCCACGCCGAGTACGCGGGCATGGCGGGGTGGCCGCGGGAGGAGCGCGCCGACATTGTGGTTGAGGACGGGGACGACGGCGGGGGTGACGAGGCTGAGGGGCCGGGGCCGGGGCCTGCGGCGGTGCTGGTGCGCCTGCTGGTCGAGGGCGGGTACCTCGGCGCCGAGTGGGAGGGCCGCCCGCGGGCGCCGCGGTGTTACGTCGAGGTCAAGGCGACGATGGGGCCGTGCGAGGCGCCGTTCTTTATGAGTGACGCGCAGTACCGGAAGGTGAGTCTGCCCATGACAATTCGAAGTGCAGCGTGACTATATTGCCAAGGTTGCCGAGTCGTCCACTGACTTCGGCGCAGATGAGTGAGTTGACAAACAACGAGTCCGTATACATGATCTTCCGGGTATTCAACATGGGCAAGAGATCGATTGGCGTGCGCATCTATATGAATCCAGACCAGATGAGGCTGGAGGGCAGGCTGAGGTTCACAGCCGACCGGTGGACTGTGACGCCGGGTCAGGGGCTCCTGGTGTAGACAAGGCTGCGATTGGGATTACCACTTTTCCTCCGTATCCAGGTAGAATACAACACCTACTAAGTTTGACTTGGCCAATTGTACCCTGATAATAGAGTGGTAATCTCATAAATGCTTCTTCTTGAAACTTTGTTTTCTGTGCGTCGCAAGGCTGAGGCTACAACCACTTATCGCATTTTAACTACTGTATTAACACTAAATGTTTTTAAGCGCTGGGTCTTAAGCCCTTACCACCGTACAAAGGCGCCATGTATGTCGGACGTATACGAAATAGAAGGGAAACCACTTAAAACCTTATAGAGAGTGCTATAGTAGGTAGTTATTGGTAATTATCTTTATATTCATCCTGTCTTGAATTTACATCAGGCAAAGTGCTGATGTAAAAGTTTCGCTATAGTAGGCCTTGATCCCAGGCCGCCCAGATATCAATCCCATAAATGCAACATATAGAAAAAGACATTGGTACTCGTACACACATGCCATCCAGAGGACGGGCTTTCTTTCTTTCCGTGCAGACCCGGCTCCCACCTTCCCGACATGTCGAGTTGTGGTGGTTGGTATATATAAGTGGTATTTGATTGAACATTTCTAATGTCTCGTATAGAATGAAGCGAAAGGCAAGAAAGGTATCAAGGTATCAAAAGAGGTCGGGTAGTATGGAGCCAAGGTAAGTCAAAAGAGGCATGGAAAAGAAGGGGGATTCATGTGGTGAGCAGCAGGTGGTAGATTTATGCGGCGGGGGGGGCATCCTCTAATATCGCGGCCCAGGCGTTCCCCTCTGGCTCTCAAGATCCGCGCCCCAGTTGCTGAAGCCACTGCCGCTCGTGGGCTGCCTGTTGTGCTGTGGCGGCCCGTTGCCATACGGCTGTTGCCTGTTTGGCTGGCTGGTCATGGACCGCTGGCTGTGGGCAGTGCCGGGTCGGTACTGGTACTCGTCCGAGGGCGGCCGCTGGTAATCGCGGGCGTCTGCGGGGGCCGAAGGGTTGAAGTACCCGCTTGCCGCGTCTGACTGGGCGGGTGTAAAGGAGCGGAGCTCGCCGGTCCCCTGTCTCCGGATGCCCGGCTGCGCTGGGGCTGTCATGTTCCTCTGCGGCTGCATTGGTGGCCCCCGGTTCGGCACGGGGCCGGTTGCACTCCGCGTGGGGTAAGCCCCAGGGGATCCTGGGCTAGGATAGCCACCCTGCCCGTACCCAGGGCCCATCATCCTTGGCGGGAGTGCTGAGGGTGCCGGACTTGACTGGCCGTTGTAGTTGTCGAAAGATGCGTTCGAGGGCATTCGCCTTACGGGAGCTGGGCTAGCTCGCCCAGAATTGTAGTCGTCGAATGTTCCACGCGGGGCTGGCGTCATGTTCGATCGGGGCGGCATGCCGTAGGATCCTACTGATGATGCTGTGGGTGACCGGATGGGCTGTGGCATGGGAGGATATTCGCTCTGCGGCGAGTATGATGATGGTGTCTGAGTGTAAGAACCACCAAAATTTGACTGGTTTGTCTGCACCCTGGTCAGAGGTGGGGGGCCACCAACGGGAGACCGCAAGGCCGGGGAAGAACGGCCCATTTCGGCGCCCGCAGCGAGGAGGGGCGCTCGGCTTGACACAGTCGTTGTCGTGCCCGTTCTGCTGGGCATGGGTCGCATCTGGTTGAGCTCGAAGGCAGGCAGGGCAGGCTGACCGCCGCTTGGTGTGCCCGGCCGGGAGGTGTAGACCGGAAGCGTGGCCATGGTGTCGTTCCTGCTAAGCATTGGCATACCCGGAAGCTTATCATCGCCGCCGCTCCCCATGAGGTTTGGCAGGGTGGCCTTGCGCTCCTCGGGTGGCAGCTCACCGGCCTTCTTGGCGGCCTTCAGCTCGGCCTTCTTGCGGGCCCGCTCCTGGTCCTCGATGGCCGCATTGACCTTCTTCGAGACGATCTTCATCAACCGCTTGTTAATTTTCCGCTCACAGTATCCAGATAGACCACCATCGTCTCTTGGAATCCAACCCCAGAGGAAGAAGACGAAGAACAAGGCGGCGATGATGAGCGACAACATTGCAAAGACCCAGATCACCAGGGTGAAGAGCATGCCGGAGAGAATCAAGGCCTGCTGGTAGTCCTGTTCGGCTAGTGTCTTGATCTTGTCGAAAAAGCTCTCCAAGCTGTGTTCAAAGTTGTCCCCCTCTATGGCAAGCTTGGCTGTGTATACCGAGTAGAGGGTCAGGGCATTGACGGCTTGCCGCGGGCCAGAGCAGAAGATGACTCGAATCCAAGCTGGCAATGGGTTAGTAAACTCACGTGGAGATGAGAATAAAGGAGAGCCGGGTACCAACATTGGAAACTGAAGTAGGTGAAGAGGGCAATGTACTCGGCCCCCTTCTTACTCTTGGTGAGCTCCGCAAAGACCAGGAATCTCCGCCATCCCTTGCCTTTTCCCATCCTGATGCTTTCCAGACGGACAGCCAAGTTGTCCAAGTACGACTCAGCAACGGCACCGCGCCTCATGATGCGCTGGGCCCGGATGTGCTCGTAACCGACGTTGACGAATGACAGAATGATGCAGATGGAGAAGATCCACTTGGTCACGTCGAATGAGACGGGTGGCTGGATTTCGGAGGACCACTTGTTGAAGGCGAGCAGGTTGACGGCAGTGAAAGTATCGACTGCGTACACAGCTGTGGATAAGATGAGCGAGAAGTACAGGTAGCCATACGCGATGTACGTAAAGGCATTTCCCGACTTGAAGTCGTTCAATTGCTACAGCAAGAGGGGTTGTCAGTCACAACGGCTCGTCGTTTCTCCCCATTCCATGCGCAAGGCACCGAGCAAGTAACTCACAATGTAGTCCCACTTCTGCTCAGGCCGCACCTCAACATGCGGTCTTCGATGGCTCATGCAACCCATCTTGTCCGTCGTCCGTGACACCGGTCACAAAAGCCCAATGGATCCTGCCCAAGACAAACAAAACCGTCGATCCCGTCGGAAAAGAATTGAAGGAATCGGAGAGTCGTAGAGTGGTCCCAGCTCCCAGCGCCGCTACGTCCCCTGGTGGAATCGATCGGACCGGAACTCAAAGAAATCTCGTTGTCGCCGTCATGGACCAAAGTCGTACCCTCGCCTGCGAAGTTGTCAACTGTGGAATGGTGAAAGAGAGTGTGTGGTACTAGGCGTCCTCGTGTTTGTTGGACGCTCTCGGGAGATATTCGGCCGCGGGTAGGGGTTGCAGCAGTGGAATCTGATCGGTCCCTTGAGAGCCTTGGGAAGGGAGGGACAGGAGGCAGTCCGATGCGGTGAGACCAGACGATTATGCGACACGACAGGTGGAAGCGATTGATGCTATGGAGGCCCTCTCATACTGACACTGCCAAGGCTACTATTCTGGGGCTGATCGACGTAATCACGTTCGGCAATCCCCAGGGAGTCGGGTGCCGGAGTCGTCACTGCTCAGCAGCCGTGTTGGAGAAAGCGTAAGGAATGGGGACGATCGAGAGTGAGAGCATGGGACGAGGTTCAAAGACACCAAGGAATCAGCCCGACGGTGGGTCAGGGTGATTTTCGGCAAGAAGAAAGAGAAAGGTCGAGTCTATCGGTATGGCGGTTCGATACGCGTCCCGGTGTGTTGGATTTTTGGGTTTATCGGGTGGTGAGAGACTGCCACAGGTTTGATCGTCTTCGCTTTGCCCGGTAGTGGACAAGGCTGGGTATCAGAATCGGAGCAGGTTGTGAGTGGATATGGGCCGTTGGGTGGACAATGCGTATTGCGATGATCGAAAATGTTACCCGCGCAAGAAATGAGCGACGACACACGATAGCTGATATTGTGCTGGATTGCTGAATGGCAAATGAATGGCTGAAGGAGTGTGGGTGACCAGAGGGTCTAATGAACGGTCGACTGGCCGCTGGTGGAGGCCGCCTCTTTCATCCCAAGTGATGGTGGTGGGCTGAACGGAGTACAAGAGTGGGGGGGAGGACGAAGAAGGGGGAGGATGTCGACAGCAAGAAGGTTGTATGGGGGCACCGCCGCGGCATGAAGACGCCGTCGACGGGAGTGTGTTTGAGGGAGAGTTCAGAGAGCGTGTAATGCAGGGGTGCCCCCATCCCAGGTGTCATGTAGCCTGTCATACAGTAGGACCCTTCCTTAGGGTGAGTCTGTTACTGTGAACAATACCAGCAGGCGGGTATGCTATCAGACTGGCGTCAAGGGTTGCGGGCGCCCTATCAGCAATACTCCCGCATACCTCTGGGCTGAGGACTGGGCCCGCGGGTGGCACCATCCCGATGGTGGCCAATGCCTGTCAGAAGGCCCCTGCCCGACGCAGGAACCCTCTGTTGGAGGATGCGCTAGCCTTCAAGCGCTCTTAGTGTCAAACCCATCGGTACCATCCCTTGTCCCCCTCGAACCGTGGGACGCTCGATTGGCTTCCCTCGCTGGTGTCAGTCGTCGTTTGCCTTCTCCCTGGCGGCCCCCTTATTTCCGATCGACAGCCCTCTCTGCCTCTCAAGTTGCCTCACAGCGTTTCCCATGGCTGCTGGCCATCATCTGCATGAGACAACCATGGGCTCGCATGGGCTGCCAGCTGCCTACTGCTCGGTGTTACTCCGCATCCTCAATCAAGCGCTGACATTGGCAACGACGACAACTCTCGTCGAGCCGTTGGGCCATTGAAACAAAACATCCACCGATCAGCAGCAAGGGCGTCTACCTCGTCATCCTGTTTGGCCACCTGGCCGCACCCAATAAGCTCACGAAAAATGTTTGTCTGCCAGCTGCACTGCCCAGCCATCCACCCGGCCACTCAGCCAACTACAACGCAGCAACGCAGCAGTCTGCCCTCTGCTGAGTGCAGGCCGCAGCCAGAGAGGCCCTCTCTCTATCCACCCGCCCCGTCCACGTGTTAGGTGGTTCGTTTCACCCGCGCTGCTCCAGTCGCCATGTCATTGGCCTGCCTCGGCCGCTGGCCGGAACGTACCGAGTTAGCCTGGCTGCAGAGCAAGACAAGGCTCCATACGGAGCACTTTGTATGCAGGAGCTCCTGCCCGCCCCTCGCCAGCTTGTCTTGCGTCTCTGCGCGACCTTCACAGTTGCCACAGAAGTTCTCGGGACACGGCAATTCCGTCATGCTGGTCATGTGTCAAGGTCAAGGCTTGTCGCGCGGCTCCATCGCTGTGAGAAGTGCAAAAAAAGATTAGAGACCCTGGCGCCTCCGCTGTGGAGCAGGCTAGGTATTCTTCCGAGCTGCGAACGGATGGGGTGGAATTCTGTGACGCCAGTCGCTGAAAGCGTGCCAGACGTGCTCACGCTGTGGGACCCATCAACCTTGACTGACAGGCCGCAACGCCAACTCGCCCTATCTAGTCGCCGAGGAGATGCGGCTCCGAGTCAACCTCCTCTGGATGCAAATTAAGCAATCAGAGTTGTAGGAATGGATGAAGCTCGACGCAGCTGTCGAGGTGGGTTGCCGATATCTCATGAGTCGGTCGCCACCCAGAAGCTTGTCATTTGCCGACAGGACTGGACCGTGCCATGCATGCCGGCTGCCCCAATTTACGTCTTCCTGCGTCTAAAAACGCACCGTCGCGTGTTGATGCGCATGAGGGGCATTCTGTTGCATCCGTCAAAGCCTACTAATAATTCGGACGCGGCACCTGGACAGGACAGCCGAGTCTGCCTTCTTGACTTACACCTCGGCGCTGGCGGTTCCGAGCAAGCGATTGGATTGCCAGAGCCCAATTTACCGCAGACGGAACCTGATCAATCCCAGGCAACGGCCAAGGCATAATGGCAGCGGTAGAAACAGAGCACAGAGCACGGAGCCGCTGGGCCTGAGAACTTTCCTCCGGCTGGGCAAACAAGCGCCGGCCGTGACACACATGATGCAACCCGCGAAGAGCACCAGGCGGCTCCTGCGTCCTCAGCGCGCCGGACCGCCTCGTTCAAGTCTAGTTGTTTAATGATCAACTTGACACTGCGTCTATGTGTTTCTACCGCAGTTCTGTCTATTTTTCTACGCATGCCAGAAACAAATTCAACTCTAGCGCCTACACGGCGCACGCTGTATGGGTTGACGAAGCGCGATCGGTGAAGCGTCTATGCAGGTGGGCGACTCCGTGCCCATCTGTTGGACGGGATGAGGACCGCCGTCTCGGCTGCTCGGCTGCTCGGCCGCTGTCCCGTTGTCATTCTCATAGCCCAAACGCTTTATTATAGGCGTCGATAACGACTGCGCGTTGCTGCTGCTGCTCGGTGGCGGTGAGCCCGATGGCGCTACCACGCCTCCTCCGCCAGCTGGGCTTGGTCTCGTGGATCCTGGCCTCGCTGTCGTCGCCCTCTGGCTCGTCAAACTCGTAGCTCCTGTACTCGGTGTTCTCCCATCCCGTACCTAGAGTGGTCACGTCAGTCAAGGCCCGGCAGACCAACAGGGGCCCCCAACCACCACCGTCACCACCACCACCGCTCACACGTACCTTTGGAAACATCCAGCCCCTCCCAGTCCTGCGTCAGGAAGTGCAAGAACCCCCCGTGGGTCGTAACAACAATCTCAGCAGCGTCGCCACGCCCCTCGGCCTTCCACCCCCTGCCCAGCTCCCTCAGCCACACCCTCGCCCTCCTGGCCCTCTCCTCGAGCGCCTCGACGCGCGGCGCCCAGGGCGACCCCTCGCTGGTCTTGTCGTTCCACCCCTTGGGGACGCCCGACACGTCGGCCCACGCGCCGAACTCGGCGGCCAGCACCTCGGGCTCGGACCCGGTGTCGCAGGGCAGCGGGGAGACCTCCTGCACGAGGGGCTGCGCGACGACCCTGAGCCCCGCGTCGACGGCCGGGCGGAAGGACTGCTCGCAGGTCTGGAGGGTGCGGCGCAGGGGCGAGGCGACCAGGTGCGTGAGGCGGTCGTGGTGCGGGAAGCTCGCGCGCAGGGCCTGGCACTGCTCCCTGCCCGTGGGCGTCAGGTAGGGGTCTGGGATCTGCTGGTTTGTGACGTTGAGGTTGTGGAAGCCCTGCGCGTGGCGGACGAGGTGGAGGGTGATTGTCATCTTTGGGGCTGGGGGGTTTTGTTGTCTGCTCGGGGTGAGTAAGGTAAGTCGTTGGTGACTCTGCGGTCTGGTATACACAGTATATGCGGTTTGGCGTGGTCAGTCTCTTGATGTTGGTGAGTCCGGGAGTCTAGTTTTTATCATGAGAGCAGATAGATACTGTGTAGAGGGGTTGAGAGTGCAAGTCGTCAAAGTCAGTCGTCCTAGCAGGATGAGTCATGCTGCCAGAGAGGTCTATCCTCATGTTGTCATGATCCCGCCCTTGGCTGGCGGGAACGAGGGCCAGCCCGAGGTCGACAGTCAACCTGTGTCGTAATTGTCGTCCGCTGGGGAGAAGGAGCGACCCTCGGCGGGCTGATAGAAACCCACGTCACCATCCAAGGCTGCCAAAGCCAGCCGGGCAGCCGGCTTACTCGATCTGGACAAGCACGGTTCAACCCGGGACCCGTGGCGGCAGCACCGAATGCCATCAGTCGAATGGGCCCGATTCCAGCCCCGCGGGGCCCGGACCGGCCACGGTGGGTCCGATCGGAGTGCCGGCATCGGCCGCACCGGAGCAGGCCTGGCTTGAGTGGCCGACGCCTGTGGCTTCGACATCAACCGACCATGCCATACATTGCAGCTTCTTGCTTCCTCTTAAAACATCGACCACCCGAGCTACATATGCATCACGCTTCCATTTGCAGTAGCATAACTTGAGGTGGCTGGCTATATGTGTTGCCAATAGGACCCCTCGGCCACTAATAAACCAACTACCCCTAACCGTCATAAAACCGACGGGCTTGATGGCGTGCGGAGAATTGCCCAACCGGGCCGAGAAACAAAGGCCGCGCCTTGCCACTTCACGCCCTTCTGATTTGTCACGGGTGAGACGCCTTGCTCTACTACCATAACCTCGAACCAACATCTTCCAGGTAGACATCTTCGGGCTTCGAATCAAGTCGGGATTTGGTGGCGTGGGTGGAAGTGGAATGAATTGACAAATAAATGTATAGCGCTTTCTGGAGACTCAGGCACCCATAAGGTGCCCTTTGTGCCCTTCTAAACTACGCAGAAAAGCAGCGGTCCCTGTGGAGAGTCCAATAATCCCAGCTTCTAACTTCCTGGATATTGTATCATACTGTACAACAGAGCACCCACATGGCCCTCCACCACTCACGGCCGACCTGGCACGCCGGCGAGCTCGCAGTACACAAGCTCGTCCGCGTCCCGACCCGCGAGAACCCGACGGCAGCAGGCCTCCCCGCGAGCTACGGCTACCGGGTCCAGGCCTCCCCGCTCGTGGCCCTCGGCGCCCTGGACGACGAGGGCCGGCCATGGACCACCGTCTGGGGCGGGGAGCCCGGGTTCGCGCGGCCCATCGGCCACGACCTGCTCACGGCGGCCAGCCTCGTCGATGCCGACCACGACCCCGTCGTCTCGGCGCTGTTCGGCGGCGGTGGGGGAGAGACCAGGACCAGGACCGACAGGAGGTACGAGATGGGCCCGGCCGACTTCGCGTCCGGCGGCGGCAGGGTCGTCTCCGGGCTGAGCATCGACCTCGAGACGCGCGACAGGGTGAAGCTCGGCGGGAGGCTGGTCGAGGGCGGCGTGGCGAGGGGCGGCGAGGGCGGGGACGGGGACGGACCCGCGCGCGCCGAGGTGGTCGTCCTCGTCGAGGAGGGCCTGGGGAACTGCCCCAAGTACCTCAACAGGCGGGCCGTCCGCGCCGCGGTGCCGGAGCCCCGGCTGTTGTCGGGCGCCCTGCCGCTCCCGGCCGAGGCGGTCGCGCTGCTCGGCCGGGCGGACCTGTTCTTCCTGTCGACGGCGGCGGCCGACGGGCGGACCATGGACACGAACCACCGCGGCGGGCCCCCGGGGTTCGTGCGCGTCATGCGGAACAGCGATGCCGATGGTGTCGACCTCGTGTACCCGGAGTACTCGGGCAACCGGCTGTACCAGTCCCTGGGGAACATGCACTCCCGGCCGCTCGTGGGCGTGTGCGTCCCGGACTTCGACTCGGGCGACGTGCTGTACCTCACGGGCGAGACGCAGATCCTCGTCGGCGCCGACAGCAGCAGGGTCCTGCCGCACACCAAGCTCGCCGTCAGGATCCGCGTCACGGCGGCGAGGTACGTGGCCGGGGGCCTCCCCTTCCGCGGCGGCGGCGGCGGCGGCGGCGCGACCGACTATAGCCCGTACAACCCGCCGGTGCGTCGCCTCGCGGCCGAGATGGACGACGAGGGGGGCCCACCGCCGGCCGATGACAACACCAGGCCATCCGCGACGGCCACGCTCGTCGGCAGGGAGATCATCACGCCGACGGTGGCGCGCTTCACCTTCCGCCTCGGGACGGCGCCGGGGGCCAAGAAGCTCGCCCGGTGGGAGGCGGGGCAGCACGTCACCCTCGACTTCGCGCCCGAGCTGGATATCGGCTGGTCGCACATGCGCGACGACGACCCGGCCAGCCTGAACGACGACTTTGTCCGCACCTTTACCGTCTCCAACGCCCCGCCCCCAGCAGGAGCGCAGCCCGGCGAGGGCGACGGCGGGGACGGTGGCACGCCGCCCGTGATCACAGACGGCACGGAGCTGCAGATCACGGCGCGGAGGCACGGCCCCGCCACGGGGCTGCTGTGGCGGCAGAACCTGCGCGCCCCGCTGGAGCTGCCGGTGCTGGGCTTTGGCGGGTCCGAGGCGTTCCGCGCGGCGGCCGCCGGGGGGGAGAAGGAGGTTGTGTTCGTCGCGGGCGGCGTGGGCATCACGCCCATCCTGGCGCAGGCCCCGGGGCTGCTTGCCGCCGCAGGAGGAGGAGGAGGGCAGACGGGCTTCTCCCTGCTGTGGGGCCTGCGCGCGGCCGACCTGCCCCTCGCGGTCGACTCTTTTACGCGGTGCGAGGGCCTTGCGGCGCGGAGCCGGGTGTTTGTCAGCGGCGGGGACGCCCCCGTGGCCGGCGGGGACATCTCGCGGCTTGAGGGTCTCGGGGCTGTGGTCACGGCGGGCAGGCTGACGCGGGATGGCGTGCTGCTCCGGCGTGGAGGGGATCAGCGCCCCAGGAAGTATTATTGCTGCGCGGGGCCTGGGCTGATCAAGGAGCTCCTGGGCTGGCTCGACGGTGAGGAGGTGGTATATGAGAGCTTTGAATACTGATGGGCCGGCTTTGTCTCTGAGCCGCGTCGGTGCCAACTTGATATTTGGTTCATTTGCTGTGCCAGGTGTATAAAATTCATGTGTTGATGTTTTGTACTGGTAAATACTCAATCAAGTAATAGATGGAGGCATCCATCTCATCATAACTAGGCCTCAAGAATCCCATAATGGATTAGGCTCCACTACAATTAGTACAAGTTGTAGAGAAGTAGAGTACAATGAACAGTAGATACCAGAATGCGGAATTCGTCTCACGACGTAGTCCAATCTCATTTGCTATCTCGTTCTCGTGGGCTTCGGTCCCATATGCCGTGAAGCGGTCCCTTGACCCAGATTACCTCCGTGCGCGACAGCTGGAAAAGCACCGCTGCGATGGAGCTCCCGTCTGCGAAACGACTCTTTATACTAGACACCAGATGCAACCATCTGATAATGCTGCATCTCAGATACCACAATGACCGATGCAATAGACCCTCATAGCTCGATCAGAGCCTCCTCTACTACAGGCTTCGGCGGCGCAATCGCGTGCTGTGGAGCCGATGGGAACGCCTCCTGTTGGTATCCGCCATACTGTGGCTGCTGCTGCTGCTGTGGGGGAGCCTGCTGCCAGGGCGCCGAGGGCTGTGCTGGCATCTGGACGTGTTGGGCAGCCGGGTGCTGCCAGTATGGCGCCTGTGGCTGCTGGTGCTGCTGAGGGGGTGGTGCCTGCTGCTGAGCAGGCTGCGCGTGGGCGGTTGGCGCTGGCGTCTCGGGCCCATTCTGACCCTGTGGGGGGTATTGTTGCAACGGTTGCTGCAGGTTCGGGTATGGCGATGGCGCAGCTTCAGGCGGAGCACTGGGCGACGCGGCCGGGTTCTGGCCTGGCTGTTGGAAGTAAAAGGAGGCATTCGGGTCACTTGTCGGGGTCGTGCCGACCGACTCGGGGGCGTTGGGCTGCTGCTGCGGCAGAGAAAGGTGGCTCATTTGAGGGGTAGCAGTTTCGCTGGGGGGATAGTTCGGCTGTGGTGGATACTGGTTTGGCGGCGCAGACGCCCTCCAGCTGTCCTGCCTCGGGGGCTGCTGCTGCTGCTGCTGCTGGGGGTATTGGTGCTGAGGAGGACCCGAAATCGAAGCACGTTGATCATAGTTGGCGTACTGTGGTTGGGGGGTAGGTTGGGTAGGATACGGATATGACGGCTGGGGGGCTGATCTGTTATAGTCCTGCTGAGGCTCGCCAGTGTAGAAGTTTTCTGCAGGACCCGCGTGGTTGGTAGGAACATTAGCCTGGAGGTTCGGATAAGGGCCGGATGATTGACGATGCTGTGGCAGGTTGTACCCGCCCAGATGATTCTGGTGGTTGAATGCTTTCGACAGCCGGTCCTCCAGCATCCTGTCGTAGTAGCGCACTGCCGTCTGGAGCTTGGCGTGCAGGTCAAGCAGCGTGTCTGGCTCCATGTCAGCAGCAATATCACACACAAAGGCAAGGGGATTGGTGGACCCACCATGCTTGCTCATCGTCTCGCCATAAGTCCGCGCCAGCTTCGGACGGAGCGTTCCAATACTGTCGTAGAGTTCCTGTATCTGCGGCTCTCGCAGGATCGTCCCTGGAGGCTGCGTCTGCAGTCGGTCGACCAAGGTCGAGAAAAGGTTAATGTTCTCGGCTTCCACCGGGGATAGCTCGTAGTCGTTCTTGGGCAGCGCAAATGTGCTGGACGGTGCATTGTTGGAGCTGGACGTTTGCTCCTTCAAAGCAGCGGCGTGTTGCTTCTTTTGTTCTTCCATATCCGCCAGCGACGCTGCAATGGCCGCCTTCAGGTCAGCGTCCTCCTCTTCGGCTGCTTTGCCCGCAGCATCGCCGTTCACCTTGGCATGGGAGTGGTGGGTGTTGTTGGCCGGGGCAACATAGTCTCTGCCTTTCTGGTGGCTCTGGACCTCCTCCAAGCTCATCGCCAGTGCCTTTTTCAGGTCTTCATCGAAGCCGTCGTCCACCCTTGCATTCCGGGGCTGCATAGAGACCGAGTGGCGCTTGAAGGAGGCCTTTGACGGTGAGTGCTCCTGACCAAACCCACCTCCCCTGCCACCGGACCTGTCGGTCAGTTTCGCATAACACCCGTCATCGACCCGGACCGGTTGCAGTATTCCGAGGTGAGGCAAGGGCAGCGTCTTGGTCGAGCACTGCTGGTCGAATACGTTTCCGCAGTTCCGGCAGTGATGCTTTCGGTTGGTGAAGGTGAAGGCCGTTCGACATCGCATGCACACATCTGAGTCGACCCATTCGGGTGGCTGGTTGATACCTAATTAGCAAGCGAAAATGTTAAGGCGAGGAGCTGTTGAACGCACCGCACTGCTGTCGATCATGCTGCTAGACACAGACTGCCGCGGTGGGAACTGGAAGCCCTCTCTTTGCAACGTCCTGTACACCTCGCCAATATAGCTCAGCTCGTACCGGCCCTCGGTCGCAGCGGCCCAGTGTTGGATCAGCTCGAGAATCTTGGTGCGAACATCGTGGTTGACAGAAGCCGGGCCGATGGCTTTGAGCAGGGAGACGAGATTGTCCATAAATTCTTTGGAGGCGATCTCGGCGAGGAAATGTTGGCCGCCATTCTTGACGCAAGTGTCTGTGAGCTGCGGGGAAAGTCAGCATTGCAAAAGCGTCCCACGAGTGCACAGGAGAAGAGAAGATGGATCTGCTTGGTGGACATACGTTCAGGGCGCTCAACTGTGTGTTCGGATTCTTGTCGCCGATGCGCTTCTTGAGAGAGCGCATGGCGTCCTTTGGTGGGACAGTCTTGGACCGGATGACGTCGGATATCTCGAGGTTCAGAGCTATGTCTTCCCTGTGGAACATGGCATCTCGTTAGTAGCTGCCAGCCGCTGCGTTGGAGAGCCGCGCATGCGAGGGGGCGCCCCAGGACGATGTGCATACAGGCTGCTGCTGGTGGCCTTGTTGACCTGTTCGTCCAGGGCGGACGAGGCCGAGGAGGACCACCATCCCATCATGATGGCCTGCGGTGTGGAGGTCTGCCTCTGTGGTTTCGATGCGGAATGGCTGGGCTCGTTGTAGCCCGCGGTGGGAAGGGAGCAAGGGATGGACGTCGGATCGGAGTCGCAGGAGGGTCGGATGGCTGATGTATGATTCGATGCGCAGGCCAGTATGAGGATCTGTGCCTGGCAGGATGGAGGGGATGAAGGCGGATGGGTGGTGGTCGATGACCTGAAGTCGTGTCGCAGCGCTGCGCCCGTTTGGCCGTGGAAGTCAGGCCGTGGAAGTTTGGCCGTGGAAGCTCCGTTGGTATCGACTTGGTTGCAGCCGATTGCCTGCCTGCCTGCTTGGATGGGAGGCGCGGCGCTGAGGTGGAGGAGCTTACGTCGGTGACAGGGGTGAGTAATTCAGGTGCCTGGGCACCGAGCAACACATGTGCAAATGGGTACTGCTGCAAGTATCCGTACTCAAGGAGCGATGGGCAGCTTACTAACTTCCAACTAGGTTGTTGTCGGCTCCAGGTGTTCATCACCCGCTGTGCAGACGCCCTGATGCTCTGGGTCCCGGGGCGCCGTGGGATGGTCCCTGGAGCTTCCCCTACGCTACGTGGGTATGTACTGTCTGGAGACGGGCTACTTCTGCAAACATCACTGCAACGGGCCCGATCATGTAAGCCTAGCAGAACCATACATGTATGGACTGAAGGGTCCAGTGGTTGATAATGCGATTGATGTCTTGAGACTGTCACTGTGAGACTGCAAATGGAATATTTCGCGAGCAATATATGAATATAGAAGAGTTATATGAATAGAGTGCAGACCTAATAAGTGGACTTACGGACCAGACTGACACCCCGCGCTGAGGGATGTACTCCGTACCTCCTGCGCTAGAGGTACCTCGCCTCGTGGCTGCTGAACCGCCGACTTGAGCGACTCGACTCGGGCACCACTCCCCATATGCCAGATTGTCCATGCCAAACTCGCGCTGGCATTTTTGCCCAGTGAGGTCATACGCCTCCCCGTCGGTCATGCTCGACACCGTGACAAGACCACCACACCTCCTCCTGCACCCTCCCGCGACCACGACAAAGGACGCCACGCATTCCAGCCGGCTTCATCAACACATCCTGCCTCGACCCCCGCTTTCGCTTCCGCTTCGACTCGGTATTGTTCTTTGGCATCCCAGAAGCAGCATTCGAGCGTCATAGTTCCTCGTACTCGAACGCCATTGTTCCTCCGCCCTCCTCCTACCTCGTCCTGTTTCTCGCTTCCCCCGGGACCTGTCCTCCTGTCTCCACATTGACAGGACAGCCTGCTCGATATCCGCTTCTGAATACCCGACTAGTCAGCCAGCTTGCTCATCCGCTCCACTCTTGCGTCGGCGGCCAACCCGGCGGACACCGTCACTCCTCCTTGTCGTTGCCCCTCCGACTGGTCCGCCTTCCTGTCTCGGGCAGCCTTCGCTTCAACCTCCTCCAATCCTCCCAGCTTCGAACCTATGCCACCGATGTTTCGTGCAGCATGACCTCGGACTCAGGGCCTACTGTTGCTTCTCACCGCATCAGTGGCCATGTCGGAGGCCGCAAGGAGCCGGGTGGCCCTTACCCACACATCGACGATATCCTACAGGTTACCCCCGATGGTAACTCCTCGCAGCCACTCGGCCACCTCCTCGGAATCGCAGAGAATGGCGTCAAGTACGCAAAGTTCCAGGCAGACATCGGCCGGATAGACATAGCCCTCAGGGAGTACCTGAAGGCTTACATCATCGCCGTCAACATCATACCCGGCCACAGAGACTACACATCACTCCAGATAGACCGGAAGCACCTCGGGGACCGCTACTCCAGACTCACAAAGGACTTGCATGCCTATACAGATAATTACGAGACCATAAAGCAGACTATCAAGGCCGACAATGCGAAAACGGGGGTCCAAAGGGCCACGCAGACAAGTGCCCACAACGGCAGGCCACAGACACCAAAGTACCCGTCAAAGGCTCCAGCCGTTACTACTTCGCCGACAAAGAAGAATCCGTCGCCCGCCAAGATGAGGCCACCTGTACAGCCCAAGCCGCCTGGTCTCTCTGGGAAGACCATACAGAAGCCAGGCACAGGTGGCAAGACCGACGACCTGACCCAGAGGTTTAACGCATTACGAGGTCATGTTCAAGACCCACGCATAAATACACAACCGCCGCCTGTTCCCATTCCCACAGAGAAGCCCGCAGGTCCTAGGGAGATGCCAAAAAAGCCCCCGTTATCAGTCGATGGCGTGGATCCGGTGATGCCAAAGCTTCCGGATGCCATATATAGCCCCGTCCGGAGTAACCTCTCCAATGAAGCTGCGTCACTGCCGTCAAGCACCCCTCGTGGCTTCAGCAGGCAGAACTCGTCACTTTCTTCGGCTGCGAATTACCCCCCGACCCAGACCAATGACTATTTTGGACCCATCACTTCCACAGGGCCGACATCTGCACCATCCAACGAGAAACGACGGACTCCACTCCCCGAAGGAGACATCATCACTGTTGAGGAATTCGTCAAGTATCAACGGATCGGTTCTACAGTTTTCCGAATATTGGTGATCGATGTACGTTCCCGGCCCGAGTTTGAGGATGGCCACATCCTCTCTTCGGCTACCATCTGCATTGAACCGGATATCTTGCAGAGAGACCGGATCGAGGCGGCTGATGTCGAGGACGCCATGGAACTCGGGCCGCACATGGAGAAGTGGCATTTCGAGAGACGCCATACATTCGACATGGTTGTCTTTTACGACCATAATTCGGAGCACCTCAGCTCGGGGAGCACCAACGCACCGGCTACACTCTTTAGGTTGTTGACGGACTTCGATTATCCCGATGGAGACCCGGCCTCAAAACACCCCAAGCTACTGAAGGGGGGGTTAGAAGCATGGCAGGATGCCATGGGTCCCAGTGCTCTTCAGAGAATGTCCAAGTCGGCGCATAACAAACGGCCGTCTGCGTATGACGTGCGCAGGCTCAGGGCGCCCTCGAAGCCGATTCAGAACATCGAGGAGGCACGACGCTGGGAAGAGAAAATAGAGGCAGACAATGCTGGCGGAGACGAGTTCCAGCCCGTGAGAACCCTCAGCGACTTCATCAACCGCTTCCCGCCCATACAAGAATCCATGACGTTGCCTCCTGTGGGATCGCCGACTGTGGGCGACAACTTGAATGGCCGGCTCTCACCTGGACCCATACGCTCTCCGGGACCCCGTCCAAGTCCGCAGTCAGACCATTTTGCAGACTTGATCCCGGTTGAGCCGACTCGCCCGGCACCCACCGTACCGCGTAAACCCTATGGCGGGCTACAAGACACAGAGGACGATCATGGGACGTCCAGCAAGCTCAAGAAAAGGTCAGACGCGGCAAACAGGGGACGAGCCCTGGGATTAGAGAATCCAACAGGAGCATGGTGTTACGCCAACAGCACCCTACAGGCCTGGTTTGCCTCGGGTGGCTTTGGTGGGGAGCTCATCAGCGGAGAATGGGCTCAGCTCTACAAGGCCCCCATGAAGAGCGACGAGACCCTCCAACCCCCGCAGCTACTGACCAAGATGCTGTCGAACTTATTCCACTGGATGGGGAATGGGAAGTTCCCCCAGATGCATGCGAGAACCCTGATGGAATACCTGCGACAAAAGTCCTCCAAGAATTCTCAGGGCCAGCGAGTCCCCGAAAGTCTTGTTCTGGGCACCAACAGGCAACAAGATGCTATGGAATTCTTGCTCTACGTGTTCACGGAAATAGACGACGAGACGAACCGATTCCGTAATCGCCCGCAGGAAGTGCCTCAACCTCAGCCTTCAAAGACTAAATCTCTGACGGACCTGGCCATTCAGTACTGGGATCTCCACAGCCGAGTCAGCGACTCGATCATAGACAAGTATTGGCGCATAACCGAGGTCGTCATTGTGTCTTGCGACCAATGTGGTCATGTGGTGACCAAGTACTCAAACAAGGACATGCAGTTTCTCAGCCTGCCCCAACAGTCAAGCCCCGTCCTGATGGAGGACCTGCTGCGGAAGGACTACACAGACGAGCGCCTCGAGGATTACACGTGCGACAACTGCGCGGCCAAGGGCTTCTGCCGGAAGGGGTCCAGGCTCGCGCGCCTCCCGGACCTCCTGTGCGTGTGCTTCACGCGGTTCGAGAAGCTCGGCGACGGCACCCGCTTCTCCAAGATCACCACGCCCGTCGACTTCCCGATCCGCGAGCTGGACCTGACGCCGTACACGATCCAGGGGTCCTCGTCCCTCCTGGGCAACGGCAGCTCGACGGGGGGCCTGCGCTCCCCGGCCTCGACCATCCCGACCGACGACCACCACTTCAACCGGCCCTTCAAGTACGAGGCCTACGCCGTCGTGCAGCACGGCGGCGAGCTCAACAGCGGGCACTACGTCGGCATCATCCGCGACGAGCCGCACGGCCCGGACGGCAACAGCAAGTGGCACGTCGCCGACGACGCGCGCATCCTCGACCTCACCGTCGGCAGCTCGCGCTCCGACAAGGGCAGCCAGTTCCTCTACAAGCAGGACCGGCACTGGGGGTCGGGCATGCAGGCGTTCATGGTGTTCTACCAGCGCAAGGACGCGGAGCTGGTGTGAAAAACATTAGCCGCGAGCTCGGCCATGGACCAGCGGGACGGGAAGGGGAAGGGGAAGGGGAGGGGGGAGGGGGGAGGGAAGGGCATTATAGTATAGGGAGTTTTGTATAGAAGACAGACAGACACAAGCCCGTTTTTTTGTTGTTGGAGTAGCATACCCCCTTCATCCTGGATACCTACCTGACTTTTTCTCGATGCCTTCCATCTTCCTTTTAATCTAGCGTGTTGTCAACCTTTTTGATCTGCCGTGCTCGTGCTTGGCCGCATGCACTTTGTGCCTCGTGTGGAGTCCCCAGCCTACGGGTTCGTGGTGCGACGCTGCCGGCGCCTCGCCGGGGTCCTTGTGGAAGTCCCGGCCCATGGGCAGTGATTTCTCAGTGGTGAGCCAGCCGACTGCAGGAAGAAGCGGGCTGTGCTCCCGCAGGTCAATTCCACACAGTATCAAGACACAAGGCACACACACCCTCGTTCCCCTCCGTGGTCCGAGGCCAGTTACCAAAGGGACTTCATCATTGTACAAGAAACATAATGATACAAGCCCCAATGTCCGTATTGTCCAAAACCATTCCCATTTTAAGCCTATCAGGGTGCCTCTACCGGCACCAGGGGTGTGATAATACAGAAAAGGGGGTATTGTACACAATAAAAGTATCCAAGCTTAATAGGGGTTCCATGGGGAAAAGATGTTGGGGGGTGGTAATACGAGAGAAGTTATAGACAGGAAAGCACAGCACAACACAACACAACCTAAACGCCACGCCAACAACAGAACGAAGCAACGCCACAAACAAGCCAAACAGTCAGGGCGACCGACCTCATCGGCCTCGTGACCGTAGAAGCCGAGGCAGAAGACATTGCCTATGACCCCTTGAAGGCCTCCTCGATCTCCTTTGCGTACCTCTCCCGGATGGCCCTCCGTTGGAGCTTTTGTGTTCCCGTGACGAGGCCCTGTAGCGGACATTAGTATACCACACTCATCACTCATTCGACCCAGGTCGCCACAGCAAAGCGACAAGAGAAACAAAGGAGTAGGGGGCAGATTGGGTATCAGAACTCACACTCTCAGGCGTCCACTCCTCGTCCGTCAGGACCACGCCACTGATCGTCTCGAGCCCAGTGAGGCCCGCGTTCTTGCCCTGCGCGATGAGGTCCTTGAACACGGCGCCCCGGACCTTGTGGTCGCGGACGAGCTGGTGCGCGCCGCCCGACACGCCGAGCCCGGCGGCGATCTCCTTGATGACGGGCTCGCTGACAAAGATGACGGCGATGGGCCGGGGGTGGTCCGAGTCGCCGTGGATCATGAGGTTCTGGACGGCGCGCGAGCCGCGGTAGGTGGCCTCGAGCTTCTCGAGGGCGATGTACTCGCCGCCCTGGAGCTTGACGAGGTTCTTGACGCGGTCGATGATCTTGAGGTGGCCGACGTCGTCGAACTCGCCGATGTCGCCCGTCTTGAACCACCCGTCGGCCGTGACGGCCTTGGCCGTCTCCTCCGGGTTCATGTAGTACTCCTTGAGCACGGGCTTGCCGCGCACCCAGATCTCGCCCTGCGGGGGCGTCGTCGACGTCGAGTAGTTGAGCTCCGGGATGCTCACCAGCTTGCACTCTATGGCGGTGGAGAGGGGCCCGCACGAGCCCGTCAGCCGGAACTGCTGGGGCGAGGTCACGGCCCCGTTGCCGCCCGTCTCGGTCAGGCCGTAGCCCGCCAGCATGGGCGCCACGATCATGGACATGAAGTGCGCCGTCTCCTTGGAGATGCCGCTGGCGCCGTTGATGATGAACCGCAGCCGGCCGCCCGTGAGCTTGCGCACCTGCCCGAAGATGGGCCCGTCGAATATCGTCTGCAGCGGCAGGTTGTGGCTGACGAGGAAGGACTTGGTGTTGAAGGCGCCCCAGAACAGGCTGCGCACCAGGAGCGACCCGCTGTTCACGCGGCCCATGACGCCCTTCTTGATCGTCTCCCAGACCTGGGGGACACCGACCAGGATCGTCGGGGAGAGCGATCGCATGTCGCCCATGCAGTTGCGGACGTTCTGATCTGACAAGGTCCGGGCGCTTCCATAGCCCATCGTCGCGCCGAAGTAGAGGACAAGATTCTCGACGACCATCTCGAAGATATGGGCCAGGGGCAGGTAGGCCAGGACGACCTCCTCTGGGCTAACGCTGTCGCCAATGACGCCCACCAGGCCGGCCACGGCGGCCACGAAGCCCTCATGTGTCATCGAGACGCCCTTGGGCGGGCCGGTCGATCCGGATGTGTACATGACGCAGTACATGTCTTGGGGGGTCGGCGGCACGGGGTCGTAAGGGTTTTCTTGGCCGAGGGAAGCTAGCTCCGAGACGCTCAGGACGGTAAGGTTCGGGTGGGAGGACTTGAAGGCGTCGATCTCAGCCTGTGGGGTGGGCAGTGCGATAGACTGGTCGTTGTACACGACGATCTTGATGGTGTCGGCCTTGCTCAGCGCCCGGGAGGCCGTCTTGAGCAGGTGGGGGTCGGTGAACATGACCTTGGGCTTGCTCTGGACCAGGGTGTGCTCGACGCCCTCTGCGCCGAGGGTATCGTAGGCGGTGACGATGGCGAAGGTCTGGGAAGAGCAGGCGTGCGACAAGGCCAGCCAGTTGGCGCTGGTGGAGGCAAACATGTGCACCTTGTCGCCCCTCCCCAGGCCCAGATGGCGCAGGCCCGAGGCCAGGTTGAGCAGGTGTGTCTCGTACTCGCCGTAGGTGATGAATGTGTAGTTTGACAGCTCGAAGTACTGCCACTTCTTGTCGACCATCTGGGTCTCGCCGTCGACGACCTTGGGGACCTTCTTAGTCTCCTCGTGGATCTTGATGAGCTTGCGGGTGCCGATGCACCTGTCGCCGGCGTGCTCCTCGGCGCTCTGCTTGACGAGGGCGAAGACGGTGTCTACCTCGGGGGACGGGCGGTCATCGAGGGCATCCTTGGCCTTGAGGTTGCGGCGCGGCTTGGTCTCGCCGTCGATCTCGGGGGCGCCGGGGGCGTCGACGGTGAAGGGGGGCTTCTGGATCATGTGGAGGGGCCCCAGGCCGGAGCGCCAGCTCTCTGGGACGTTGAGGTTCTGCTTGCAGGGCATGTTGGGCAAGCAGGGGGTGGTGGGTCGGGTGGTTGTGGTGGTGGTGGTGGTGGTGAGTAGCTGGTAGGCGGCGATGGCGAGGAGTGGGAGGAGGAGGGCGAGTATTAATAGCAAGGGCGAGAGGAAGGAAGACCGGGCCCGTGCTGGCGCCCGAGGTTGAGGTCGAGGTCGAGGATGAAGCTGCTGATGTCGCTGTCGGCTGGAGCTCCGAGGCGTGGTGGGTCCCTGTTGCATCAAGTGGGCGAGCTGTCCCAAACAGGCACCCGCCGAGTGTTGCGACGACGACTGATGGATGCGCAGGTGATGCTGCTGGTAATACTGCTGGTGGTGGTGACGGTGATTATTTGGGATCTGACACGAGCGAAGGATGACGACGAGGGCCTGTTGAATGAGCGAGGGGCAGACGTGGCTAGGTGTTAGGCTGCACATGCTTGAACCCGAGTCGTCCGTGGACCTGCCTAGCTCCTGCGGTAGCTGCTTGAGGGCTTGCTTTGCTTGTTTGCTTGGTGACGTCTTGCCTGGTCGGGTTGAGTGGAGGCTGAGCTATTTCAGCATCAGCCAAGCTCCACGCCAATCTCTCGGCACGGCATTGGGCACAGGCCCATCTCTAGTGGGCTATGGCTGAGGTTTTCTCCATGTCTCATTCCACCGTTGCTTTGGCTTGTGATAGTGGGGTCTCCCAGCCGGATTAGCAGCACATGTCATGCCATTATCACCATGATCGGCCACTCAATGCAGCGACAGACTGAAGATGGGGGCAACTCAATCCAAAAGTAAAATGGCAGGCATACCGAGACAATGCAGACGACGAACACGACGTTCAGCATTGAGCAGGCTGGCAGACAAGAAACAAGAAATTCAAGACGTGTGCACGATTGGTTGGCACCAGCTCAGCCTCCTCGGCCGAGAACAGCAGGGTGTGAGGGTGTGAGGGTGTCAACATTGACAGGCATATGCCAGACAAGGTTTGGGGTCAAGATCGGCGTCTAATCTGTCCGCCCTTGTTGGAATCTACAGTAGCTTACCAGCTTACCGGCCGGGCTGCCTGGCTGCCAGGTACGCAGTACTGTGTCTGGCACTGCATTACCTGTCACAAGTCCACCCACCGGCCAACAGCCGTCGTGACCTCGGCTGAAAAGCCACACGAGGACCCTGATTGCCCGAGCCGCCTGACGGCCCCACCGTCACGGCACAGATCCGGTCCTGATTGCCTCGTCTGAGTCGTCTCGTCCGAACTGTCTCCTCATGGACATGCAACATATGCGTATCACGGTACACTACATGTCGGCCACTGGCAACCTCGCTCCTTGTCATGGCACCCAGTCTTGATGCAACGGCGAACACGTCGACGGTGTGCCCGGCCGAGGCGTCCCAATTATTATCCCGGGGCAACGTGATGCTTTTGTCTCCGTATGACCACCCGTCAACACACGTCAACCCTACTACATGATCCGGAGCCCGGCCATCCCGACCTTCCTCGGCTCGTCTCACCTTCTCTCCAGCTGTCCCATCTGGCAACTCGGAAAACGCCCAATCACACACACTATCGCTACACCACCGCCAATACGTCAGAACCCTTCTCTTCGAGCTTCCTCTATATAACGTGTTTCCATAGGGGGCTCTCCCATATGCAAGTTACGGGGAGAGGTTCCGTGACGGCGTAACGCTACCATGTTGACGAATCCTGCCAAGGTCATTTATATTATCTGAAGCGACCGGCCTCTTTAGTGACCAAATCTTTCCTTGGTCTGCGCCAAGGAACACGACAGACACAGCGAATGGCCAGTCACCCAGGTAGACAATTGCTCTGCAGATTTATTGACTCTGTAGGACGGCAATGCCCAGCAATCAAGCAGCGCACATGATGCTTGGGTAACATCAGACTCCAACTTCAACAGCAGCCATATCCTCGGCGGTAACTTCCATGGGCACATCTGACTCGGACAGCTTGACCTCCCACCTCCCTCTATATTTATCCCGCAGCCTCACCTCGATTTCCACATCGTGGTCTGGCTGGTGGATAGAAGTAGCGAGGTTGGTCTTCTCCACGCTCGGAGCCAACCAGCCGGCCGCCCCAGATGCCGGCCTGCACTCGAACCGAAGGATGAACAGCGCGGCGAACGCCATGATCTCCGTGGCGGCGAAGTGTCGGCCGGGGCACAACGTCGAGCCCCCGCCGAACCCGCGGAAGGCCACGGGGTTCAGCCGGCGGCTCCCTTTCCTCCCCCCTGTTGCTCCTTCGACGAACCGTTTGTGGTAGAACTCGTTCACGTTGTCGCCCCACACGGACCGGTCCTGGTGCTGCACCACGCCCGGGATCAGCAGGATGTTGCCCTTCTTGAGGAGGAACTGGTCGTCCAGCAGGTGGTCGTCGAGTATCACGCGGGATGAGATACCGATGCCCTGGTACTAGTCAGTACAATAAAGTAATACCAAGGCACGGGAAAGGAGGAGCAACTCGAGGGAAGGTTTTATACTGACATGGTAGCGGAAGACCTCTTTGAACGTGGAGAGGAGGATCGGACACTGGCGTCTGATGCAGTCAATGTCGATACTCCGTACGGCAGCAGGAGTGGCGGCCTCGCCGTCCGGCTCTCCGCCCAGGTTCAGCGCCCGGACGAGTTCTTCTCGGCAGTCCGCCAGGACGGCAGGGTCAGAGACGATGTGATACACCAGCCAGAAAGTCGCCGGCATGGTGTTACTGAGGAGCGCAACGGAGGACATCATCTCACTTCGTGCCATCGCTTCGAGGGTGAACCCCTCAGAGGCGTAGTACTGCTGATTATCGCGGATGAAAGCAGACGTTTGAGGGTCTTCATAGCCCCGTGTTTCATAGTACGCCACGTACGATTTGAATAACGTCTCACGAGCTCTGATGTGGCTCCTTGCGTTGATGGAGGGGAACGGGCTTGTGATGAGCGGGAGGACACCCGCCTCGAATCCCCTGCAGAAAGTAGTCAGCACAATGCCACAGATATGCGACAATAGTCTGGTCAGTTCTCACCGGAAGGCTGGCACAGCCGAGTCGTCACGGAATGGGTTCAGCGGCCCATAGATGCCCTCCGTCACGGCCATCATGACCTGGTGGCTGATCCACTGGTACATGTTGATCGTGGTGGGCCCCTTCCCCTTGACATTGGAAGCAAGCGCATCAATGGATGCTGTGACGAACTTGGCAGTCCTCCTGTTCAAGGCATCAAGTTTCACCCCTGGGCGCAGAGCGCCGTGGATGACCCTTTGCATCCCTGGAATGTGGCCATCGTCGGCGACTGGGTCTCGGCCGATGATTTCCAGGTCCCTCTTGCTGCTACCCATGATCTTCGCCGCCATATTCACCATCACTGGCGCGAAGGAGATAGTGCGCGCCTGCTTCTGGACGGCTGAGATCAGCGTGGTGGACTGGATGATGTACAGGCGAATCCCAGGGAACCGTAAAGTATAGATTGGGAGGTCACTATTCACGATCAACATCCGCTTTTATGTAGCTACGCATGCCTTCGACGGGGCCATATGAAAGATGCGATGGGCTTCTTTCAGGGTCCTTACTGCTGTGGGCCAGTCCAGTACTTGGGTCCCATCCACCACATGTAGATCCCCGGACTGAGGAAGGGCAAGAAATTTTGAATCGCGGGCGGTTCTGCTTTGGACTGGGTCATTCGCAAGATACTCCATAGGAACACATAGGTCGATAAGACAACGGACAGGATTATTGTAATGACTGAATCCATCCTGTTCTCGGTGTGTATTCTTGTCCTATCCTTGAATAGAGTATTTTTTAACGTGCATCTGAAAAGATATCTGGAAGAAATCGCACGGGGGCTGGAAGGAACCGAAGGACTAAGGAAGCGGGCTGCAGAGTGGAGAGAGTCGTGGACAACCAACCGCCTGAGCTGAGGGTGTACATATCATACCCAAGTGAGCTGAGTGATAGCTATTCTAGGGTACCCATGCACGTGGCCCGTCGCATCAGTCCGGAAGGGAACCTCAGACCAACAGAAAGCATATCTAATAATATAGACCAGCAGCAAGGATATCTACTTAGGTACTTAAGTACGGAGGTAGGTTCCAGAGCACTATGTCACCCAACACGACGGGGGTTAATCGGTTGACACAACCCAGGCACGAATTGACCTATAAGCTGTTGGTGCTAATAGTTCGCACCATGTAACCCCCCTCACCATTTCGCAATGCTTCACTGCTCCGGCCTCACAATTCCGTCCGCTGCTTTGTGGCCTCGTCCTGCACATTTTGTTCTTCATTCTTTTTTCCGCTCTGGATTTGGGTTGAAAATCGCATGCGAGACTCAATTCGCCTTCGGCTTCATGTCGGCAACTAGAGCTGTGAATGCGCAAATGCCAGGATGCCTCTCTTCATGGCGGCTTTACACGGTCATCACATATCTTTCTTTCAGCCAGTTACTCATTACACTTAATGCCACTACCTCGAATACCCTCCAACTTTAAGGATTTAGAGGTAGTGGCATAGTACAGCATCATATATATCCTTACTATTACCGTCTTCCAACCGCTCTTTAGACCAATCTATAAGCAATAGGACTCCGCCGTCGTCTATCGATTGGCATTTCTCGCGTTCGAAGGTGGGTACCCGCCCTACCATCTGTCAAGTCTCACCACCAGGGTACTAACAAAGTCACCCATTATCTCGCCGAAGTTGGCTCAGTACTCTGTGCTATTGCTGTCAACTCCCATATGTTTATAGTAGGAAGGGCAGTCTTTAGATTCAGAGCTACTAGTACTCTTCAAGGAGCCCTAAGCATTATCAATCAGACAGTGGCTTTAGAGAACCATCCATTATACACCAGCATTGTTTTAAGTGTTTTCTTAATCGCTATTGTAATTAATCCCGTCCTAGGTGGCACCTTAACCCAGGATGTGTATTGGAGGTGGTGCTTTTGGATGTAAGCCACGATCCACCTGATACTTGTCTTCTTGTTTGTTTGCCGGTTAAGCTAATGGTTGCTGAAATCTCCAATACAGTAATCTTCCTGTTGGCGGTGTTGTACTGGTTGGCCTCGCAATATTCCTAAGGGTGCCAGGCAGCTCATCTACCTCAGGCTCCCGGTCACTGTCCTTCAAGACTAAGCTTGACAACATGGATCCATTGGGCTCTATACTCATCATGAGTGCTGGTTGCTGCTTGCTCCTTGCGCTGCAATGGGGTGGTGACGCAAAGCCGTGGAGTTCACCTGATGTAATTGGATGCCTTGTTGGTGCAGTTGCTATTGGGGCCACATTCCTCTTCTGGCAGTGGAAACGCCAGGAGCGCGCCTTGATTATTCCAAGGGTTTTCAAACAGCGCTCAATATGGACAGGATCCGTGGCACTCTTTTGCCTAGGAGCTCAAGCATACGCCGTGGGTCAAACCCCTACCTTGTAATCTTTGTACTCGTCACCGGACTGACCTAGTATAGGTTCCCTTCTTCCTGTCCTTCTGGTTTCAAGCCGTCAAAGGGGTGACTCCAGCCACTGCTGGAGTGAACTTCATCGCCCGTGTCATCCCACAGTTTGTGGCTATCATTGCTAGTGGCGCCCTTATCAAGAAATTCGGACAGTATATGCCTTATATGGTTGTAGGCGAATTGATCTGTCTTGGTGGTCTAGCTATGCTTACACAATTAAGCGCCGACTCAAGTACAGTGTATTGGGCTGCAGCACTCGTGGTTATCGGTCTTGGCTCGGGGCTGGCATCACAAATACCTTACTCCGCCATCTCTGTCGTCCTAGCAGATGAAGACATTCCAATTGGTAATGCTGCCGTTCTATTCCTCAACCAGATGGGCGGGGCGCTTGCGGTGTCTTTGGGCCAGACCATTGTTCTCACAACTTTAGGCAACTTGGTCCCACAGCGTTTACCTGACCTATCTTTGCAACTAGTTAAAGACGTGGGTGCATCAGATCTTTCGTCTTTACACCTCAGTGTCAAGGAACTCATGATCTTGAGGGATATATGGAACACAGCTGTTATACGGGTCATGATATTCGCCACCGCACTCGTCGGTGCAGCATTGCCCTTCACATTGAGGATGGAATGGCTGAGCACGAAGACAGAAGCGGAAGTCAGGAGACAGACGAGCACTGCCCGGGCACAAGAGGGTGCACAGGAAATGAGTACTGTAAACAAACCGATAAATGCCGACCCAGGGCCGCAATCCTGCTAGGAATGAATATTACTTTGCTTGGTAAACGTAACCATCTGCCCAATTGCCCTGTCCGCACATGTGAAGCTGATCGCAGACTACGGTATGAAGAACCCGCTTTCGTCACCAATTTCCATGTGCCGACACAGGATCGCAACACCGTGACATTTTCCTCAGGGTCACAGCAAGCCACATAGAGGAAACTGATATTTAGTGCCACCTTTCAGGACGGCGTTTCAAGCCAAGCAGTTCCAAGGCTCCAGGACCCCGAGCTTGCACCGAAAGTTCCCTGTTCCTGTATTGAAGCGACGCCGCGGTAATAATGTCGGCATTTCAAGACTGATTGACTGTGCCGGTCCAAGGTCTTTCGTATGACACAATGCTACCAACCACCATTTTCACCAAGCCCCTTACTGCGCCGCACGCTATAATCGCTATTGTTGAATGCCACAACAGCTCGGGGAAAGGGAATCGCGGAGTGAAAAATGCTAAAACAGGCCGAATGTAGCATTTGGTCAATGCATCCAAGCAACAGGGCCACCTGGGCCACGTTAACAAAGCCTACTAGCTCAAATTTACTCATAATTCCGACAAACCGAGCCGAGAGGGATTGCCTCAAGTTCCGACAGGGACACTTTCTGGGCTAATATCGTTTGTGCGTAAGGGTGGTCGTTCTGAATACCGATCTCGGCTAGCCCACACAACAATCGATTCAACGACAGAGAGCCACATAGAGTTGTCACCTATCGATGATTACACTTATCACACATACCTCAACGATAGATCCGTTGGCGCGGGAAGACCCTCAGCCTGAGACCCTGCATATCGTGCCGCCTTAGCGTTGTCTATCTGCATCGACATTCCTTTGGCGCTGGATGTTCCGTGTGGATAGCCTGAGTTAGGTACTTCAAGTTAGTACAGCTAGAGAGCCAGATAAAAAGATGCGAGCACTTCGCCGCCTCGTTTTTGTTCCCATTTTGATTATTCTTGACTGGTTTTGTTCTTGTTCCGTATTCCGTATAACACATCTGTAGTCGTATGCGGTTCATTCACACAGGGCCGATGAGCCAAGGTACTTATTACACTTGCTTCTAACTGTGATCAGTTTGGAGGGATTTCAGGTGAAATATTTTATGCACCCGAACTACATCCTCAAAGGTTTAACTTCGACATCTCCTATCTCGTGCAATCATATGGCGCCTCCGAACATTGAACTCTTGATGTGACAATAATGTGAAGAGTGCCCTTGACGAGGATGTTAGCAGCCAGAATCAGGTGTTCTCTCCTCCATATCCTGGATCAATCCCATCACAGAAAATGCATTTTCGAACCTGCGCAAGGCCCTCAATTTCAGTCAGCCTACTTCTTGAATGAAAGTCAACATTCTTTCAGGACCACGTTGTAATTTTGATTCGTGCAGTCGAAGTAAATAAGATGGTATCATAAAAGTGACCATGTTACTCGATGCTATCATCATCACCATGAAAGAACCTCAATATAGCTGCAGCAACTACATCGCCATCGTGCTGCCAATGTGCTGTCGCCGCAGCTCTGTCAGCATGATCCAAATCCTCGATACCCCCGCTGTCAATCCTCATCTGTATCTGACGTTTAACCATGTCCTCGTCGAAGGCAAGGTGCGCCTGCGTCGTGAACAGTCTCCCCTGAATGTAGACGCCTTGCACCTTTGTGTGGCTACTGTGGCCCCAGACGTCCACCCTCGTGCCTGATCTAAGCAATCCATTCGACCGCTCGGGACTAGGAGGCTCCACCACATGGTCCTGGTGCATCTGGTGCAGGTAGATGCTGCTGTCCTCTGTGCGGAACAGCTGTTTTCCCACGGACGAGAGGTCGATCCTCGAGTGGCCCAGCTCCCAGTTTTGCGTTTCGGCCGGAGCGACCTCGGCGCCTAACATTCTACATAGCAGCTGATGGCCAAAACAGACGCCACTGAGGTGAAGATCTGGCCGATGCTGCCATAGTTCTATGTGCTGGGTCAGCCTGTGGCTTTACTTCGTACGAACGGAGAGAATATTGTGCCGTTGTACCTTGTATCACATGAATGAGCTTCAAGATCCATGGAGTGTTGGAGTGAGCATTGTACATGCTCCCCGTGATCAAGACTCCTTGGTAATCATCGAACTCTTCGAGCTGGGGAACGGTGCCCCCTTTGTCTTCCACCACGAATTTTATGTCCGTGTCCACAGCTAGTGCGGGCGTATGTTCGACCCCTGCATGTTGAAAATGACTATGCAGAATCTCCCCGAAACTACCTTTCTCCTCGTGAGTGTCGGGGTGAGCCTCGTCCGTCTCCAACACGATTATTCGCACCCGGGGCGTATCTGGGGACGGATACTGCTTGACCTTGGTCATTATGGGTCGAAGTATTACTTTGCACTCGGAATTATGACCGAAGAGGTGATATTTTGAGTTACAACGGGCTCGGCCGACGGTGCGTTGTGGAGAGCTGGGTAAAACGTAGTCATTGTGGCGGAAACTGAGCTTGTTTCTGGGGCAGGTTACTCGCACTATTTAAGAGGTTTTCACAGAAAACAAGACTCAAATTTTCTCGCGTAATGCCAACACTTCCCATCCTTAACCAGCCATGGCATCTAGCACTTCTTCTTCCGAAAATGTGTGCTTGTGTTGCCACACTACCAGGCTGAGTCCGCAGAGCTTGGCCTTGGCAGGCCCCACTCTAGTCAGCCCGCTTGTCTTGTATGACGATCTCACGCAAGGGATCAACCGGGACTACGGCAACGTCATACATTCTAGAAGCTAAAGGTTGTCGAGAATTTTTTGACTGTGCGTGGTTTCAGAAGCTATACAGAGGGGCAGAGGGGCTGCGAGGAGGACATAGCTCTTCACATTTCTACTGCTGGGAGGCTAACCGCTTCTTTCACAATGGGTTATGGGCTTGGTGCCATGCGCTTGGCATCAAGCGCCGTTGTAGCCGCCTCCTGAATGACCCCCTTCTCTCGCTAATTCTCTCAAACGCCCTTCCCAGCAAAACCACCGGCATAATTCATCACTTGAAGTTGATCCGGTAGCCCCTTGCAACAAATCTGCAACGAAATCATGGTGGCTTTTGTACATATGACGATATCCACCGGCTATCACGGCCCACTAGCTCCTAGTCCTCTGCCTCCTCGCCCTGCTTCTCAGCACATCGGGACGCTGGCTGCTAAAGACAAATCAATTTGAGGAACCAGGAGCGTGAAGACCAAGTAACTTGATACTATCATTCAGGGTGTCCGCGATGACTTTATATCCCGAATCAGTGGGAATGCCACTGAGGCCAGTTACATATCCATACAGGCTACAGTCCAAGATATATTAATATAGTTCTCACGTGCTATCTACCTTGAATGATGGTAAGATCTCTATGGTCAGATAAAGGCAAGCACACCACATTCAGAAGTACGAAGGAGTACATTGACACGGGCAATAGTGGCTCAGAAGATCTTTTGCAGAGCACTTGTGGATTCGAGAGACGCATGCCCAGGTGGGGACTGGATTCAAGGGTCACTTGACGACAGCAATATGGATAATTACAAAACGTCCACCGTTAGATATTTATTCCAAAAGCCACATGTGGAATCTATGTTCTGAAACCTTACTTCCACAAGATAACCAGAAACCTCATACCGTCGGAAAACAAACATTAGACCAGTTGACCAGAAGTGCTGCACCTGTGGCCTCAACATTGAAGGAAGTGAAATTCCATACCGCCCAAAGATAAATGAGACCCAACTTCAATTCTTCACACCACCACTCCGGCGCGAAATTATGTTACTCTAGTGTAAGATGCATGTACAACACAGGAAGATGTGTGGAAAGGGTGGCAATGGCTCCTTCAGGCTTGCATGGTTGAGGAATGACGTATCTAAAATACCATACCTAGGGAGGAGGTCGCACAGAATTCAAAGAGCAAAATCCAAGATTTGAGAAATGCGCACAAGGAACAGTCGCATCCTGACTGCAGCGGTAAGAACTAAAAAGCTTTCAGGGCCACTGATTGAGATAGAGGGAGTTCGACCAGCACCACTGATACCGCGGACAAGTCTCAGATTCTGTGCTTTCAAACTATTCTCTACCCGGGAAAGCGAGCTAATCTTTGGGAGATGCCTGGTGATTATCGACTAAATCGAGCTTCGAGACGAATCGATACCAGATGACCCAGTGCACCGGCGTCTACTGACCACCCTAGGTACTTAGACCCTGCCGGCATGAATGGTAGCAATTTCGAATATTTTCCACCCCAGACCCCAGTGGCTGTTTTTACATCCTGCGAAAAGTTTGAAGCCGTCCTCTTAATGCAAATGCTCTTCCGTGCCTGTCCGCAACAGCAGCAAACGACGGGTAGTGGTTGTTGTTCGACTGGAACTCCCTTTGAGAGTAACGCCCTCGTGCAGACTGAAACACAGCATCCAAAATTCAATGAATTTGTCCGTTCATGGCTTCTTCATAGCTTGGTGGTGGTGTCACCTCACGGGGAGACAAGGATCCTGGCCGGCTTTCGTGACTGCCCAAATGAGGTGAACTCCCATCTCGAGCGACATACGTGCCGCAAGAGCATGGAGTTGCAATGACTCCGCCTTCATTCTCTAAAGAGGTGGTGAGAGATAAGCCGTGTTGCGCAGCCAAGTCACGAGCAGCTCCAATTAGCAGCTCTCTTAGATGTCTTGATGCGAAGTGAGGGATAAGTTCGTTCACGTCGACAGATAGCTTGCGCCTGAGTCGACCTGCTCCCTTCTCTGGTATCTCGGAAACCATCTCCTGGATTACGCCAGTATACCCCGTCAATCCGACCTCGTACTCTGAGGAACTGATCTCTCGGCGACGTGTATAAAGCCAATAGGCCATGATCGCAATTTCCGCGGCATTACGATCCGACCGCCAGTACAAAGACCGGGATATTTGCTTGCTTGCTTTGAGCAGATATGGTTTTGTAATGGCGTCGTTCCGGCAATCGTAAGCAAATTCAGCAACTAGCCGGCCGAAGGACAGAAAATCTGGCAGGGTGGTGTAGTCCTTAAAAAAGATTGCGGCTTCCTTGTAAGGGTGTTCCCCAAAGCCGTAGTCAACTAGAAACATGTGGTCGAACAAGGTCATCAGCTGATAGTCGGCTTTGGAAGCATGCCCGGGTAGAATTTCGTGGGGACCTAGTGGGGGGAGCGTCCTCGGGTCTGAGACCACAGCACTGCTGCATTCTTGGTCGAACAGTATAGCAGCGGTAGAGATCAGGAATAAGCAGCCGTTGGGGAACAGCCAGCCGTCGTATGGTTGTGGGATGTCAAGCTTTTTGAAGACGGCTCCTTGTATTGTGCGCAGAGAGCGTATCCAACCCTGATTCAGTTCCGCCCTCACGAGTGTGGCGTACTCTGGTCTCTCTGGACGAAGTGTGTTTGTGTTGAAGTCCTCGTCCCGCTCAGGTAGGCATAATTTGTGGATTGCTTGTAGTTCGGGCTCCCCGAGGCCCGCCACTTGTCCATGTGCCATGATGGTGCTGGGTTCCAAAAGTGCTGCTCGAGGTGAGCTATCCCTTGTGAACGAGGGGACTGGGAGTGCATAAAGGCCTGAATGCCCAATGTTCGTCTTTGTTAATTATTGTTACCTATTTCAGGCCTGATGGGGTTCTGCAAAGAACCAAGGGTAATATTGAGGAGGTCTCTCTGATGCAGGGTTTGGTTCGAAGGCTCAAGGCATATCAGATTAGGTTGATTTTACGAGCAGGTCTGCCCAAGGAAGAAAAGGAAGGAAGGAAGCTATCTGCAGCCAGCGGGCAGCCGTGGGACGGCAAAGGGCAGTGGGGTTGGTCTTAGCAGTCTTCTCAATTTCAATCTCCACCGAGGACCACGATACCTACTTAAGTACCTAGGTAGGTAATTAGGTATACTTCACAATGGTACCAGTAGGGTATTGAGAAGGGGACCTGCATGGAAATCCCAGAGGGCCCAACCTCACTAGCCCCGACACGTGCCAAAAAGGTTACAAATCATGTCATCGCCTGACCAGGTCAGTTAGTGCCTAGGCAATTAAGTGTCTGACGGGCTTAGAATCCGGGGGTGCGTAGCTTACCTAGGTATGCTCTTCGGCCAGCCCGCCGCAGGAACTCTCGCAGGACCTCTGTGGTAGGACCTCTAGCAAAGCAATACCCGTGAAGCGGCGCCCTGGTAAGTGCCTTGTGTAAGGTACGTTACGGGCATACTAGTTGACAAAGGACTGGGAGGAATATTCGAAGAAGCTGTCCATCTAATTTTGTGGTTGTCCGCCTGCACTCTAGGGCTTCTAGTGTATCCCATCAGACGCCGGGCTCCGCACAGACAATATAGAGAGCACCGGAGGACCGAAGGGTTTGCTTTGCAGCTTAATTCCAGGTAAGTACCTACTTAGGTAGTGGTTGCTACTCGAAAACAGAACCATTCGCGTCCCCAGGCCGGACATGCAAAATCAATCAACCAGACCGTCCTGCCGACAGACTCGGACTTGCTCAGCCTCAGCCCTTGAGACTCCTGGCATCTGGAGTTGGAGCGTTCGACCTGCCGCCTGCAATCAAATACTGTCATGCCTTTCCAGCAGACATTACTGAATGAGCAATGGTTTGTGAACCCATGGATCATGCTTGCCCAGTCTTTCCGTGATTCCAATGCCTCATTCATGAGAAGTCACGAGGCTCCGCAACGTTGTCTCCGAACTCTAGAGCTTCTGCAACAATATGGGTCTGCCGCCTCAGAGGCTAATGTCAGTTTACGAGGGATATATTACTTTATAGCTTTTGTTCTTTGTCTTATAAACCTCTATTCTTAGTACTAAATTACCTCAGTAGTTATTGTATATAAGGTTATCCTATAAGAGGTTATTATAAGGAGGTTATCCTAGAGGAGGTTATCTTAGTGGAGGTTGTCCTAGTCGAGGTTGTCCTACGGGAGGTTGTCCTAAAGGAGGTTGTCCTAAAGGAGGTTGTCCTAAAGGAGGTTGTTGTCCTTAAGTGTGCCCTCCGTTTTTGCGGGGTGCGAATTCCTGATCTCATTCAAGTTCTTAAAGCCCTGGAGTTGGGAGTGCCACTGCACAGTCATGTAATACCTGGGCCACAGTGTCGGCATGAGGAGATGCTGTAATTTTGTATAACAGCTAGGGTTTTCATCAGACATATTGTCAAATTGAGCAACTGCATGCTGAAGTGGTGCTTACTGATTCCGGCAACTATTTGCAGGGGGCTTTTCGGAGCCGACAGGGGCCGGAGTGAGGGTCTGGTCTATCCCTATGGTATCTGATGACGAGGGAAAGCCCACCTTATCAGCGACAGCTTGTCAAACTTGATATATTTCCACGCACACACTACCAGGAATCCTGGCACCGGAGGGGGGAAGGATCAATTGATAGTCTTTGATCGACATTTCACACTCGTTCACTCAATCACTTGCGTTTAACTGCACTCGTTAGTCCCTCAATCATGGCGCGGAGATTAGCAGACCTGCTCGCAATCGAGCAGACGGGGCCGAACCAGTTCATCTCCAAGGAGCCGCCGCAGCGCCTGGGCAACGCGATGCCCATCGGCTACGGCGGGTGCACGGCGGGGATAGCAGCGCGCGCGGCGAGCGAGACGGTCCCGGGCTCGTTCGCGCTGTACTCGCTCGTGGGCCACTTCCTCGGCCCGGCGTCGACGACCGAGAGGCTGGCCTGCACCGTCCACGCGACGCGCGACACCAAGACCTTTGCGACGCGGCGGGTCGTGGTCAGCCAGCGGCAGCCCGGCGGCCAGCTGCGCCCGTGCATGGAGCTGACGGCCGAATTCCACGTGGTCGAGCCCGCGGTGCTGGCGTACTCGGCGCCGCCGTCGATCCCGTTCGCCGGGCCCGCGGAGAGCCCCACGGCCATGGAGCTGGCGGACAGGGCCGTGGCCCAGGGCCTGTGCGGCCGGGAGCTGGTCGAGAAGCACGTCATCATGTTCACGATGATGGAGCAGTACTTCGACACGAGGACCTGCGCGGAGGGCCTGAACGGGCAGAACGTCCTGGGCCTGGTGCGGACGCTGCCGACGGACCAGGACCACCTGCCGGTGACGGAGAGGAGCTCGGGGGACTGGTCCAAGACGAAGGAGCCGCTGGCGTCGGCGGGGGAGAAGAACGCCGCCCTCGCGTTCCTGATGGACGGCGGCCTGTCCTTCCTCCCGCTGTGGCACGAGAAGATGTGGTTCGACGACGCGGGGGCCTGCTCGACGCTGGAGTTTGCCCTGCGGCTCTTCACGCCCGACGTCGATCTGAGCAGCTGGCACCTCCGCGAGAGGAAGACGATCGCCGCGGGGTTCGGCCGGTCGTACTCGGAGAGCCGGCTGTGGGACGAGAAGCGGAACTTGGTGGCCTGCATGACGCAGCAGTGCATACTGCGGGCGAAGCCACAGGACAAAGGGAGGGCGTCGCTGTGAAAAGAAGAAGGATCTGCGCGACTGTGACTGTGCATATTTATATACCTACACTACACTCTAGACTAGATGGGACATTTTTCCTTGTTTGTTTTGATTTGGGCCAGGATGGATCAGGGCTGCCCACTGTGCTGTCCTCATCACGGTATGCCCGTTGCATGTTCACACGTGGGCCTTCGGGCAAGTCATGACTCGCGCCCCTGAGAGAGATCGACACAGGTCGATCTGTGTTTCAAACCCACCTGGACAGCCGCAGTCAATGCCGGAGACAGGCCAAGCGAGATGAAGTATGGGGTGAAGAGAGAAAGGGATAGGGATGGAGGCTGGCTGTGACGACGACGTCGCGCCCGGAATAAGGTTGGATATCATATTTCGGCTAAGGAGCGTACATTAGAGAAGAGACCGCCAAATGTGGAATACACGAGAAATATTCAACATGATCAACAATTCTTAAGCTTAGCACCCATCCATCCAGGCCTGCGATCTGTAGTAAGGTTGCGGGTGATCTCCTCCCAATCTCTCTTTCGTGATCCTCTTCTCTTCAAGTTTAGAGCCGCGCTCTTTTGACTGGCAAATTCCATTCTTTTCAAAGACGTTCGAAAAATGGTCGTCACTGTTGGTGACGTCGTCAACGCCACTTGGAGCCCTCCACCCGCAGCATGGCTAAACTTCACCAACTGCTCTGCAGCAGCCGCCTGGCTTGCTGCATATGGCCAACTTTATGAGGACGAGGGCTCGCTGTGGGATGGTGTGTCTTTTGATATCGTGATTGGCTATCTGGGGTCCATGATACCGAGGAATTGGACGAAACCAACAGATGCGAACCTTTTGGTTTGGTACCATGAGAAGAATTACTTTCGTGATAACAATGCACTTCTCATGGATATGATCAACTTCCCATTGTCAAAGTGCAGTGCTCAGGTCTGCCCAAAGCTCCAGTGGGAAGGTGATCCAGATCTCACAGGCGTCGGAGTGAGTGCTACTAGCTTTTATAATTTCTCCATCGACCCCTGTTGTTGGTGCTGACCCCTGCCTCACTAGGCCATGTTGTCTTATTACATGCTAGCCATCTTTGCAACTTTATACTTTGTCGTTCTATTCAAGGATAGCCTCAGGGACTACTCCGGAGTAGCTGTGCCCGCAGGACGGAGAGAGGGATACACGATCCTCATCAACTGCTTCCGGAAGTCCCTGAATACCTTCCAAGAGTGAGTCCCCTCTGTATTACAAAGTAGGTTAAAGCACCATGTCTGACACCTAGTCCCCAGCGCCGTCCTCCTCTTCGCCATATCAGTAAACATCGCCTCCATCACGCGCTGGGCAGCACCGATAGTCCACCCGCACGAGCCGCACGCCTTCTACGGCCTCCTCAACGCAAACTTCATGTCCTCCTTCTCCATCTTCCCGGCGCTGGCGCTGCAGTCGCTGTCCCCGGGGCTGCGCAGGAAGCGCATCCGCCTGTTCCTCTGGTTCCTCGTCATCATCTTCGCCCTGACGGTCGAGGTCCTCTACCGCTACGTCTACGGCGCCTACTTCCAGTTCCTGTGGAACCAGGACACGATGGTGTCCGAGGACATCTGGCTGGCAAAGTGCGACTCGCACAAGATGCGCGCCATCCTCGCCTCCATGACGACGGCGGGCCACGTGTTCCTCGCGCTCAACTGCCTCCGCTGGCTGTACCACGCCACCGCCACGTTCCGCCGCGACGCCCTCGAGAAGCTCAAGGACGGGCGGGTCGACTACTCGGGCGCGGGGCCCTGGCGCCGCCGGTGGGAGGCGTCGCAGCCCTACCTGCGGCTGATCGACGGCGCCGTCTGCGGGCTGTTCATGTGGACCTTCCTGTTCCTCTTCACCGCGTACAGGGAGGCGGTCAAGCAGAAGGCGGGCGAGTCGGACCAGGACGCGGAGTGGACGTTTGGGCAGGTCCTCTCGCTGGTCACATGGGCGCCCGTGGCGCTTGAGCTCATCACTGTCTATCTTTGTGAGTGGCCTGCTAGCCATGGGGTGTCGCTTGGAACCCACATTACCTCTGCGGCTTACCTGCCCTCCGCAGTGGGTCATGATACTAACAGCCCAGCAGATGAGACCAAAGGCCGCGCCAAGGAAAAGAGCGCCGCCAGTTTCCGCCCGCTGTCCTTGTCGATGTCGAACCCGTCGCACCACGAGAAGCCGGATAACGAGTACGTGTACAGGAACCAGTGGCACAGAGTGCCCCTGGAAGACCTTGAGCGGACGACGCGGTATAGCTTGGACGGCCGTTCGACCCAGGCCCGGCCATGGCCTCGGCTGCCCGTGACGCCGAGGAAGAGCCACTTCAATTAGCCCCCGGGGACATTTCTGGCCGCCCTAGAATTCTACACTGTTAATTGCCATATTTCTTGGTGCCGTGTCCGACAGCCCGTGTTCTTTCTCGCATCCGAGCCTTCTAAACCCACGGCGTGGGTGTGAAAGCTGGATCAGTGTCCAGTTGCGTGCTCGCACCTCAAGTGCTACGTGTCTGGCGCGAAGAGCTTTAGGCGCCCCGTGAATGCAGCCATCTATGTAGGCTCCCGGTATTTCGTGATTCATACCCGAGGGCATGACTTCACACCATCCAAGGAGAGTACTGCAGCCTGTTTCACTCCAGTAGCCATGAACAAAGCACTGCATACGAAGAAGGAGAAAGGCAAGCATCGATGATCTACGCGTAACGGGGTATTGCGGTTCCATGTGGCCCAGATCCCATGGAATTTCTCCTTCAATATACATAGATGGTTCCGGAGACTTGAAACAAGCCCGTGAGACGTCATAGCCCTTAGCCGTCATCAGTCTAGTGATCGGATTCTGGATTTCTGACTACAAAGACGACATCACTGACTGCATCCTTTGCGACTTTCCAGGCACTGGGGAAGGAAATTCATCTCTAACAGTCAGGTTCGAACAATGCAGTGCGGCTACTGATTGCACCATGATCCCAGACGGTAATAAGAAAAGTAGAAGGGGTATAGAGAATGAGGGCAGATGCCGTTTCGATGCCGTTTCGATGCGGGAGATTGCGATTGAGTTAGTAGAGAGCCATTATCCAGGTATCGAGATACAGTCACGAGATGTAGCACTTGCCAGCTGGCGCCACTTGCAGGTAGATGGTGCGAGTTGGTCGTGGGGTGGGATGGGCCACGCAACGTCAGCTTGAGGGCTCCCACATCGGCCTGGGGTGGCGTTATGAGTCGAAATTTGACTTTATGAATCCGGTCTTCGTTGCAGTTGAGGCGAAGGACGGAGGCGTAAGCCTCGCACACTCGATGCCGTATCTTATGGCCGAGAAGAGCCGAACTCACGTGGCCTCACGGCGATGCAGTGTGACAAGAGGGGACTGGCCACGTAAACGATGATTGCAACTGCTGGCTCCCACGCTGACCTGTTCTTAATCCAGGTGATAGAAACACAAACTCTGACACGGAGGCGACACGTCAGTAGTCGCGAGGCGCGTCGTTTATGTCATGGAGCATCCGGTCCAAGTCACGGTCGACGGCAGCCAACGGCGCTTGGGTAGCCTCGGAGGGACGGTGAGGGAAGGTGATGGGCGGCGTGAGTGTCGTCTCCTGACCGAAGGTATTGGCCGAGACATGCCAGACAACGGCGACCAGCTTACAGATGTTACACGGTGAATGCCCGACCGTGGTGCGTGATGTCTCACGGAGCCCAGGAATCGAGGGGATCAAGCCATATAACAGGTCAACGCGGGGGCTGATCTTGATCTGGCAGCAAGGCGTCCGGGTTTGGTGTCGAGACAACACACAATCTTGATCTTGGGTCGCGGGCGTCACCATCCATCTGCATGTTAGGGGCTGGCCAAAGGTGGCCGTGGAGGGGGTACTTGGTCGAAGTCGAGGTACATGAAGCAAGTCATCTCAGACAGTTCCTGGGGCAGACCGAATGAGGCTCTCGCGACGTGGCCCAGGACTGGCAACGGGGTCTTGTGTTGCCCTGGCCCTGTGGTGGATGAAGTCATGTTGTCTGAGACAGTGGACCGTGACGGGGGAGGCTAAAGGCTGTCGAACTGCCAGCAAGTGAGACACCCGAGGAACGATGTGTAGCGCCGAGGGTGGGGCTTTGACCGATCTCGAGGAATTGAGTCGATGAGGAAGGGAACCCACGTGTGGACCTGAGGCCTGGTGTTGGAACTGAGGGGTGCAGCAACTTGTAGTCACCACCCCGGAGGATGACCACACCACGCCACACCACCGAGGGACCCCGGCGAGATTGGGGAGAAATCTCGTCAGGTAAATTCGATAAAATGAATTTTGGATTTCTCCAGGCAAAGATAAATTCCTTGGTGAGGAGGCCTGTCTCTGAACCCTGCGGATGCTTGTCGACTGGGTGGCAACCAACTCCTGACCATCTAAGTTTTGAAGCTCTCCCACGAGTCCGGTCATCCTCATGGACGCAGGGGCAAGATGCGTGGGATCTGCAACGCAGGATACCAACCGTGATGCGTCCCACGAGACCCAGGGGAAAATTCAAATTCCTGAGGGCATTGACCTGACTGCTGGATGGCTTCGTGGGGGCAGCAGCAGCAGCGAAGCCGGATGGATAGTTTGCGCATCTCCGCCTCCCGGGGCTGCCCGGTGAGCAGCTTGCGAGGTTATTTTGTGAGTGAGTCACCGCGTTCGGATTGATATCAGCCAACAGATGGCGATGTCGGCTCTCGCTTCGTTCTTCCAGCAGCCACCAGCCAGTGCCCAATTGGCAGCTCCTCTCAGCTCGGAGGAAAAGCAAAAGGGGAAAGTCGGTCCCAAATACGTCACCGACATCAGTCGACACCAGCCGCGTGGCGTTCAGGCTAAAGGATAAGGAGGTTGGTGTCGCGATAAAGAGGGCTGGACGTCCACACCTTCAGCCACGCCGCGCGGGATTATTTCGAGACAGGCCAGGAGACCCGGGAGGGCCTGGAGGGCCTGGAGGGCCTGGGGAACCTGGAGAACCTGGACAGACAAAAGAGATAAAATCGAGTGATTTTTCTGATTGGGCAGAAATGTCATCGAGGGATCGAAAAAGGAAGGCAGATTGCGATAATAAGGGCGTGGTTAAGACTCTGGCTAGGGTAGCTCCCGTGGGTTTGGACATCACATGTCGTGTGGCGGAGGGCGCTTGACCGTTGGACAGAGTTGAGCAGGAGCTCAAGTGGCCGCAATCAGGAGGCACTGCGCAGGCCCGCCCCAGGGATCCCCCAGGCTTCCTGGGGGACTCGGGAGAGCTCCCAGCACGGTCCGTCCAGTGTGCTCGCGTGGCGGCCCACCCACCAGGCTGCTAGAGCCGCCCCACCGTTCCCGCCGCTCCGTTCCTCGCCCTCCACCAGGCCGTGTGCCCCGTCCCTAGCTGCCTAGCAGGCCCCTAGCAGCCCCTGGACGGCGTCGATTCGTCCCCTGGGCCACGGATGACTGACACCTGGCCCCTGCCCTGCATGAACAAGTCGGGGCATTGTGGTCATCTGTCCAAGACGATGCCGGGACAACTCATCACTGTCAACCACCCCTTCAGCTTCAGGCAACATATACGAGAGTATGGGGTACGAGGTGGAAAAACAAGGCGATGGCGACGGCGACGGCGACGGGTGAAGTGTTGGTCGGACGGGACAAGGAAACGGAAGGGGGAAACGGTCCATGCCGCACACACGAAACTACTCCGTACAGACGTACAGCACAGACTCCCGCAGGTAGCATCAAACCCCAGTCACAAACAACCACCACCACCACCACCACCACCACATCAACATCAGGCTATCGGCGCGGGTGCCCGCGCGTAGAGTGCAGACAATTCGACGCAGATGACCTCCTGCCCCAACCTTATAGCACCTTGACGGCCCCTCACCGAGCAGCACGGCCCAAGCCGGGACGAGATGATGGATGGGCCATCTGCCAAACTGCATACTGCCTCGATCCCAGCACGATCGCCAGCCTCCACGGCGCGTTACCTGCCGCCCCGGTGACAACGACACCACTCCCACCATGCTGGGTAGCCAACGCTGGCGTGCTGTGCTTGTCCTGCACGGGACTGGTGCCGGCATGGCAGCATGGCGACGCACAGACGGCCCGACGCCGCTCGCAGCTTGACGGCAGCATACTATACACAGTAGATTAGACCCACCCGCCGCGCCACATCCACCAGACCCCCACGCAGGCACGCAGGCTTGCTCACCGGCCGTTATAGTAAGCACATACGCTCCGCTCCTTTGGCCGACCTACCGACCCACCCCCGCCGAGTCCAGTCCAGTCAAGTCCAGTCGAGCAGCCAGCCTCGAACCGAACGACCTCGACACCCGGCAGCCCGCATGTTGCTGTGCCCCTCCCAGGCATTTGACCTCGTGCCAGTCAGCCATGCCTGCGTCGTCTGGCATCTTGGCTACATGCTGTGCGGACTGGGACGTGCTTATGCAGACAGGCTGCGGGCAGGGCATTGTAGGGCAGGGCGGGCAGGCAGGCAGGCAGGCAGCCTTCCATGGCTGTGCTCCATGGCCCTTCCACACGGCTCGGCTACTCATGTCTCAGGCTTTGTCTGCCTGATTTCGCCCTTAGTCAGCCGTCTTCGATCAGGCCGGCTCTGCCCGCCCAGATATTCCAGCAGCGTATATCGCCGAACTGCCGCGGCACCAACCACCTTGTACCACGCGCAGGGCCCTCTTCCGCTCCCTCATCGCTGGATATGGATGTGGCCCGGAGAACAAGGCAGCCCGCCCTCTGCTGCCTGAAGAATGCGGAACACAAACCAGCGGTCTGCCTAAGACATGTACGCTGTCCCTCGTTTCCGATCTTCCTCTGCGTGCCGCTCGAGGGGTTGCAGCTTACATCAGCGCCAGGATTCCTGCGTCGCTAGCGAGGTAAGACGAATGTGAGTACGCGGTGGGGCAGTTGGGGCTGGCCCCCTTTCCGTGTACTGTGTAACGTGTTCGCGTGGGCGTCGTGATTCGATGATCTTCGCACCCGCATAGTATTGCCTGCAACCACCCCCGCGCAGGATTGAGCCCTACAGGGCGAGGACGTGTTAGTGACACCGCTGCACGACTGAGGCTCAACACCTTGCGTCTGCCGCTCCATGCAATGCCTTCGTGCATCGTCCTCTCCGGTGTGTAGGGCTGCCGGGCCTTCTCACACCGGTCTGCCTTGTTTCCTTCTATCACCGAGACATGTCAGAGCTGGCCATTGTTATAAGTGGTCCGTCGTCCACCTTGCTGACCCAAGGTGAGATGACACCCACCGGAAGTCTTCAGTCACTCTTCCTCGTAACACTGCTCCATCCTGTGACTACCATCATCGCCTTAGTCTCTACTGTTATATAACTCCCCAAACAGAAAGCTTGGCTTAAATTACTTGCACCAACAAATCGTCTGGCACATCACGCCTACATCCACATCCAGCCATCGTCGTACGAGCAACGATTCACGCAGACATACACACACATACGAAACAGGATGGAATCCATCACAGCCCCAACATCAACAGACCACCCCCTCAACCAAGACCGCAAGAAGGGAGGCGACCGCGCCACAGCCCGGCGGCAGTTCTTCCCCCGCGCGTCCGGCCTGCCCCGCGGCAAGGTGAGGACAGCCGGCGCCTCAGAGCACGCCAGCAAGACAAACGTCGGGGACATGTGAGATGTGACCAAGCGGGTGCTGCCATAAGATGGGGGGGGGGGAGGGGGGAGGGGGGAGCGGATTTCTACGGCGCCCACATCGGCGACAGATTGGGAGAAGAACAGATTGTTGTCGTTTACGGGTGATTACGATCACGGGCAACAGGCATCGAGCCCACTACGTACCCCGGGTGTGCGAGGGAGCACTGCACAGCATTTAACAATAGCGAGATCTCCTTTTGAGAGGCCGCAAGGTCAAGAATATTATTTGAAACTATGATCCTAGCAGTATACATCGTGTTGTTGGCCTTTGACAGGACCAAAACAAAAACTTGTGTGTCTGAGAAAGACTTTTTTTTTTTTTTTTTTTGCGCAACCCCAAACGCCCAGTGCAAGTCTCTTCGCGAGTCTCGCCGTTGGACAAGCCCGTGGCATTTGGGGTTCCTTTTCTTTTTGTTGTTGTTTTCCACGCACGCCTATACCAATACTCGCTGGGCCATGATCTTCTGGTCGAACAGGGGATTGCCGGTGTCGGGACTTGGGACGGTCGAAGCAGACTGCGGTTTCCTGAAGAAAAAGTCGAATATAAACATAGCAAGAAGCCAAAGTGAACACCCGTTCTCCGAGTGTTCGGGTATCTCCGGGTATCGTACGCAAGGTCAGCTCGTCGCAAGGTCAGCTCGTCTTTCCCATCGGGGAGTCGCACTGGGCTGACTGGACGCTAAGGAGTAGCCATGTTCGAAAAACAGAAATTGAACCGATGCGCGTATCAATGAACAGGTGCCCAGACGGTAACACCACCCATCAAAATAAAGAATAGAAGAAAATAAATCAGAAGCAGGGCCAGCTGCACAAACACGATGGCAGGGGTGGTCCTTCCCCCTCCGCCCGAAATCAAAAAGCCGACCACATTCAACTCCACGGTGGGTCACTGTCCCAGAGACCAAAATTGAGGAGGACTGGGTCTATCAGCTCGGGATCCGGGTGCAAGCCTGGCGGGTCCGCGGGCTCCTCCCCGGCCTCATCTGCCAATGGGAAACGCCTCTTGTCGAGCTTCGCCGGGTCCACAGTCCCAGATGGGGTGGGGCGTGAAGCCCCAGGCAGGGCATACACGGACCCATCTGCTCGAGCAGAGAGGTCGGGGCCGTTGAGGAACACCGGGCGGCCTTGCTCGAAATAGGCACCCGGGATGGCGAAGGCAGGCATAGGTCCCGGCGCGGGATCCTGCTGGCGAAGGGCCCCCTGGACCTGGTGGTTTGTTCCCATAGGGCCGTGTGTGGCCCCAAACCGGTCCCGATTGGGGTTTTGGCGATGGGGAGGGAGGTGATTGTTAGAGCCGTCCGCCTCCGTCTCGCCCTCCGAGTCGTCACCCTGCCCCTGATATGGCCTCTTGCAGGGGCGACCAACCAACATCTGTTTGCCAGGAATAGGACTGGCAGCTGCCCCATTGTTCGGCTCGCGAGGTTGGGGCGGCCCGTCCCCTGCTGTCAAGACGTCTTCGCGCTGGGGCTGAGCAGGCTTTCTAGGCTTTCTAGCCTTTTTGTTGTCAGAGGGTCCCTCTGCTTGTTGGGATGCCTCCTCTCTCAGCCTTTTGCATTCAGGGCATTTGTGAATAGCATTCCCGTTTTTGTTTTTACGGCCAGTTGTCGAGGGCTTGCTTTTTCGATCTTGACAGCCTGGGCAGTACACAAGCTGGCGCCCAGTCCTGGGCTTCTTCGAGTTTGTCGCGACGACACTATTAGGTACATTGTGAGTTGATTGGATATTTTCCGTGTTTGAATTCCCGGGGAAGCTTACATCACGCTTTGAGCTGATTCCTCGCTGGGGGAACGGGATGGCCGCTGCTCTGGTGCCATGATAGAGGACTTGCTTGTTGCAGGTGAAGCAAGTAGTAGATACTGAGCCGTTGATGGAAGCCTTTGATTCGCGAACGTTTGCGCAGGTGTATTGAGAAGGTCCTTTTCAAGTAGTGCTATTGAGATATAACGCGTTTAGGACTGAGACGGGTCGCAGGGCAAAAAAAAGAAAAAGCGGAAGAAAATTGGGCGGGCCTGCATTTCCAATATATGTGAAAAAATGGTCGACGGTTCGCTACTTAAGTATGCCTAGTATGCCGGCGGGCGCGCAGCTAGTAGTTCCAGCTCCCACAGGCCAGTCATATTAATCATTATACTAGCCTTCGCGAATATTTAATAGGCGTGGGTGGTGACGGCTAAGGCACCCCTGTCTGCCAGATGCCTTAGGCCTTCACCGTAGTCGCAGGCCCGGGGGCAGCGGGTGTAGGCCTGACTAGGTACTTCATGACCACCACGACCAGTAAGAGGACGAAATAGAGCACTGCCAGTACAAGAAGGTCCGTGTACTGGTCGCTGACTGGGTACGCCGTGTTTAAACGCGGGCCCGCGTCCAGCGCCTCGACCGCTATGGTTTTCATCGTCGAGACGATGCCGCTAATGGCACCGAACAAGGCCACGCCTTCCTGCCACCAGCCACGGTTCCACCCAAGCGCAGCAGCGATCCGGAAGTCCATGGCGCACATGACCACACACAATGCGCACGCGACGTAGACGAAGGGCAGGAGGCCCACGCCCATGTCTGCCTTAGCCAGGCGGCCAATCTCGATAGACTCCATTAGGGCGATAGCGAAGATGCAGAAGTAGTAGAGGCCTACGGTGCCGCTGCGCACCCAGCGTCTGCGAACATTGGAGTGTAGGACCTCGGTAGGCGGCACTCTGGTGCGAATTAGCCCCAATGCCGCCAGGGCGACGATGAGGACCCAGGTCGGTAGTGGCGCTAGCACTGTGTCGAAGAAGCACTGCGATGGGAGGCCAGGCGAAGCTCCCTGAAGAAATGACTACGTGTCTGTTAGTCGACACCGCATGTCTCGTGTGCGGCACGAGAGCCGAAGGGCACACTCACGACATCCTCTTGTCTGTTCTGGCACAGCATCATGACGGCGACGGGGTTCGATGATCAGGCCAGCTTGCCATCGAGTTGTTGGGGTCGTGGCTGAGATCGGTGGTGTTGGGCGGCGACAATAAGAATGATGAAGAAGTTGTGAAGAACGAGAGACGTTCAAGTTGTTTCACATTCACGTGCTCGACGAAGCGCACTAGGACGGGCTGGGTCTGAAACACCACCGACTGCTGCTTGGCACAGACATTCTTGCCGGCGACATCAATTGATGCTCCCCAAGGCGAGTACCGCAGCGGCATCGTGCATATGCCAAGACGGCAGTGGCAGCCGCTTAGCCCATTCGGGGCTCCCGCGATTGGAGTGTTCCGTAGCCTGGCAGCCTGGCAGCCCTGGAGCATTGGCACTGTGACCTGGTGCGGCCAACATGCAAGGCGGCAAGGACGGGTATGGTAGGAAGATATCGACGACGTTCCGACTTCTGTGGCGGCTTGTTCGGGGAGAAACGGCTAGTCAGGGGATGCGGCTGATGGAGTGGGGGTCGGCGTGGGGGTGGGGTACTGGGAGGACTTCGATTCGTTTTGCTCGGCTGCCGTCCTTAGCCAGTGTGGCTCCAGCGGTCTCTTCATCAACATTTTAGATATGCCCCCTGACTGCACGCACCTGGTGCATTTCACACCGCCCCTGCCAACACACATGGCTTGATGCTTATTGTTCCGAAGTCGGGATGAAGTAATCCGTTCCCTGTTAAATGTATTTTATTAGCTAAGATATATTTCTTCTTATATAGTAGAATTAAACCAGATGGAGCTAACCTTGCAATATATTTTATTCTTTTTACCCTTCACCTTATTCATGTTAACCTTGCTCACTGCTAGGTGTACACACCACAGCCCCTTGCTTGCTCTACATTATATAGTAAAAGGCAAGAGATAAATTCACTGAGGAGATCCCATCCCGCTCTACGTTGTATTGCTCAAATCCACAGGCTTGAAAGCAGGACGGTCGCCTCCGAATTTATAGGTCTAAGGGGCCACGTTTTTCTTACACTAATATATTTAGTACTCACGGCGGCGCTCACACTATTCAACCCTATTAGCGGGGTTATACAGTAGGTCTATAAAAAAAACACTAATCTTAAAAAATGTTTGTAAAATATATATTGCCACTCTATTATATTATTATAAGTATTATAGTTATATCGGGCTAGGGGCCGAGGTGGGCGACTAGGTGTATAGGCTACCTATAGCCTCTAAGGCCTTAAGCTCTTCTAGTATTAAAACTTAGAACTATTAAGAATTTCCTCCCTCTCTTTCTTTCTTTCTTAAATAAATTAAATATAATTTAAAATTCTATATTTCTAAGTAAAATTTAAAAGCTTTATTATTATTATATTCTTTTTATAAAAATAAATATAAAGATATTAATTATTAGAAAAATTATAAATATTTTTAATTATATAATTATAATTTTAAAATAAATATATAATATAATTTAAATTATAAAGAATTTAATAAAGAATGTTATATAATAGTTATAATTTTAATTAAATGAGTATAACTAATTTAAAATTATTAATTTAGTGGGTTTTATATAGGTATTTTCGAGATTGGCGTGTTTTTTTTTAGCAGCTCCACTGTACCGCAGCAGCGCGACCGCCGCACGATGGGCCGATCGGGGAGACCAGGCAATTCCAGGCCGGTGGGGGGCGGCACGGTGCCGGCGATCTCGGCCCCCTCGCGGGCGCTACCGAGCGAATCGGTCCTCCACCGTGTCCCGGTCTTGACCCACCCGTCACCGACGACCGCTGCCGACGGGACCACGGCGCACCAGCAGACCGCGGCCGGTGTCGACCGCGACGTCCAGGTTCCCACGACGGACCTGGTCTCGACGCTGATGCCGGTCCCGAACCTGGAGGAGTAGCTCGGCGCCCCCAGGACCACGTGACCCGCCTGAGAATTATGTTCAACTACTGGTGCGGCACAAATATTGACAAGGCGTTGGCCTTTCCTTCCAGCCATTATTATTTGGACAGGAGAGGTTATAGGCGTTAACTGCCACTAGTTTCGCTTCTATTCTACATAGGTCTCAGGACACATAGCGCTTTCATATTATAGCAAACACTCAAGGCCCAGCATTTAAATAACATGTAGTATTAATAAAAGTAGTAAGATTATAATACATATATGTGGCCTTAGCCTTATGATGTATAGATGAGGCTAAGGAACGAATAGATGAGGCTAAGGAATGTATAGATAAGGTTAAGGAGTACCGTTTTAATAGCGGTGCATACATAGAACTAGCGGATTACCTGTGGGCCTCGGCTTCCACTTACTCACTCTTGGTGGAGTGGGTGCTAAAAACCTATAACGGTTAAAACCTTGTAATACCTACACCTATTTATTTTTATTACTTTTCTTTATAAAACCCTACTTTTTAATTAAGTATATTTCCTTTATTAGATTTTATATAAAGAAAAATTAAATATCTTTAAAATTTTTATTTTATAAAGATTAATAATAAAATATTTTTAAAATTTTAAGGTTAAAGTTTAAAATTTTAATTTTTTTAATTAAAGGTTTTTTAAAATTAATATATTTATTTAAATAAATTATATTATTAAAAAGTAAAAGTATTAAAATATTTTTAAAATTATTATTTTTATATAAATAATATTTATAAAAATACTTTTAAAATTAAAGTTATTATAATTTATTTCTTTATAATATTTTTAATATTATAAATCCTTTTTAAAAGTTTAATTCTTTATTTTTTTATAATTAAATTATAATTTTAAAAATATTATTTTTATATAAAAAGAAATTCTATTAAAATTTTAAAAATAAAAATAGGTAGGTATAAATATTATAAGGTTTTAACTATTAATATATATTAAAATTAAACTAGGCTAACTTTAAGCTAATTTTCAGCCTAGTTTTAGTATAAAAGGCTCCACTATACTTAAAAAAAGCACTTCCCCACTTATTCCACTAATATTAAAGCTTTAAAAATTCATTCTTTTACTATATACTATAAGTACTTATTAAATAATAACTATAATATAATAATAATAATTACTTTTTAATAATAATCCCTATATTAATTACCTATAATATATATATTTTATTTTAAGATTAGTACTCTCTTTTATTAAAAGCCTTACTTCTTTACTAACTAATATTACCTACTAACCCTCTCCTTACTAATTAACCCCTTTAAATTAATTTACCCTCTTACTATAAATAACGTTTATTAAATCACCTTAATTAATAATTCCAACCAATCCTTATTAACTAATTAAATTAATATATTTTATAAAACTACCTATAGCTCCCTTTATAAAACTACCTATAACTAAAATTAAAAATAAAAACATAATTAAATAAAAAAAATTATAATAACCCTTAAAGTTAAATTAATAGCCTTTAATTTAATTAGGAAAATTCTAACTATTGTACTATTAAAGATAGTAACTTTTATATATTAAATAAACATTTAATATATATTAAAATTAAATTAAGCTAACTTTAAGCTAATTTTTAACCTAGTTTTAATATATAAAACTCTACTATACTTAAAAAGAGTACTTCCCTACCTATTCTACTAATATTAAAGCTCTAAGAATTCATTCTTTTACTATATACTATAAGTACCTATTAACTATTATAGGTTTTTAACACCTTTTATACTAAGGGTGTAAGGGGGTAAGGAAGGCCTACCCCTTAGGTAAATAACTATTAGCCTTCCTAACTACCTATATATTCTTCTTTTATAGACATACTATATTAATTAATATTTATTTCTACTTTAAGGTGTGGTTTATTACTTTATAATATATTAAATAACTTTTAATATTAAACTTTATATTAGTTATAATAATTATTTAATTTATATAAAAAAGACTTATTATTAGTTATAACATTTAAAGGTACTTTATTAGTAACTAATTAACATACTACTCTATGCTTAATAGTAAGAGGTTTAGAGTGAGTAATTTAAATTGACAAGTGTACTCTGATGATCTCATTAAGATATCCTGTTTAATCACCCATCTAACTGCCAACCCTCAAGATCTCCGCGGCCCTCAACACCGCTCTGGCCGTCTTGCCAATCCACTCGACAGCAGCCTCTTCATTGACCGCGTTGATGTTATCTGTAACAGCAGGAAACACGTCCGCACCATACCCATTATCGATTCCCGGCGCAGAAATTACATTCTTGAACGTCTCACGCCCGGGCAACCCTCCCGCGCTCGCGAACCCGCGTGAGAAATCCCTGAACTTGGAGTTGACCACCTCGAGTATCACGCCGTCATCAAAGGACACCGCCGTCTGCGCCACCTTGTCGATGTTCTCCGCCTGCTCCGTGAACTGCGCGACGGCGTCCGCGATGGGCGAGATGTCGAGCCCGGGCAGGTCGGATTCCGCGACGGTCTCGGTCAGCTCGTCGAGGTATGCCGAGAGGACGCTGGCGGCGTTGGGGAGGTCCCACGGGATCAGGGGGTCGTCAGCTATGTGGTAGAGTATCAGGGTCATCCATTGGCCGATTGCTGTGTGCAGCTTGAAACCTGGGTCGCCGAATTTAGACATCCAAGCATAGGAGTCGTAGTTGGAGTGATAGTGGTAGACGGGGTCCGTCTTCCCGCCGTCGCTGCCGATATCGATCTGCACTCGTGTTAGGGCCGTCCTTGGAGTCATGAAAAGTCGAGTTCAGGTAGAGAATCAGGGCGATGAAATACTTACACAGCCAATTCCGTTTTGGTAGAAGCTGGCATAATCAGAGCCACTACCAAGCGGAGAGATCTCGCCCTCTGTTACATTGTACCACATATCGTACAGCGTGGGGAAGTTTCCCCAGTCTTGAGGGAAGATGATCTTCTTCATCTGTTCAACTACAAAGGTCTGAATCTCACCAGAGCCAGAGAAGGCAGGTCTCGGGCCCGAGACTGCAACGTCAAGGTTGAGATAGGCCACTGCAGTGGTCTGCAGCCAGGGAAGATGAGACTCAACCCATTCGGTTGAGCCCTGGAGGCCGAACTCTTCGGCGTCCCATGAACCAAGAATGCTGCTTTATGTTAGCATCGAAATTGTGTGTGCACATAGATAGCAGCCGGGCATCGCCACATACATAGTCCTTCGCGGTTTCCATCCCTTCTCAAGCAGCTTTCCAAATGCATTGGCTAGCTCGATGAGCACAGCGCTGCCTGAATTTGGGTCTGCTGCGCCGCCGATCACCCACGCGTCTCTGTGGTTCCCAACAACCACGACCTCGTTCGGGCTTGTTCCGTTGATAACACCGATGGCGTCCCAGACAGGCTCAATCGACTCGTGCATCAGATGGTCTATATTGACGAGCGCGCCGGGAGCAGGTCCAGAGTCATAAGTGATATTACCGAAACCGCCTATCCAACCGCTTCGGTTGGCTTCTTTGGCGGTGACACCGTGCCCTTGAAGGCTCGCAAGGAGCGGAAGCGCATCTTTCATGCTAATTGGTATGGATGGTATAGATGGGTTGTAGAGCGAGGTATTCCCACGAGGAGAGTCAGGAGCGGAAGCCCAACCGACAGTCGACGGGTCACCAGAATAGAGGGACGAGAAGCGGACGCTGCCTCTCTGAATCGAAGAGGGGTTCCTAGCCGGGCCATCTGGTGGGCCTGTCAGACAAAAGCTCATGCTTCGCGGAAGGGGGATGACGGACTTGGATACGCCTCATAACCATTTTCCTCGGTAACCTCTCCATCGTCAAGTGGATCCGTGTAGATGATGCAGCCTGCCATCCCGTTGTCTTGGGCATTCTTTACCTTGGTGCCTCGGTATATGCCGCCATAATTCGCCATTGCAATTTTGTCTTTCAAGTCGATCCCAGCGTCAATCAAGACCTGGAAGTCAGCACGAGTACCGCGTCTACGCGCATTAGAATCGGCCACAAAGTTCACCATCTGCATACAACTCACCCAACGTAAACATATTCCGCGGTGACATTACCACTCCCACTCATAGCATGGTAGGCCGGGATCAAGTTGGGATAGCTACTTGTATCGTCCTCGGCCAACACATCTTCGACCAAGTTCGCCTTGTGGGTTGTCCCATCTGCCCTGATAAGCGCCAAGCTCGAATGTTCGGGGTAGGTGTACCAGATGGGGTACTCGGCCAGCCAGGAGTCGAAACCAGCATCTTTCCACTTCTGTGCTGTCCACTCCGCCATCGACTTATTGTGGGAGCCCAGGTGGTCGCCATGAGTGTAGTAGTAGGACCAGTCGCTCAGACTCTTGTGGTCAAATGAATTTACGAGAACTGATTCAGTCTCTGTCAGAGTAGGCGGGAACTCTACTTCTGCCCGTTTGGCATGCTTGTTATGGGCCTGGTGCTGGTGTATGCGGCGGTGTAGCGCATCCCAGTCTCTTTGGCAGGCACACGCCAGACCGCCCAGAAGGGCGAACAAATTTAACAGACGAAACATTGAGAGCTCAATTGGGTTCAAGCAAACTCAGAATACGGTCATTCAGAACAGGAGGGCCGATGCTCACATCCACTACAGTTGCTGGTCCACCGCATCTTTTATTTGCAAACCGCAGCCTAGAATTCTGAGTCAGGATCTACTCCGTCAGCAGAAACGGTGCCGAAAAGCAGGGCAGCTATCGTTCTCGGCCTGAGTCTTTTGTGATTCGACGATAGCCGTCTATAGTCCGGTGTCGTGATCACCCGCAGCTGCCTCATTCAGGAACGGTTGCACCACGATGAACTGCAATCGCGGGGTATAATGGCTTGGCGCACAGTGAGCTGAAGCGGGGGAGAGCGATGACGGACGCTGTCTTGGCACACATCACCGGTTGCACGGGCTAGGACTGTGGTGTTGATGCGGAGATGCATCTATTTATTCATCCTACCGTTGTTGGCCGCAGCCGTCGCCGAGCTGGCACATTCGGGGTCTAATTTCACGGCTTGGCACATAGATGACCTGAGCGAGGTTGACCCCTTTGTCAGACTGATCGAGGCTCACAGAGAGCCAGTCTTTCAAGGTTCACTATTTCTATAAGATAGTCCAGAAGCACATGTGCAGTCATGACCACCCCATGCTGCCTGAGCAAGCACCTCTAGGTATTGTTCAGAAGCAGAGCCGAACGATACTTTGAGTCAAGTGCAAGATTGTTGGTGTGATTGAATCTATCAATCTCACAGGACTGGTATGTTTCTGCGACGATATGATCTCCATTCAGGAAGTGTTCTCTTGAAGAGCCATTCGTCCGATGTGAGCTGCAAGTCTTCGATAGCACTCGCCCACCTTACTAGCTCCACCTCCGCCCACGCAGTTTGCATGATCGCGAGCCCAAATGGCATTCCGTCACTCGAGTGTACACCTGCTGGAATCGTTATCATTGGGTACCCTGCTTGCGCCGCGATCTGATACGTTTGCCCCACGTCTGGCGGTACGAGGAGCCCATTGAGTTTTGCCTTTCCTTCAGGGAGTTCTTGATCGCCGCCCTTTAATGCCCAGTCAATTCCATCCCGGGTCTTCCCTTGGCAAAAGGAAAGGGCTTGCCAGTAAGTTTCATTCCTGATACCGCCGGTAGCTAGGGACGCCAGGAATCCGTCCTGGCCTGACGCGAACGCGGGAATGCCTCCTTCGTCAGGGTAGGCATAGCCGCCTTCGCTACCATCGTTTTCGTAGTTGAACTTGACAATGTCTTCCAAGCTTTTCATATTGGTGTTTCCCAGCTCAGAAAGGTATGACTTTATGTTGTTGTAGAAGTCGACCGCCACCACTGTGTATTCGCTTTCGTTGGAACGACCTCTGGTTGTTCCCCAGTCCCAGTCCCAACCATCTTTGCTCACAAGTGTCTCGAAGTCCAGGATCTCCGTCTCGTTCACAATGGTGGCTCCGGACGACTCTATCAACCTCAAGATGGAGACAAGAATCTCTTGCTGCTCGACGTCAGCATATACCCAGAAGCTTTTCCAAGGTAGGCCAAAAATTGCGCCTTCGAGACTGCTCTTATCGGAAATGAACTGTGCATAACCATTTTCTGGCGTATTTCCATGTTGGGGAAAAGTGTAGTTGTCCCGTTGGTCGACGCCGTATATCGCGTCCAATGCATAAGTAGCGTCTCGAACGGTACGGCCAAATGTTCCCACCGTGTCCTGGTGCTCACACTCAGGGACCACGCCGCTCCTCGAAGTAACACCGACAGTGGGTTTGATTCCAACAATGGCGTTCCTCTCTGCCGGATTGATGACGCTTCCATCCGTCTCCGTCCCAAGAGAAAATGCGACTGCGTTTGCAGCGACCCCGGCCGCGCTGCCGGAACTACTTCCGCCTGGGTTCAAAGTAAGGTTGTAGGCGCTCCTGGATTGCCCACCTCGCGCTGAGTAACCCTCCGAGTACCTATTGCTCCTCATGTCCGCCCATTCACTCAGCGTGGCCTTCCCGAGCAGCACGGCGCCCGCATCGCGTAGTCTCTTGACCACAAAGGCATCTCGGGGCACGGTACTACCGAGTAAAGCCCAGCTTCCCGCTGTGGTCTCGAGGTTGTCCTTTGTTGCGATGTTATCCTTGACCGTGAAAGGGATTCCGTGCAGCGGGCCCCGGACTCGTCCGGCTGCCCGCTCGTCGTCCATCTGGGCGGCGATAGCAAGTGCGTCTGGATTAAACTGCAGGAGTGATTTTATGTAGGAGTTTGTTTGATATGTGCGAATCATGTAGCAGGCCACCAGCTGTTGGGATGTGAGGCTGCCGTTGGCCATAGCAGCTTGCATCTGGTCGATGCTCGCCTCTTCAAGCCCAAAGGTGCCGCAGGGCGGCATAGGGAAGAGCGCTACAGAGTCTGCATATTGCTCAAGGGGAAACAAAGACGGTATCAGGCTGATGCTTGGTGCATTTTGGGCCTCGGTAGGATGCCCAGACATGGCCGCTGGCCATACGGACAATGCAACGAGAAGATCATGTACACGCATTCTCAACTCTGCTAGAGCTCATTGAACTGAACGGCTGGCACATGAGGGGAGACTGGCCAACGTAGCACTGTCAAGCTCGGCTATGAAATGAAAAACAAGTTGAGCGATCTTGCATACAGCTAATGCAGTGTCACCACGCTATCCTTCGGTGACGGGCAAGCTCCATTTTCAATCGGATGCCAAGCCTTCCGGCCGCTGTTGTTGATACGCTGCCCATTATCGTAATGATCGGAAGATTGTGTCAAGTAGCTTGGCTACAGCACTGAAGTCGACCTAACGGCCGGACGAGTGGTGCTCAAGGATGGAGACATGAATCTGACCATGAGTTCTGGCTTCCTTTACAATTTCAAGGAATAGTTTGCAAGGCCGTCAACAACTGTCTGTGTCCTTGAGGCAATAACAGCTTGAGATACACTGACTGTTGCATTCCATTGGAACGGATGGTCCTCACTTTGGCTGGTAGTTACTTTTGACATAGTATTACGTATACTAAGATGCTGGTGTGAAGATTAGGAACAGACTTTATGGAAACGTCACTTCTAGTTCGAGACCATGACGCATTGATTTTACGTACAGACGACACATGTTATTTCACATGCCGAGCCTTACGCTGCCGCTGTACCGTCATTATCATTCACGCCATTAAAAAATAAACAGGGTATTATCCACAGACTTCATATAGCCTTTATCACAAATATGGTGACTGAGAATGTTATCTTGGTGTCACTCCTGTTATGATAATACTGTGGTCCAAAACCTCGACAACTGCGACTATCTCATCCTAGATTTTGCCCAGGCCGGAACCGCGGGTAACATCATCGATGACTTTGTTCAGAGGCGTCAAGTTATACTTGTACGGTGCCTTTGTGAAATTTCCAACCCTAGTGATATTCACACCAGCGTCTCCAAAGTCATTTTTGGCACCCAAGTTGGCAAATCCGTCCAGCTCTTCGTCCCCGCAGACGCAGGTGTTGGGGCTGTCCTCGGGAATGACAAGACCGTAAGTGCTGAGAGCCTCGCTTGTGTTCCCGCGGAAGACGTTGCCCTCAACGAGGACGTGGTTATCGGAGCGGGAATGGATGGCCTGGAAGTAAAAGTCGTTATAGTAGTTGTTATAAACGTGTTGTCGACCAAAGCGACCGGCGGGGCCACGAGTACCCTCACGCTCCCAGCGGTTGTGGTGGTAGGTGATGCGTAGCTTGAAGGTGTCGACGTCCCGGAGCACATCACTATTTCCAACCAAAGATGACTGCAAACGGGTCAGTGACATTCCAGTTGGAGGAATTGGGTTTTCTTGCCTTCCAGTGATCGTGAAAGTAATTCCAGGACACTGTGACCCAATTGGAGCCACGGACAATATCGAGCTGCCCATCATTATAGTCAGGGCCATTGTCTAGACCACTCGACTCGAACTCGTTGTGGTCAACCCAAACGCGGGTTGAGTTGACGATCTGAAGCGCATCTGCGTTTAAGACCTTGCGAATACCAAGATTTCGGATAATGACATTGTCTAGTGGTGAAGTTAGTCCTGCTATGGGTCCTCAAGTGTTGTATTCTAGGACTTTCCAAAACATGAAAGACGGGGATCCGTGAAAGGTGAAAAGTGATGCTTACCGGAGCCGCTAACGTCGATACCGTTGCCAATGAGTTCACCACCACGACCCGAACCGAGGAGAGAGGTGTTCGAGCCAACCTTCAGACGTGCCGGAGGATTCGTGAGCGTGCCATTGAGATAGACAATTTTCTTCGCGCTACCAGCAACAGCGCTCTGGAGAGCTTCAAAAGTATCTACGACTGTGGTTGTGCCGCCCTGACCGCCGGTGGTGGATCCGATGGGGTTGTCCTTTGCGAAGCCGACGAGATCAAAATCCAGCTTACCTCCCTTGCCGCCGTAACCAACGCCCCTCTGCTGGTGCTCGTCTTGAGCCACGGGAGAGGCAGAGGCGAGAAGAGGAAGGAGCGTGATAAGAAAGAGAGATATCTTCATCTTGTCCGATCCGAAGGGGGGCGAGGGGCTGATCGAAGCGGTGCTTCACTTGGAGAAAGATGGGTGCTGAGGTGTGTTATGCTCAACAAATCAGGGCAGCCTCGTTCAAGTTATATGCATCGCGGCCAGAAAGTCGGTAAGTCATGAGTTCATCCCGTCAGCTCTGGACCGCCGCCACGATGGATGATTTCCCCTCACGTTGGTAAGAATGTGTAGTCTCTGCTGCTTGGCGACCACATCCTGGACATTTAGCCGTGGATTCATTTGCTCGCTGCCAACATGTCGATGTATTGCTCCTTGGCGCACACCGGCGAGCAGCAGTGTCTACACGTGATGAGCATGCCAAGGGAGAAGGAAGATCATTGAGTGGTGGAATTTCTATTCGGAGAGGCGTCTCTAGTGAACCGGCCCAGGCTGGGAACTCAGATTTCATTTCCCAATGGCAAGGCGCGGACCATTGGTGCCTTTTTATGCTTTACCAACTATAGCACGCACAGCAATAGTACAAGCACGGCTCTGTGATGTTGAGCGGTCGACTTGATTTCATCCTTGTCGGAGGATCTGAATACATACCCAGGTCGCATGCTGACAGGGTGTCACCAAGAAATGACCAAGGCCCCAGTGCTGCACCCCTCCAATACTTTTAGTGTAGGAATCTCCGGGCATAACGCGGGGAAGGACACCACTTCGCACCTCATTTCAGACAAGGTTGCCGCGCATGCCAAGTCCAACCCAGTGTCGGGCGAGTTGAGCGTATGGAGAGGAAAGGTCAGTTTCCGAGCCTGAATACCTGGGTATCGCATTGAAAGTCAAGTGAAAAGTTCTACTTTCAAACCATAATCTCGGAGTCTTTCTTCCTTCCGGTCGCTCTTCTTCATCTCCATGGAGGTCGGCGCCTGTTTAAGCATTTTGCCACGCAGGCATTCTTTGTCCACAGTGCCTTCATCGTAGGTATCACCGCTACCCATTGGATATTCAGTCACCTTTTCAGGCATGCTCAAGAGCTTTATCACAGCTTTGAGCCAACTTCAAAGCCGCACCCAATGCTTGTCTAGGTATTTATCAATTCTTATGTGAGTACTCACTCTCTCAAGATAGAAGCAAGCCTCATTTTGTTATTCTGATGGAATCAATGGAAACATCAACGGAAGCTTATGGTTGAGTTCGCCTTGACAAAGAAGAACCAGCGCTTGATGTGCTTCGCCCATCCCGAGGTCGCCAAGGTTGCTGGCGAGTCTGTCGTGACCCAAGGGCGGCGGGCTAATAATCCGATGTTGGTAAACAACAACAGCGCGCACTATTCCAGGAAAGGAGAGTGCATTTGAGGTAGACAGTGCGAGCTTGAAATCTGAAGCCTGAGATGCATGTGTTTCAATGCTGCAATCTTGCACATACCTGCGAGTTGAGCGACGCGTGCAAGTGACAGAAGCCACGAGACCACAAAATTCGAGTACCTCGAATCGGTGGAACGGATGGCTGTCGATGGAAACAACACGACTGAAACAAGGTACTATAAATCAGTGGACCATGGGAGGAGGAACAAAACTCAATATGTAGGAGAAGCCAAATTCGTGCAAGCAGAAGGCATATGTGTGTGGTCTGTTGACTACCTAGGTAGATGGTACTGCTACAGTGGGATAGAGCCTGAGTTTCTCTTTATACATCCTGCAACAGGCTTGCTTGACGATAATATTTTGATCTTCATGGCTGCACCTGAGCACATCATTGATGCACGCAAAATCTGTAGCTGCCAGTGTGGACTGTTTTCGGACCCGACCTTCTGCGGCAGACGTGTGGTTCTCTCTCGGCGTCCACCTATGGGACCACAATTTCTGTCGGCGAAGAAAAGGAGAGGTGCCTGACTAGGCCCAGCAGACTTTGGTCCGACTCCACCACTCAGCTTGCCCCATACTGATGATCATTCCTCCAACAACAATCCATTTGGATGCGTGTCAAGAAGCTGTGGGGATCCAGCATGAGTTCCGCCCTTCCCCTACCAACGTGCCGAAACCACGCAACACGTGGTCGGGGGTACCAAATCCAAACAGCAGGATGGATCTTTGGAGTTGGAAATTACTCTCCTTGAGACCCAGAATGCTTATTCCGGCCGTAATGACCAGTCTCATGTAAGGCTGTAGGAGATGGCTTTACCCCTGCTCAAGGCTTAGGGACTTCTTGGGGGGCCACCAAGCATACACCATAGCCCCTCGAATGCACTCTCACGGTTTCTCTTTTATTTTTCCCCTGACACTCGTGATCGATACCACCGATCTGTCGAAGTTAAAAGATGCACACGATATTCACCGTTCGTTAGTCTTCCATTTGCTCGTTGGCATCCGAGACCAACCCTTGGGAAGCTAGTCTGGAGGGCTGGACGTGCTCGTCCCGCCGCTTCACGGCCTTGAGACATGGGACACATTATTGCGAAGTTCAAGTCAAACTCTGTTCTAAATCATCCATGTTCATCCGCTCTTGCTATCATTGTACTCCTGAAGCGGCCAGCGGAATCATCGCTGTGCTGTTGTGCAACGAGGGGTCGGGGGGGGGGGGGGCGAACCAGAATTATTAGGGAGAGGAATGTCAAAACTCTCTAGCCTTTCCTTAATTCGCACGCTCTACCACTAGTTCAACGCTTCTGGAAAGGAAGGATTCGTAGATATATGGCCTAGGTAGGCTGTGACCTCATGCAGTTCGAGTTGAAGGACACGAATCACACGGCGACGACGTCATTGTTCGCTCCTCGTAATAAATATCTTGTCAAAGCCAGATATCGTGGGCGCGTATTTGTCGGGCCACATTAATAAGACCCCGAGTCGTGTTCTTGGCCTCTGTCAGCTGTCAGGCTTGTCAGGGTCGGCTTTGGGTAGCTCCCATGATTGCTACCTTCCTTACCCGGCGTTGGGACTAAGGAGCTTTGGGACATATACTGCCGTTTACATCAGCCATGATGAAATATCCAGCATTATACCAAGGTTCATCGTTAAGAATTCTTTGGTACTGAGGAAACGGGCCACATGATCACTTGAGCGTTGCAATCGGGCACCAGGCCCTACAATTATTCATTCATTCACGTGGCTCACTCATGGCATTGTAATATGGCAAAAGACATGCGATATTCTCCAGCACGCGCTCTCGCGTACAGGTTTTGATACCGACCCAATGTGTCTTCATGTCGTGTCAATCATAAAGGATGGATAAGCGAAAGTAGACTCTAGGGACAGTAGACTGAACATGGGCCTTTCTCTAAACAGAAACCCCCCACTTCCCGTGTAGTCTATTTGCAGAACTTGTGGACCTCGTTTTTAGCACTTGACACCGCATTCATAGTGATAGACAGTTCATCTTCGTTGTTGGGTCAGCAGACGCTTCGACTACATGCAACGTTATCTTGGAGGCAGTTTTTTTCTGATTCAGGTGCTCGAGGATATGAAGCCAGACATATCGTATCGACCCATTGGGCAGGCTTGAGGATTTTCGATGGGTAATGTCAGGGTAAGGTCGTTGTTCTGTAGATGATGAGCGGCTGGGAACGAGTCAGGCATGCGGCATGTCAATCTGTTGCAACGCGGAGCAGAGTGCCGAGGGCTCAATGAGCGCAGGTGGATCACCTGGTCCCAAGTCGTCGAAGATCGCAGGTCAGGGTCCTCTTTAGGGGGGACAATGGAGACCGTGGGTTCTGCGATGGTTCTATTTTTATAACCCACAGGCTTCCTGTATCCGAAGGGAGACGGAGTCAACAACCCGACGCCCTGAGGCCGTGGACACTGGATACCTTGGGCACTCAGTCTAGCTTGGGTAGGCAGGCACTCCGTACTCGGACCCTATCGACACAAAGGCTCGCAAAACTGCCGATTGACCATACTACTAGACTAAACTAGCCTCAACGGCTCAGTCCTGGTTGGACGTTACGTCGTGACGTAGCACAGTAGCTCAATCAATAGTGAAGAACCCTTGTCCCCTTGGGACCCCGGGTTTCTTCTAACGTTCCCGTCCGAACTCCGACCTGGCTGCGTGACTAAGATCATCAGCACTAACATTGAGCAGGCCGCCTTCTCCCACATTCTGCAGCCAAATACGAGATCGCCCATTCGCGGACCAGCCAGCCGCCAGGTCTGTGGCCCAAGCTGGGGACAACGGAAAAGCTCCAGAGGAGCTCTGGACACCCCGTTACCTGGGCCTACTCTTGACTGGCAGTCGGGATCGCCTGAAGGACTGATCGGCCAACGCACTTCGCCTTGTGGGGATGAGGTGACCGGGATTGCCGCTTTGTCTGTACCTAGGTAGCGCGGTGATCGGTGCCAATGAGCTCCGCTGTAAAGACAACTGATACCCACACCCGCCACGGGGTAATGCCGAGATCTCGCGCAGTCTCGTGCAGAGGGCCGGATAGCCCTAGCAGGCACAGCCAGGACCGTAGCGGTGCGTGCAGACATCAACATCCTGTTCCAGTGTTTGCATACTGTCGACTTCAAGTTGTGTAGAGAAATTTCTCAACAAAACAGCAGCAACACCGCCAGGGTTGAAGCCGCCCACAGTCCTGTGGTGTCACATGTTTCGCATGAGTTTTTGGCAATTTCAAATACCCCGCTGCGAGGATGGATATACTTAGTATTAGGCTTGACATCACAGTTAAGGCAGACTTAAGCTTAGTTGATCTAAAAGGAGAGGTGGGCATGGGGGCTTGGACGAACTGGTGCCGATCGCCACCCCGGTGGTACCTGCCCCTCGAAATACGAACTGGGAACCACAACAAGTTGACGGCGTTCCCCACAAACATGATACCCACACCTGGTGATGTGTGTGGCCGAGTAGACCGACTTCCGAGCTCACGATCTCAGGGGCCAAGAACGAAGGACTCGCCTCGCAGCACATCAATGATTATATATATCGTAGACGTTCTTCGTCTTTCGAGGTCTGGATATCTTACTGCATCACTCACCACACCAATCACTCTTGATCAACTATCAACACACTCACCACTACCTCAACACCCAATCCCTCAACAACAAATTCAAGATGTACTTCTCCAAGGCCACCATCATCGCCGTCTCGGCTCTCATTGCCCAGGGCTTTGCTTCCCCCATCCTCGAGACCGTCACCGACTGCTCTGCCGTTCGCAAGACCTGCCAGCAGGGCCCCGACGCCAACCAGGCCTACTGCGCCAGCCAGGCCGCCGAGTGTTGCGACGTCAAGGACTACGCCTGCCGCGCCGGCCCCACTGCCAACATGGCCGAGTGCTCCTCCCAGAAGTCCACCTGCTACGCCAACGCCAACCTCCCCGACCCTTACGGCCTGGGCAAGCGTCTCGACACCGACGGCGCCCAGTGTGCCGCCGTCCGCCTCACCTGCCAGGAGGGCCCTGATGCCAACCAGGCCTACTGTGCCAGCCTGGCTGCCGACTGCTGCCAGGAGAAGAGCAACGCCTGCCGCACTGGCCCCACTGCCAACCAGGCCGACTGCTCTGCCAGGAAGTCTTCTTGCTTCGCTGCTGCCAACCTGCCCGACCCCTACGGCCTGGGCAAGCGTCTCGACACCGACGGCGCCCAGTGTGCTGCCGTCCGCAAGACCTGCCAGGAGGGCCCTGATGCCAACCAGGCCTACTGTGCCAGCCTGGCTGCTGACTGCTGCCAGGAGAAGAGCAACGCCTGCCGCACTGGCCCTACTGCCAGCATGGCCGACTGCTCTGCCAGGAAGTCTTCTTGCTTCGCTGCTGCCAACCTGCCTGACCCCTACGCCAACTAAGTTGTTGCTTTGAGGTAATCATGGGAACAATGCTCGGAAGTATTAATGATGATGGGGACGCGGTGGTGAGAGTGTGAAAGGGGATGAGTGTAGTGTATATATGGTGCGATGTTGATATTCAGATTCTTGTACATAAAATTCAATCAAGAGTGATTGTGCCCATTGCAAAATTCTCCACTCGCCGTGTAATAAAGTGTTCCGACCGTGGGCCTTAACCTGAGAGAAAATTTGAGCAGCAGCTGGCTTTCTGGACTGGCTGTTGACGGGGTGTTCCAGTGCTCCAACCAAACATTGAAAAGCAGCATGACCACTTAAGTACCTAGGTACTGCCTCCAGATGTCTGCACTGAAAATCCGGTGGGACGTCATGGAGGTTATTTTGCCAAGGCGTGTCGTCACTCAAAACTCCGTGCAGCCGAAAGCTTAATCCCCGCTAGGGATTGCTGTTCTAGTATAGAGCACAGGGCAACGACGGGAGTCTATTCATCAGTGATGGACGGACGGCGTGAAACTCATGATGGCTCTCAGACCCAAGTCTAGGATGAATATCAAGCAGACATCTGGAGCTTTACACTCTGGGGGAAGTCGGGCGTCCGGCTGCGGCATCTATGCACCTAGGTACCTAAGTAGTAATGGCGGATGTTTTTTCAAAAATTTAAATAAAGATGTCATTCAACAGAAAAGACCACTAAAGTTTAATATGCTACAATAGGGCAACCTCCTCGGAAACTATCTGTCGCGGAAGGGAGCCTTCTATAGGAGGCTATCTCAGCGCTGAGATCCCGTAGGGGGGGGCACTTTCCCATTGAGGGGTACGGCACATGGCTGCCCTGTTCGTGGATTTTAGAGGGTTTGTATATTACATAATGATAGAGGTCCTGTCGCCACAAAAAAGATCAGTGCGTTTGTTCTCGCCTGCACGCACGCCCGCCCGCACGCCCGCACTGATCAAATCTTAAAAAGTCAAGACGGGCAAAAACTCCCAAAAAAGATTGTAATGCAAATTCTCTCTCGCCGGGAATTGAACCCGGGTCTCAAGCGTTGCTGCTTCCAGGATGGCGATGACAAGCTTGCATACTAACCACTATACTACGAAAGAATTTTCTTTGTCTCGGCGTGGGGCCGAGGTAGCTGGTGGGCTGTTCGTTGAGGAACAATTTGGACAAGGGGTATATAAAGCTGCTTACAAAGAAAAAGTTTCTCCCATCTTAGTAAGGCCTAGGTGGCTAGTAGATCATGAGTTCCTTACTTCTCATTTATATTATATACAACTTTTAATGCTTTTTTTACTTTAAGTTTTCACTGTCTCTATAGTTAGTCTGGGTGCCTTCTAAGCATGGTCCTCGGACCACGAGTAATCCGGGGACTCCTGTTCGCCCGTGGGACAAACCACTAGATCCGTGCATTCTCTGCTTACCTAGGTAGCTAAGCAACCCAAGTAGCCTCCACACCTCTCGCGACGTGGGATTGCAGCTTCCAAGGTTCACCTACTGCTTCCTCTCTTGGTACTATTCCTTAGGCAACTACAGCTTTAAATCGAACAATTCATCACGATCAATTCATCACAAACAATTTAAGCCCCTTTTGCCAGCGGTCGTGAGGACGGTGACGGTACGGGATTGATATACTGCTAGGAATAACTAATTAGTAGATTGGTTATTATGGTCTTTTGGCCGGATGAGAGAGCGGGTGGCTAGCAGTCGCGCCTCTTGTTACAAGGACCGTCTCAACTCCGTTACGTTATATACGCGTTGTAAGAAGAAATAGGCCAGTTTCATCATCCAACTTGTTAGTATCGGTGACATAGCCGGCTATCTACCAGCAGCTCACCAGGTGCGATGGCCGCGCTCCCGCACGGGTTTATAGTCCGCCTTGCACTAGCTTTCTGCTTGGCAGCCTGTAGTGCGTGGTGGTGGATACATCGACTTCGTCAAACTTACTTAGTAGCAAGCCTGCGTTCTCTGGATACTCGGTGTCTTCAGATGTGACATGTGTCTATGAACATATGTCCGGTGACTCATCTACAAAATATGCTGACAACCTAAAACCTGTCACGTTGCCGCTTTCTTAGGTGCAAAGAATGCGTAGGGTACATCCTAGCATCCCTCAATCAGTTCAAAATTTAATCCAGTAGAATACACAGCTCTGGTAGAACGGGAAACCGTGTATGTTGCAGAATTCGCCAGGTAAGTAAAAAATAGCAGCATCTAGCCCGCATATACTTCATCTAAACATCATATATAAGCTATCATTAAGAAAAAAACACAGCAGTGTACATACTAGCTACTATACTACGAGAGATGTCTGTTTATATCTTAGGGTGAGGCCGAGGTAGCTGATGTGCGGGTTATGCTTTTCAGGATACCTGAATGAATATATCCCTCCGATTCGTGGATGTTTGCATAGATATATTAGTGAAATTTCCGCTGCTAATTACCATGTCCTTGGCCCCGAGTTGAAAGCTAAGGTACACCACTAATAGACCTCAAATCACCACAGCTAACCGCACCATGTTTGAAAACGTGACCCAGCCAGCAATAAATAGCACGTAGTCATCAAGACGTGCTCAACCCCTCTATGAGCTTCCTTGCCCCACAGAAGTCCAGTTCGCCCAAAGTCTCTTCCCACAACCTTTGCAGGTACTCGCGCCCCTTGCCTGTGTACCATGTCTTCGGGTATCTGCACGCATGGCAAGGTTTGGGTTAGCACGCTCGACCTCTCACCTCAGGGACCCAACGTTTTGTAGCAATAGTGGCACTTACGGCTTAATGGTCCAGTTGGCCGTGAATGACCCATGGCTCTCTTTGCCCAGGACGACAGTTGAATGAACATAATTTGACGCGGCAACCTCGACGGGCCTCCCCATCATGCTGTTGAGCACGCCCATGATCTTCTGGAAGTACACCGGGTTGTTTTGGAACATCTGTGTGCCTTTAGTCATGCTGGGGTTCGTTACGTTGACGAGCACTTCCTCGGGGTCAACATAGTCGGCAAGCTTGGACACAAAGAGCAGGACCAGCAACTTTGTCTTGGAATACGTCGGCAGCTGGTCGAACGCCTTGGGGTTGTCAAACTGCTGCAGAATCGGGGATTTGTTGTCCATATCTACAGGGTACATGTAAGCAAGGTCGGAGCCGACGAGGCTGAGCGTTGGTGGCCTGATGGCGCCAGCGGAGGCCTTCTTCGACTTGAGCACAGGGAGGAGCAGGATTGCCAGCAGCGCCGTGGAGAGGTAGTTGACCTGCAGCATGGCCTCGTGGTTGGTCCCTGCGACAGTGGCGAAGGACGGTTTCTGCACGCCGGCGTTGAGAACGACGATGTCGATGCGTGGGAGCGTCTGGCACCGGTCGGCGAAGGACCGGATCGAATCGTATGATTCCATGTCGAGCGTCCAGACGGAGACCGTGGCCTCTGGAAACTCTCCTCGCAGCTTCTCCGCGGCTGTGTCTCCCTTGGCCTGTGAGCGAACGCCCATGATGAGATGCGAGATCCCAAGCCTGAGGAACTGCCTCGAAGCCTCGAAGCCAAGTCCTGAATTGCTGCCTGTAATAATCGCTACTTGTCCGTTGAGGTCGACCCCATCGGGCACAGGCTTGGGTTTTTCAAATTGACGACGCATGAAGCCAAGCATAGACCCTTCAGACGAAGCTTGACTTTCGAGCTTGGATGACATGGCGGGCGGGATACTCTTTTGATTGGCGGACAAGGTGAAGACTGGTTCCTTGTTGAGGCAACTTGGTTTGAGGCTTGAGGTTAGCAGTCAAAGAGGGAGATGTGGAAGTCAATACTGCGTGCCTGTTGTTACCAGATCTTTTTATTTGACGTAAAATGGATGAGGCTTGACGTTCAGCTTGTGCAGTTTATCTTGCTCGGTAAGCACGGAGGATCAATGTGACACATCGCACACGCACCGTACCTGGTACTTCGTGCTCAGACTGTGTCGCACCGTAGGATGACCAACCTTGGAATGGACCCCACTGGCTCTGCGCTGTTACAGCCACCTAAAAGGGTAGGTGTACTTAGGTACATGTCCTCAGCACTAACATATTGAACCCACACTCCCATCGTTTGGCTGCAGTGATCTTGGCGACTTTCCAAGGTTGAGGTTCGCCTGGGAAAGTAACAATAATAAGTGCTCACTCTTTTGTATCAAATATTTTATGCGGTTTCGCTTCTATTCCGTATACGTCCGAGGACATACATGGCCCTTTCATACGGTGTCAAATATTTTATGTTCTCTCAAGTCAGCCTGGATCGTCTTGCTCCCATTATGGCTGACCTCCCCACCGACTTTCGCGTCTGCATCGTTGGCGCAGGCATTGTGGGGTTAGCATGTGCCATTTCTCTTCGCCAAAAGGGGTTCCAAGTCACGGTTGTCGAGAAAGACAAGGCAATAGAAACAGTGAGTTGGCTACGAAACATATCGAAATTTGACTCCAAATATTTTCTTTCTTTTTATCCAGTGTCGCTGACCACATAATAACCTGTGTTGAAAGACGGGCGCCGGCATAGAGCTACAGCCAAATGCTGTCCGAGTACTTCAGGATCTCGGCGTGTACGACCATGTCCTGCAGAGATCGGTCCTCACGCCAGCCCTCGTCTTGAAGGAGTACACTGAGGGCAGGGTACTGCACACCCAATCCGTCGTGAAAGCTGCAATGAGTTACGGTGCCCCATGTCTGTCTGTGCATCGGCCTCACCTGCGGAATACGCTCCACGACAAGGCAGTCGCCCTGGGGGTAAAGGTTATGTTCGGCCAAAACATCCAGACTCATGGGCTTGATCTCGACCACGGCCGTTTGACGCTGGGTGGTAGTGATGGTGCATCTGGCCAACAAGAAATTGAAGACGGCCCTGGAACGGAGCCGCCGCAGACGCTCTGTGCAGACCTCTTCATCGGCGCCGACGGCGCTAACTCGTCCCTGCGGGAGGTCGTGACCGGCCACAAGACAGACTGGGTACCACATGGGAAAGTCGTCATCCGGATCCTCATAGACGTGGGGCTCATCCGGGAACATGAAGACCTCCGACATCTCGTAGAGAGGCGTGACTGTGTCGTCTGGCTCGGGCCCGAGTCCCAGGCTGTGACCTACTGCATGGGCGAAATCTTCAATGTCGCCTTCACGCGGCCGTGGTCCACGGACGCAAAGGACGCCTTCTATGCGCCGCAGAAGGTCGACTTCGAGGCATTCGTAGAACAGCTCGCCGCTGAGGGCTGGGACGTGCGGCTCCGCAAGCTGATAGGTCTGGCAAGGGGAACGGACATCCTGCGTTGGATGTTCTTTGAGCCCCAGATAGACGATGAAGGCACACCGTGGGTGAATGCTACCGGCACATGCTGCCTTGTTGGTGATGCGGCTCACCGAACCTTGCCATATCTGTGAGTAACTGTCGTACTTAGGTGCCCACTCCACCCTGCCGTGTCGCAAAACACGTCGCTAATGGAATGATTTCTGCAACCGCGACAGTGCGCAGGGTGCTGCAATAGGTCTAGAGTCTGCGGCCGTACTGGCAGGTCTGCTCGGCAAGGTCAGGAGCAAACAGGATGTGCCAAAGGTTCTGGGGCTCTACGAGCGTCTGCGCAAGGAACGATCAGGCCACGCCATCCGAGCGAGCTTGCGCAACGGCCGAGTGTGGCAGGTTCCCGACGGGCCGCTCAAGGAAGAGCGAGACAGGCAACTTTTAAATGAGACTCCGACGGCTGGGTTTCCAAACATCTTGGCTGATCCTTTCTTTCAGAGTTGGTTGTGGGGATACGACACCTCGAAGGTGGTTGACGAGGCTTGGTCTATGTTTGTCAACGGCCAATCACACTATTAATACAGACAGGCAGAGAAAGATACTGGGCATATGCATTTTGTAAAACCCTTGCAGATATCTGGTTAAAACACATGCGCTTATGAGATTCCAAGGTTGCCGTGCCTATGACCGCAGTGCCTTTTCTTAGTACCGGTTAACCAGCTTTTGAAGGCACATCTAGGATTTAATAGACGACCCATTGAGAAGCTATGATTTCAAATACAGCGATTCTAGATTGGCCAGCTCCTTCGGTCCGAGACTTGTCATCGAGGTTGAGATTTTTGAATGTTATGTGGTATACGTCTGTCCGGACATTTTATATTGCGAGTCTGAAAATTATTCTGGGTCTAAGGAGTTATTCTGAATCTAATGATTTATTACTGCCGGCTCTCATGCTGTCCTGATACTGAAATTGATCCTCAGATACACCGGCGCATGGCCAAAAAGATTATGTCTTTGATGTAGTCAACCACCCACAGCCATCAAACGCAGCTGCAGTCGTCCGCCCGTCTTTTCTATGCTAGGAGAGAGGGAACCACTGGTTGAAACGCTTTGAAGGGTCGTATTTCCTCTTGAGCTTCTGCAGTCGGCTCAGGCTATCCCCGTAGATGCTGCTTAAGGGCTCGTCCCCATGAGCAAAGTTGATGTAGCTAGATCTTGCGTTAGAATATAGGGGCACAACTTAATGGTCGAGGGAGGGGTCTCCTCATGAGGAACCAGACTTACGAGCTCAGTTGACCAAGCCCAGAGGACGAGCTCAAGTAGCTCCTGATATTCTGTCCGAACTGATTGGCTTCGCCATCGAGGGCCGGATTCGTGTACCATGGGATGATGGTGACATAACACTTGGTACCACGCCACGGGTATGAGGTATTGGGGTTGCTGGTGGCATAATCGGTCGAGTAGCACTCGGATAGGATTGTCGTGAGGTTCGCCTCCGCGTGCTGGGCAGTGAATGAGGCATACTCGTTCCATACGTTACGCCACGCCGTAGGGCTCAGATCTTGGACATTGACGCCGTAGGACGGCTTCCGGCCCCCCTTGACACAGAAGGAGTCAGCTCCGCTGCTCCAGGAGTTGTACGGTAGCATGGTGGTGTCCTCGACCAATGGGCCAATGTCAAGCAGCGGAGCGAACTTTTCCCTGGCAGCCTCCTCACCACCAATGTAGAACGGAATCAAGATGACAGCCCCCTGGGTGAAAGTGAAGTCGAGCTGCATCTCCGGCTCGAGCTCCAGGTTGTCCATGGCCACGATAAGGTCCTCGAGCTGGGAGTCGGAGTAGACGAGGCTTCCTGTCCACCCGATGTTGTCGGCCTGGGCTACTGGGTAGCTCTTGAACACGACGGACGTCACGATGCCGAAGTTGGGCCCCGCGCCCGCGAATGCCCACCAAAGGTCCGGGTCGCTCTTGGCAGTAACGGTAGATTTACGACCATTTGCGTCGACATAAGTGATGGAGAGGAGCTGGTCGACACCGTGGCCGTAGAGTCCCTGTGTCCTGCCAATACCGCCGCCCAGGCCCGCTCCCAGCACGCTAACGCAGTTACAGGTACCTGTCGAAACGCGTGCGTTGTTTTCCCAGGCAGCATTGACAAGGTCCTGGATCAGGACGCCGGCTTGGAAAGTAACCTGAGTTCTTTCGGCGTTGAAGCTGATTGCTTTCAGTCCCGATGTGTCGATGACAACATCCTCGGGGCCGATGTTAAAGGTATTTGCCCACCCGTTGGCCCCGCTCTGGACAAGAAACTTAATGTTATTGCGCTTTGAAAAAGCTACCGTCACGGCGACGTCGTCTTCTGTTCCAGCGGTAATGATTGCCCCGGGTTTGGGGATTGCGTACTCGCTCCAACGCTCGTTCTCTACGTTGCACTGGACGGTGGATTTCGGAGAGAGGCGTGGAACGGCTTCTGTGCGAATCCTATCACACAAAGAGGCGGGGCGTGGGAAGGCCTGGCCGAGGCCTAGAAGTCCCAAAAGGAAAAATAAGCGAGTGGCCGTGGGGGCCATGGTGGGACGTGATATTTCCTGAGGTCAAGTCTGAGGAAGAAGCTGTCGGTTCAAGTTGGCGGTGTTCCTGCAAGATCTCTGTACAAGCGACCTTCCACCTCGGACAGAACAGATACTTGTACATGCGCGAGACTGTCACATCCACGGAAGACTTGCTCCTTCTCGTAATTGAAAACAGCTGGGTGACTCCGGCGCGGAAGCAAAGCCTACGGAGATTTGGCCCTTCGGCAGCATTTCCCTCCCTGGGCAGACTACTGAGCAGTAGACAGACCACTTCCAAGCTGATGTGTTGGTGGATGTCATCCTTCAGGATATAAATTGACCGTGGGAATGATCAGCCTGATCAGGTGGGTCCCGTCAAGTACAAAATATGCAGGGTTTACTGGAAGCCTGCCAACAAAAAAAAACAACTATTGCTTCGCACAGTAATCAGCGCATTACAACTCTTTCAGCTGTTTAAACACCACGACCTTAGATTCTATCAGATGTTTTGTTATAATTTCAAGTTAGACAATGACTGTGGAACATGCCAATATGATCAAGATCAAGCACATACGAGGCAGTTGTTCAACGAAGTGGCTAGGGTCAGTTTCTTTTGCACAGTGCCAGCGTCTTTTGGGCGGAGTAAGCAGATTTGCGGAGCATTCCGTCGATAGCACCTCGTATCACATACTGTGGACAACCATGACTGCAGACTGCATATGGATCGAATCCTTTATTATCACCTTCTTGTTTTGTTCAAAAATGTTGCACCACTGGCAGGGATCCAGTGCTGTGCCACACACATGGATTTTGATTTTGAAATGACCCCACTTGGGAGGCACAGCAGTCACACTTGGCATGGCCGACGGTCCAGAACGGGCAGGTTTTAACTGAGCCCGACTGTTGCTGAGCGAACTCCGGCCTTGAGTTGCTCTGACCTCGGTTCGAGTTCTCAAGAAAATGAGACCGCCTCCCAGAATTCTGGTCTGATTGCTTTGCGTCCGGTGTGACATTTTTTTTTTGTTCCAAGACTTCTGATTATCCACTTCAGCACGTGCAATCTACGTGCAGCAGCTTGGTCATTGCCACCATGTACACCCCTTACACCGACCCGGCATACAATCCATACCCGCCATCCGTCCTGCTTGGAACATCCATCTTGTTCATCATTACGTCAATCGCGGCTGTGGGCCTAAGATTCTACTCAAGGTCGTTAATTAAGACACCGCTTAGCTGGGATGATTGGATCACAATTCCCTCGATGCTGATATGCATTGGGCTATCGGTAAACCAAATCATTGGTAAGTGTTAACTAGACCTCGGGGGCGGTACCCATAGAATCACCGTAGTTTCTGCTTACGTATTGATGCTGTCAATCCAGCCGTGAAATTTGGAGGTCTTGGGGGCCACCAGGACCTTGTAAACGGTCAAATCGCACACACGCCACAGCTCTATGCCTACGAGAAGACCAAGTATGCTTATCAGCTCCTAGGCACCATCGGGCTGTTCGTCGTGAAGCTGTCCGTACTTTTCTTCTATCGAAGGATATTCTCTGTCAGAGCCTTCAACATTGTGAACACCGTTTTTATCTATCTCACCCTCGCCTGGGGCCTTGCGTTCACTTTCGCGGGTGCTTTTCAGTGCACACCAGTGTCAACCCTCTGGGACAAGTTTGAGATAGAATACGGCGATTCATGTGTTAATGTCCAACCCTTCTACCTCGGCTTTGGCGTTTCTGACCTCATCCTCGATGTCTTGATTTTCGCGCTGCCCATGCCACATTTGTATAGTCTACAGATGCCCATGAGGCAAAAGCTAGCCATTGGTGGTATCTTCTTCCTAGGAAGCATGTAAGAGACCTTCCTCACCAAAGTACCATAGGAATGAACCTGGGTGATCAACTAACGATCTAAACTACATAGTGTTGTCGCCATCGGCATCACACGCATCGTCATCTTCCAACAGGTCATTTCCTTGTAAGTGGTCTGACGGCGAGACTCTAGCTCTCCCCATGAGTTCTCAGGCTCGGCCGCCCTTCCTTTCCGATAACTAAGTACTGACAGAGTATTGTAACAGTACTAAACAGGAGCCGTTCACATACTTCTACGATATCACGTGGTATACCGCAGGCACGCTGCTCTGGCATCTAGCGGAAAATGCCGTGGCGCTGGTGGGCTGCTGCCTGCCGACATATAGGCCACTGCTTAAATCCGCTCTTGCCAGTGTCAAGACTACGGTCGGAGGAGGTTCTAGATCGGCCGGACTCTCACGCCCGGTGAAGGCCAGCCATGGGTCCTCACAGTCGCGTCCATACTATCAACAGCACAATGAAGACTGGCCAATGACAAACTGGCAACAGCAGTCAGAAAGCCACGCCGAGCCCTCGGTTCAAGATCTGGAATCAACAGGTGCCATGCCCGACAGGGGAATTATGGTACATAGAGACATTCAAACTCGCACCGAAAGGTCGACGGCGTACTAGCTGAGGAGGTTGGTAGATATGTTGATTGCGCAGAGAAAATGAAGCTGTAATGAGGTGAATGCAATATTTACTTTATTTTATATTGGTGTATTATTATTGTGGTCGATATTTTATATAAGCTTTTTACTTCTTTTTTTATAAATAAAGTATTTAATTTTAATTATTATTATATAATTATATTAAGTTTTATAAAATTAAAATCTAGATAAAAATTTAAATATTATATTTATAATATAATAAAGAATAATATATATTTATATATTATAAAATTTAAAAAGTATAAAATATTATTATAATATTTATATAAAACTATTTTTAATTTTAATTATATTATATATTTTTATATAATATAAATATTTATTTTTAACTTAACGTTAATATATAAAATTTTTAATAATTTATATATATATTTATATTTTTATAAAAGAATATAATTTATTTTTATTTTAATAATATTTTTAAAATATATTAATTACTTTAAATATTAATACTTTTAAAAAGTAAAGGTTTATTTTATATAATTATAAATTTAATTATTAATAATTATTTCTTTTTATAATAAAGTTATTAAAAAATAAATTTAAATAATAAAATATAATTATTTTATTTAAAGATTATTTTTAATTTTATAAGTTAATTAAATAACTACTTTTAAGTAATTTTATTTATAAAGTTAATAAATAAATATTTATTTAAATAAAGTTAAATTTTTAATTAAAAAAATAACTTTATTTTTATTTATTTTAATTAATTTATATTTAAATTATATAATATCTTTATATATAATATTTAATAATATTAAAATTAAATAATTTATAATTCATAATAATTTTAATTTTTAATAAATTAATAATATTAATTTAAATTAATTAAATATTATTTAATATATTAATATAAAAGATATTTTTAATAATAACTAATATTATAAATATAAATTATAAAGTTATTATAAAAGTTTTATATAATAAATTCAATTAAATAAATCTTTAAAAGATATATTATAGCTTATTTTTTAAAACTTTAATTATTTATTTTTAACTTAATATTAAAATTAAAAAATATAAATAATTTATATATATATATTTAAAAGAATTATTTTTAATTATAAATCTTTTAATATAATTTATTTATATAATAATTATTTTTAAAAATTTAATTTTATTATGTAATTCTTTTATAATATTTTAATTAATATTATTATTAGAATAATATTTTTAATTTTATTTATATATTATAAAATTGAAATTATTAAGATTTATAATATTATTATTATTATTATTAATATCTTTTTAAACATTAAATTTTAAATATATGTAAAATAAAAATAAAATTATATAAAAGTTTTTATATTAATTTTATTATAATATAATTTAATAATAATTATAAATATTAATAATACTTCTTTTTAATATACTTTTAAATAAAATAGTTCTTTTAAAATTTATTTTTAAAAGGTTTAATCTTTAAACTTTTAAATATAATACTTTTATTTTAATATAAAAATTATTTATATAAGAATTCTTTTATTCTTCTAATAGTCTTCCTTTTTAAAATAAACTTTTAAATAAGTTTTTATTTACTATATTTATTCTTAAAACCTTTTAATTAACTTCTCTCTCTTTAAAGAAAGTATATTTTAAACTATTAAAAAGAGGTTTTAAAATAAAAAAGAAGGTTTTAATAAACCTTTTAATTTCAAAGAAAGTTTAATTTTTTAAAAAAAGTATTAATATACTTTATAACTAATATTAAAGAGTATTAATAAAGAAATAGTTATAAAGTATTAGGGATTACTTAAAGTACCGTTTTAAAGTAGAAGGGATGATTTAAAGATTGTATTTAAATACCCCCTAGAGTGTGGTATGGTAGTTACTTCCTTCGTTTCCATGGGTTAATGCTTTGCTAAGAGAGATTCTTAGGTAGCTAAGAGATAAAGGACTCCCTAGAGGGATTGATTCTATGTAGAATTTGCATGGTCCTTGTGTACACATGTAGAGGACCACAGCAGACCAGGCCAAGCACCTGATTAACAAACAGTTTAATCAACTATCTATCCTACTAGTATTTGAGTACATTGCAAAGACAAAGTCCATGCTAACCTAGGGTACTACCAACAATCAGACACCTGAGCCAACGTCCCCGAGGGTCGTCATCTTCCCTGAACCCACCTATTTCACGCACAATTCTCATCACAAAATCTGCAGTAATATTCTGCGAGCAGCCCCATGGCGGTTGTACCGCTTACGAGCAGGCCGCCCCAAGCGAACCACCAACCGCATATGTCGGACCGTGAGCGCGAGACGGTCTTGACCATAGCCATCTGAGGATCGAATGACGTTTTGTCTTAGCAAGATTTCTCGACACGAATACGGGGGTGGTGAATCATTTCGATGATTTGTGGGATAACTTACGAGACATATTGCATTACCGCCAACAGCTAGAACGAAGTAGGCGAGCGAGAAGCCCGCGAGAATACCGGTAAGAAGAAGGCAGGCTACCTGAGCGGTTCCCAACGTTGTTATGAAGGCATCAGTGTCGTGATAACGGACTGCCATGCTTCGCACACCGGCACGGATGTCATCCGACGTGTCCTGACAAGCGTTAACGTAGTCAAAGATGACTGTCCATATGTAGTGTGATGCTGTCAGTGAGGCTGTAGCTCCAACGATAGCTAGAGAGGACGTGTCGAGCGGCTTGAGACCGACCGAGGCCGCGGCCATAAGGATACCACCGGCAATGGGCAGGCCCAAAATGAGTTGGGGGAAACTACGTGCCCAGAGCGAGTCAGTTTTTCGTGAAGCCAGATGTGAGAGCAGACTTAGGTTGGCTTTGGAGAACTCCTTCTAAGATATCTTCATCGGCCATGGTAGGTCAGTCAACGGGTACTCACTCTGTAAGTCTCTTGCTAAGGGGGTATATAGAGCCAAGGATCTGAATAGGGACTGAAAGGAGAGTCAGGTGATTAGCCAGATCGAACGCTAGATATCTGGGGAGAGACATCTGGACTGCCTTCGGCACATTGGCAACCTACTTGCGTAAATCAGCGCCAACATCGGGCTCGGAAGACAAGCAATGGTAGAGGCGGTGCCGAGGACCTGCACAAAGTACCACAGCCAGGCCTGGCCAGGAGTCAGGGCCCCACGCGCAACGGGCCTGTTGCGACACCTCGCGACCTCACGATCGAACTCGCGGTCCATGATATCGTTAGCGGTGCACGCGGCGCCGCGGTGGAAAACACAGTAGACCAGCAGGATCGCGGCGCTGTACGCGAGTGTACCGGGAGACAAGGTGGGAGAGAAGACGGAACCGCCATAACCGAGACCCAGAAGGTAGGCCATGTAGACACCGTACAGGCCGCCCGGTTTTTCGATGCGTGAGAGCTCTGCATAAGGTACCCAAGACACCGGTAATCTAGACAGCACACCTCTTTTTGGGACTTGGTAAGCACGTGTGCTTTGAGCCTTGAGTTCCGAAGCGTGGCTCGTTCCATCTTGGACCATGCGCCGGTTGCGGGACGGTGGCATGTTTTTGTCAGCAACTTCGAACGAGTTCTGTGTAGGGCCAGTTTCAAAAGAAGCCTCGGAAAGCACAAAAAGCAAAATGAAACTGTGAGACGGTATTTCCAGGTCTGAGCTTCTTCTGAGCCAATTTGATTACGGGAAACAGGAGCTCTCCGAAAGGAATATATCTGCTTAGAACAGCTTCTATTTCCGTTGAATCGCTTCATCCAACGTACACCAACACCTGCATTCCCGCTGTAAAGCCATGTAACATCGAAGCAACAATGATCGCCAGCCTACAATCATGCTCCAAGCCATCGTCAGCTCCAGAAATGATATCACTTCCGCGCCTTTGGGCCGGATCGAACATGTCACACGCATTCTGAATCCCACGGCTCCACAGGCAAGAATAACGAAGGAAGACTCGACCCACAAGGCACCAGCTGACGCCCCACCAACAGCCTGAGCACTGCATTTCAGGATCAACGCGCCCTGCTCCGCCCAACCAGCCTTGGAATAGCTGCTCATGCACCCAACCATGACGGAAATCGTGCCCTATGAGAAGACTCGGCCCCTGCTTTCTAACAGACCAAGATCCACCTATAAATCAGGTGCCTTCGGGGGTCTTGGCCGATACGGGCCGATGTACTCTCGCACTGTAGTCCTGCAGTGAGACATTGCCAACCTGCAGCGAGCTATTTGCCAACCTGCAGTGAGACTCGGATATTGACAGCCTGCGGCTGGCCCGGAATCAACGAACAGGCGGTTGGTTGCCAACAATCCGCGATAGCTCCGCCTGCACGTACTAACATTACGTACTCTACACAGTCATGTTGCTACAGGACTTGCACTTGAATATCTATCTGCCTCCCTTGGCTATCCCGCCAAAGACCGAGATAGAAGAATCTCTCCAAATCTCTCCAGACCCAAGATAGCAAAGTCGTACACGAACTACCTACCTACCAACGTGCTCACCATGGCCACGCCCACCTTTATTTCCTCCCTTGCCAGCGCTCTGTCACCCGAGGCACGGATCCTGAGTGAGCAGGGCTCAGCCGAATTCAAGGACTCGCTGGCCAGATGGTCGGACTATGGCATCCGGACGCCCACGGCTATCGTCCAGCCGGCGTCCGAGAGCGATATCGTCACCGCCATTAAGGAGCTTGTATCCGCGTCCATCCCCTTCGTGCCAGCATCAGGCGGTCACAGCCCCTTTTCGACTGTCGGCAAGGACGGTTTTATCATCGACCTAAGTCGCTTCAAGGGCGTCGAAGTGGACGAGGCCAATGGCCTCGCAACGATCAAGGGGGGCACACTGGCAAAGCAAGTTCAGACAGCATTGCACCCCTATAAGCGCTTCGCAGGTATGTGCGGAACTCAGCATCGCTCCCATTATGACTTCTCAAAATGCTGGAAGCTCACAAAGCACCTGTTCAGCGGTTGGAAGCAGTTCCACAGTCGGTTTGATCCCATACTATATTGGGGGCGGTGTCAGCAGCTACACACCGTTCTATGGCTATGCATGCGAGAATATCGTCGCCGCCAAGCTCGTTACCGCAAAAGGGGAGCTGCTCTCAGTTTCTGAGACTGAGAATCCCGAGCTTCTCTGGGGAATTCGCGGTGCCGGGCAGTTCCTCGGCATAGTAACCCAGATCACCATCAGGACCTTGCCATACTCAACCATGGGGAACGAGCAGGGGCAGCGCATGGTCGGCATGTTCGCCTTCACGCCGGACAAGCTGGACGCCGTCTGTGCGGCAATGGCGCCCATCATGGAGAGTAAGGAGCATGCATCGGCTGGGCACTTTAGTGTGACCCTGGCGCCGCCCGAGTTCCAGCACCAGGTCATCCTGGCCATCCCGGAAGTGTTTGCCTCTCCCGAGAAGGCCGCCGAGATCCTTAGGCCGCTGACAGACCTGGGACCGGTTATGCAGATGCTGATGCCCTCTACATTCGACAAGCATAGCGATGCTTTTGAGTATCTCTCCGCGAAGGGCGATTTCAAGAGGTTTAGCCAGATCGGCATGACCGGTTTCAGGGTCGAAGAGTTTCGTGAGCTCGTCAAGCTCCATTCTGAGCTCGTTTCCACGTGCCCGGATGGTGCTACATCGGGTTTCACGGTGGAGTGGCACACTCCTTGCAGTCAACCGCGCGTAGACACTGCGTTTGGTAACCATGGGGTAGAGTACTGGATGTAAGTGGCCATGATCTAGTTTCTTGGCTATTCTGGTGGTGTTGACTAATATTGACTTGCCTTGCTATCAGGAACGTCCTCACTTGGTACAAAGACGCAAAGAACCATGAGTACATGGAGAGTATGGACAAGAGAGCCCAGTAAGTCTCTTATCAGAATAAGCTATTGCTCATGTTTCGTGCCTTTGGAGTCAAGAAATGCCGCTAACGTCCTAACAGGGCGGCTGTTCGTGCCGCGGACAAAGAAGCCGACTACATCACTTACACCAACACCAGTAGAGAGGATCCGATCGAGTGGCGCTACAAAGGTGAAGACAGGATCTCCAAGTTAAGGACGCTCAAGAAGCAATGGGATCCCACTGGTGTCTTCACCAAGCAATTCTTGTGATTCTCATCTTATCGCAGGACGACTTCTAAATGGCGACTTGTCCCCATTGATTCAATTCAGCACGCTCTACTCGTACAACTTGATTGGATTTTTTGTCTCATATTAGTCATAGATGTAGCTATTAGCATGTGACATATTTGATAGACTGTTGCTATTTGCAAACCGCACACCAGAGGTATCCTTCAATTATCTAGATGTTCAGGCCTTCTTCCAGTCTGAGATTCTCCACCCATATTTACCAGATATGCCATTGATATTGATGGTGACTTGTCTGATCTAAGATATCATCACGTATGCTGCCGTCCTCAAAAGACCCATCTTTTTCGCTAGCGAAGTTTTGTCTCTCCTTCTCTCACAGGTCTGAGCATTCATTCCCCTGGTTGGAGTCTCAAGCCAACAGCTTTTACCTTATGCGTACTTTGCGATCATGTCGTCTGTGGTAAAAACGTCGTACCGCACAAATCCTTCGTAATTCAAGAGTGAGTGGCTGCCGTGAGTCACCCGCAAAGTAATTTAGCAGGCCAAAACCTGCAAACTCGGGGCTTCTCTCAGCGTGCGAATTCATACGCAGATTTCCCAGCACCCACTGGCCAGAACGAGGAATAGAATTTAGCTATGTAAAATGTGGCATTAAACTTTTAAGAGAAGCTAGGGCAGCTCTAGAAGGATAGTAACTAGGTATGTGGTTTTACTTCTATTTTTATATATATCTAAGAATATATATAGTACCTTTATATAATAATAAGTACTTAAAACTTAATATTTAGAAAGAATATAATATTAATAACTATAATTATAATATAATAAATTGTGGGAATAGTAGGCTGCAGTGGATTAGCCACTGCAAGCGATAGTTGGCCCGTGCGCACGCACGGACCACCTAGCTTAGTCAGCTAGGTCTGGCCAACCCATCTGGGCGCTTCGCCGCCCAGCCAGGCAGACTTCGAACCAACACCAATACACACCACTTTCACCCAACCACTTACACGTAAGCTAAGCCAACCGACATAAATAAAATTAAAAAGTATTATTTTAATAGAAATATTAATTATAAATAATAATAGTTTATAAATTAATTTTATTAAGAAAGTTATATAATAAAATTAAATTTTTAAGAGATATTATAATATAAATAAATTATATTAAAGGAATTTTAATTAAAGATTATCCCTTTAAATATATATTAATATATATATATATATTAATAAAAATATTATTAAATAAATTTATAAAGTTTAATATTATAACTTTTACTTAAGTATATAACTATTAACTTTAAAAGAATTTAAATTAAAAATTAATTTATAATATATTATTTTAAAACTTTAATAATAAAATATTAAAAATAAAAATTTATAATAAACTTATTCTTCTTTAAGTTTATAATTTTATTATTAATAATTATTAATTTTTAATAATATAAAAATATAAAAATAAGAATTTAAAGTTTCTTTATAAAAAAACTATAAAAATTTATATATAATTATTAAAAACTTTATATATAAGCTTTAAACTAAGGAAGGAATAAGTAGTTATATAGTATAAAAAAATATAGTATAGCTAAAGCTAGGAACTAAATATATTATAAGTAATATTAGGAAAGACGGTAAGGGAATGTGAACTAATAATAGCTACACCGCCTATAGTTCACCTTAACACTATATATAGCTTATAATAAAGGAAATAATAGAAGCCTATATATATTAATTACTATACTATAAAGTAATTTTCTTAGGTGGTTTTATTTTTAATCTCTATATATATAAAATATATATAGTGCCTTTATATAATAGTAAATACTTAAGATTTAATATTTAAAGAAATATAATATTAATAATAGTAGAAAGAGAATATAATATATAAGTATATAATTAAGTTTTATACTATATAAATAAGGTTAGAAGGTATTACTTTTAATAGTACTATATTAGAATTATTAATATAAGTAGTTTAAAGGTTAATAGTTAGTAAAGTAGTTATATAATAAGACTAAAATAGTTTTAAAATAGCTTTTATAAAAAAGAATTCTATAATATAAAATTTAATAAGCTAACTCTTTCCTATTAATATACTTATTATATAATTATTTAAATCTACCTTTATTAAATAAGTTAAATATATTATAATCTTTATTTTAAATATATAGTTATTAATAAAATAATAATATTATAATAATAAACTTATTTAAAAACCTTTCTATATAAATTTTATAAAAAACTAAAACCTTTTAGAAAGTTAAGTAGAGTTTATTTATTATATATTAAATAAATACTATATAAGGAAAGTAAAAGTCTAAATATTTAAAAATTAAATCTTCTTTCTTTAAATATACTACTTTATTATTAAAGATTTATCTATTTTTATATAATATATAAGAAATATAGTAAAAGAGGAAGCCTTATAAGGAAAGTTAGTAACTTTATTATATATAAATAAGTTTAAGGGTATATATTAAGTAATTATTAACTTTATACTTAAAGTATAAGCTAATAGTTAGTCTAAAAGCTAAGAAGATAATAAATAGATAAATATATAGTTGAATAAAAAATATAATGTGGCTGAAGCTAGTAATTTTCTTAATCTTAATATGGAAGTGACTAATTAAGGGGGGGGGTTCTAACTTACTTATTAGGTTCGTTTTTATTCCGTATATATTTAAAAATATAAAAGTATTAATTTAATTTATAATTTAAATAAGTAAGTTAAAGTATATTTAATAAAAAATTAATAAAAACTTATTATTATTTTAATTAAACTTTATATAAAATAAAATAAAAATATTTTTACTAAAAATTTATATATAATTATTTAATTTAATTAAACTTAAATATTTTATAAAATTTCTTTTAAATAAATAAAGATAATTTTATTATTAAAATAAAAGTTAATTTAAATTAAAAAAAGAAAAAAAAAGTTTAAATATAATTATATTTATTAAAAATAACTTAAATAAATAAAGGTATAAAATTTATTATATTAAATAATAATTTATAAAAAATATAAATATTAGTCTTTAACAATTATAACTAAAAGGGATCTACTTATATTATAGCTCCCTCTCTCCCTCTAGTAATAAAGTAGCTAGTAGGTATTCGGTAAGGGAATTGTCGGGATGTATATATACTAAAATTTAGTTAATTTGTCCAATCTTACGGTTGGCGGTATCTCCAACTCGAGTTATGCAATGTAAAGCTTTCGGCTCCAGACCCATGGACGGTTGTGGCCTGCGCCGTCCCATGCCTGCACACTAACCGTACCGTGAGGGACTGTCCGCTTAATATAGTTGACTATCACACGAAATTACTGTGGTACATAGGTAGCTCCACGAGCTATAATATAAGTCAACCAATAGGCCTACACACACCCCCACTCACATATAATCTAAATCGTCACTACTTTAATTAATATTACTTAAATATATATTTACTTTATAAAGGCTATAAAAGTTATATATATAAATAAATTTTATTATTTAATTTATTTTCTTTTTTTTATATATAATAATATAATATTTAATTTTATAAAAAAAGTTCTTTATATTATAAAGAACTATCTTAATAAATTAAATTAAAAATTTATATATAATTAATATTATATTATTTAATAATTATTATATCATTACTTTATAAAAATATTAATTTATAAAAATATTAATTTAAATTAATAAAGGTTATTATTAATATAAAAGATTTTTAATTAATTAAATCTTTATATAAAACTATTTTATTTATTTATTTACTTATACTTTCTTTTAATACTTTATAAGTTAAATTATTTATAAAATAATTCTTTAGTTAATAAATTTATATTTATTAAAGTATATTAAATAAACTATTTTTATTTAAAAATTCTTTTTAAAAATATTTAAAACTATATATATTAATTATTATTATATTAATTATACTATATTTAAAAACTTTGATAAAGTCTTTAATTAATTAAACTTTTAAATATTTAAAATATTTTATAAAGTTATTAATATTATATTAATAAAATTAACTTTTAAAAAATAATAAAAATAATAATAAAATATTTAAATTATTTTTATAAAACTTAATAATTAAAAATACTTTTAAATTTATATATAGTTTATAAAAATAAAGTATATTAATAATAATAAAAGCTTTTATTATTATTAATTATTTTTATAAAAGTTAATTTAATAATAATAGTTTTTATTAATAACTTAATTAATTTAAAACTTAATAATTTATTTATTTAAATATAAATTAAACTAATAATAAGTTTAGTTTATAATAATTAAAAATATATTTAATTTATTTACAAAGTTAAAAGAAGGAAAATAATAATAAATATTAATCTTTAATAATTATAAATTATATATAATTAATAACCTTTTATATAAATATTTCTTTTATTAAATTTAACTTTTCTTTATTAATATATATATTATATATATTATAACTATTTAATATTAAATTATTTCTATATTTAAAATAAAGGTATTATTAAAACTTTAATTTATTAACTTAAATATATAATATAAAAACTTCTAAAGAGCTTTTCTTTATATTTATTAAAAGTTTAAAAGAGTACCTTTATAAAAGTATATATAGTTAAAATATAATATACTATAAAAATTTAATTATATATTTTTAAATAAAAGTTAGTTATAATAATAATAATAATCTTTTATCTTTTTATTAAATATATTAAATTAAAGTTAATTTATATAAATTTAATATAATTTATAAATTATTTAAAATCTTCTTTTAAAAAAACTTAATAAAACTTTAATAAGTTAATTATATATATAATTATTATTAAAATTAAATAAAATATTTTTATTAATACTTTTAAAATTAATAATTAAAAATATAGAAAAATTATTTTAAATTAAAATAAAATATTTATTAATATTATAAATTAATTCTATTTTTTAATTTTATTATTAAACTAAAAGTAAATAATTAGAATCTTAAAGAAATAAAACATAATATATTTTTAAAAATTAATTTAATTAAGTTTACTATATAAAACTTTTATAATAACTTTATAATTATTTATAACGCCTTTTATTATTAAAAGATACCTTCTTATACTAGTATATTAAGCTATATTTAATTAGTTTAAATTAATACTATTAGTTTATTAAAGGTTAAAGTTATTATAAACTATAAGCTACTTAGTTTAATACCGGTAAGTATTATATATAAGTATTAAATTCACTATATAACTTAAGCTATATATAAATATAAGTTAATTAAAATAAGTAAAAATAAAGTTACTATTCCCTTAACTAAGGATATATATATAGGTTCTAGCTTTACTTTATAAATAAATACCTATTAAATAAAACTACTTAAAAGTAGTTACTTAACCTACCACACTATTAAATTAAAAGATAATTAAGTAAGGTAATTATACTTTATTATTACTTTAAGTTTATAGTTTTAATAGTTTATAAATAGAAGAAGAAATAATTATTAATAATTAAATTTATAACTATATAAAGGTAGACCTTTACTTTAAAGAGAAGTTATTAATATTTAAAATAGTTAATATAATTTTAAAGAAGTTAAGGGATCATAAGCTTAATTTAAAGGAAATTAAGATTTATAAAAATTTTAAACTTAAGCTTAAAGGTTTTAATTTACTATTAATATTTATAAAAATAAAAGCGTTTATATAGTTTAAGAGAAAGCTTAAATTAAATTAGATTAAGTTATAATAAAAGAAATTAATTAAATAAAGATTAATTAAAAATTATAATTATAAGTCTTTTAACTATATATTAAGGAGGGTTTATTAATATTATAATAATTGAAAGAAAGAGTAATAATAAAATAAAATATAATAATAGATTTATTAATAATTAATAAAAGTAGATTTAATAATAAAGATAAAAATAAATAGAATTTATATATTAAAGTTTAAGAGTTAAAAAGTATTATATTATTATTAAATTTAAAATAGCTTCTCTAATTATTAAGAAATTTAAGGTTAAAGTTAGGTAGTATTTAAATAGATACTTAAAATCTACTTATATATAAGTAGGTGTGTGTGTGGGCCTATCGGTTAACTTATTTTTTAGAGATTTTTCAACCTTCCTATAGCCCGATACTTACTTTTACCGAAACAAACGAAGTCTGGTCCCATGACGTTGCTTTTCATTAGCTTTGTTTGAAAGAAGTCTTCGTGTTTTAGTCTGCTTGTACCAAGAAGGGTTCTTTGTGATTGTCCTTTGTGATTATCCTTTGTACTCGTCTCTAAGCCTTCCAGCGTGGCTACGGGTCCACGGAGTAGTCTGGCAATACACCTGACGTCCCTGAAATGTGACGTCTAAGAAATCAAATGGAGGCCTATGGTCTAAATTATGATCAACCAAAGTCAAGTGGCAAACCTGCGCTGGGTCAGCACAGAACACCTGATCTAAATTCGGATTGCTCCCTCGCTCAATTATGGCGAGAAGTGGTCATGAAGGCTTACTTGGGGCGCTAATTAGTGAAAATTTCTGGCCTAAGATCCAGACGGAGGGCTTCCACCTTTTAAAAGACATCAGTCCTCTGTCAATTAAGACATGCAGTGAATATAGTACTGAGGCCGTTTGGCTTATGGGTTACCACTGACGCGTATTGGAGGAGATTATCCATGGCCGGAACTCAGGGCTGTGGGTTTTGTAGAGATCGAAACTATTTCTTTCAGCTTCAACCTTGAAAACAATTTGTGATAGTGATTGTGCGGTCTTTCTGGGCGTTCCTTTCTTTGTCTATATCGAGTACCATCCCTTGGGGCTGAGATGAACCGGGGATTACCATCCAAGCCCTCCAGCTACACTTGAAACAGCCGAAGGCGTTTCTGCGAATAGTGTCTATAAGGATATGATTTAGAGGATTGCCAGGAACCAAATAAGTGTCTTCGCCCAAGTCTTAGTCTTACAACATTGAAAAGGTTTCATGGTTTCATTCTTAATCGGTACTTAAGTACACTTCCAAAGGTGTCTGCAGTCTCCCCAATTGGTGATAAACACCCAAGAATTCAGTCTTGCCAAAAATACAGTGCCGACGCGAACGATATAACAGCACAAATCTTGCTGTTATAATAACTATCAGTTTCAGGTCCCGGGCACCTGTTGAATACAGACGAAACTTTAGGGCGTTAAGATCAAGGTTCATAGCTATTTTCTTCTCCTGCCAATCCAAGTCAAAAGCCCCACTGCAGTGGAGCTCTCATCTAAAAGGTAAGAATAATTGATGGTCTCCAGACACCCAAAGCCATGTGCATACTGCTAAGCAAGGTCCAGTTCCTTCTCTCAAGGTTCAGTGATCAGTCCAGTTGAGGATGTCGCTAGAAAATAACCGCTGGCTATGTAGGATGTGCAAGGAGAACAATATACGTGGTGCAGTAGAGTGCGAACGCTGCAATGAGCCGATTCGGTCTCCGGATGATTTTATCGAATTGAGTCTGGAGGAATCAGGAAAGCCGCTATGTGGGAAACAGAGCGTGGTGAGAGACATAGCGTGGTGGGAAACAGAGCGAGGTGGGCAAGTCTGACTCTAGTTATCTGAGGAGTTAGTCAAGGTTATGAATCTGACTCGGTGATCTCATGGAGATTCAAGCTATTTTCGAATTCTCACAAACACATATATATGTTACTATCTATCTAGTAGAACAACTGCTTGATTTACTTTCCCTACATATTGAAATGTTGTTTCTCAGTGACGCAGACATCCCTCATTTGACGGGTTCTGTGGTTTCCTGATCAGCTTGATCGTCAGCCAAAGCCTCTATTTTATCCAACGCGACCCGTGTCTTCTCGTCCAGGTCAGGATAATCGTCGAGTTTCCAAATAATACGAATTGTATGCACCACATCCTCGTATCCTTCTAATAGATGCCGTGCCAGGTGCCTTCTCCATGCCGTTTCGGCTTCGGGCTCGCCATGGATCTTCCGAGCACCTAGCACCAACTCAGCCCAGCGCGGAAGATAGGCCGCATGTTCCCAGTCAGTGATGCCCACCACCTTTTTGTCTTTTACTCTGATGCAACTCGATTTTAACGCGGTGTGTGTTAACGTATAGGGCTTAGATGGTCCCAGGTGTTTATACATGACGGCCAGCGCCTTTTCCGGGACGCCTTTATTTTTCAAGTGTACCGTCATGGCTTCGAATATCTCATCGTCAGACTCGTATGGGCCATGCAGGAGGGACGGCAGCTCTGGGTTACGGTCTCTGAAGAGACAGTTCCAGAGAACTGGCCCTCCTTTTATGGTTTGAACCTTGTCACTCGTGAGGCTCCGAAGTTGTTGCAAGAGATCGGCTGTTTGCTGAGCGATGTCCTTGCGGTCAGACTCAGACAGTGTCGGCCAAAGCTCTCTCAGGGTAGTTTCTGCGTCCTCGATGACCTCCTCGATCACCATGCATCGATCTCCTGGCTCCTCCCAATAGTCCAGGATCTTGGGGACAGGGATAGTTGTATTACGCCGGACAAATTCATGGGTATCAAGAACAAGTTGAAAGTCGTTCATAGCGCGATGCTTAATTCTCTCTCTTAGGATATACTTGTTGCCCAATGTCCACATGCGATCAGTGCCTCGCTCCAATACGAGTTTGACACTGCTGTTGTCTTTGCAGCATGCCTGATGGCATTGTGAGCAGCTGCAGACACTACTAGGCTCCGAGTCTTTGCTTAAATGCTGGAGGGGGTCTTCTTCTGCCGTCATGGTTGAGGATTTGGAAAAGTAACTAGATAACCTGGTTTGTGGGTTACATGGCTTGTTCGTAAATCCTATGATGGGCAGCACATTTCCGAGGATATATATGTAGGGCACACAACAAAGAAAAGGCTGAGCTTTGTTGAATCTAACGACGGATGTGGAACATGATCCTTTGATACTTAGATCCTTTTTTCCCTAACCATTGGGCTCATTATGTCATATCGAAAAACGTTGTTCTCGTCCCAAGGCCCAGTGGACAGTAGAAGTGGGCAGTGACTACATTTGCGGTGGCTAGCTTGCAAATGCGCAGGTGTATGTTGCTGTCGAGTCACTTTGGTCGGATGTTGCGGGCATGGGCCATATCCGTATTTATTACCTGCATGACTCGGAGCACGGAGGACAATCTGTACGGTTGCCGGTGTTAGGGTACCTGGGCACCTGGGCACCTGGGCACCTGGGCACCTGGGCACCTGGGCGATAAGTGCTGGGTACGTGCCCAGGCTGGGCGGGCTAATGCAAGCGCCCCTGTCTCGACCGGTATGAATCATCCTGCATCTTGACTTGACAGCACCTGACGACAACCGTCTGCACCGAGGGGCATCGTGAGAATAAAGCTGGTGTCCCAGCCGGCCCGGCCCTCCACACCACCCACAACTCGGTACATCGAGAGATCCAAGTTATACGGTGCACACGACGCAATCACAATTGGTCAAGGCCCGTCGCATTGGCAGAGCTTGGCCTCCTTTCTCACCTGGGCACGCCACCAAAGCACCTTCCTTACGTCACAGCTCAAGTGCCGCCCCCCTCGCGTTCCGACTCACCAAGTCGCCAACATGATTTCCACCACAAACCACCAAGGGCCATCGAATCGCCAAGCCACCAGGGCTGCTGATTCGACTCGCATCGTACCAAAGCCCGTCCCAAAGGCTCAGTCTGAGGACCCGAGGACGTACCAGATCAAACAGCTGCACAAGCGCTACTCGCCCAAAGAGTCAACCGTCGAAAATGGCGCCGCAACAGCCCTCCTCTTTGACCTGCTGCCTTCAGATCCAGACTTCCCCTTCGAGCTTGACCACCTAATGTGTCAGCTTCGGATCCCAAAGAACTACCCCAAGGACTCGTCTCCCCCCACACTGGCCATTCTGAACAAGGACATCCCACGTGGGTTCGCCATCAATGTCGAGAAGGGGTGGGACGAGCTGGTGCAGGAGAGGGCCGGGTCCACACTCCTGGCTCTGGTAAACGCGCTAGACAGAAATCTTGAGGAATTCTTGTCCAGGAAGCAGGTCCACACGGTCAAGCTCACCATGTTCAAGGACACAAGACATCTTGAAGACTCGGGTGCAGGTGCTCAGGAATCATCACCGGACAAGGCACCAGCTCAACTTTCCGAACCCACAGAGAACAAAGTTGCTCACGTTCCATACACCCCAGAGGAGACTTTCAACAAGGATCAGAAGGCCGAGGCCAAGGCAAGAAGAGCACTCGAGACCAGACAGATCGAGACCCGGATGGGGCGTCTTCCCCACTACAAGAGGTCGAGCGATGGTGTCGTTTATACGCTGCCTTTGGAGCCAAAACGGAGGAATGAGCTGCCTGTTGGCCTGCGGGGCGTCAACTCTTTTCAGCTCATCGTCCCGGTCTTGTACCCGCTGCAGCCGCTTCGCATCCTGCTCAATGATGTTGAGTCCGAGGATGCCGAGGACGTGGAGGAGCTGTTCACCGAAAAGGCTAAGGAGAAGGCTGAGATGACACTCATGAGTCACATGAACTACTTGACGCAGAATCTTCATGCACTGGTCAAGCAGGCTCTGACAAGGAAGAAGGATGCCATTCCCGCCGCGCACATCTCGAAATCGACAAGTGCAGACGCCACCGTTCCGGAGCTTACCAAGCCTTCGACCGTTCTCGAGAGCAAGGGGAATGTTCAGGTAATTCCTCGACCGCCAGAATGGGATTACCAAGCCGAAGGGAAAGGCAGTGGTGAGGACTCATATGAGTCCACAACCTCCGAGGATGAAGATGGCGGCGTGGCTGTGACCACCCAACCCGGAGCCTCCGGGATCCCAGCCCAGACAATCGAACGAGGCACGTCGATATCATTCCCATCCATAGAGCTCCTCGGTATCGAGCTATTCCAAATCTCCGTCCTCGCCCTCAGCGTAAAGTGCCAGCGCTGCAAGACTGTCTGCGAGATTGGCGGGCTGAGACCAAACACCCCAAAGGCCACCGAGTCCTGCCGCAAATGCGGCACCTCGTTCTCACTTACCTTTCGCCCGGAGCTCGTACACGCCTACTCTTCAAGGGCCGGTTTCATCGACGCCACCGGCTGCACCGTCGCAGACATGCTCCCATCGACCTTCGTGCCGACATGTGCTAAGTGCTCAACGCCGACGACGCAAGGCCTGGTCGCAGTCCGCGGCGACACGATGACGAACGTGTGCCGGGAGTGCCACTCGCGCTTCACCTTCAAGATCCCCGAGGTCAAGTTCCTCGTCTACTCGGCGGGCACGTCCGCCCTGCCGCCGACGTTGGGCCCACGCCGCCGCGACGAGAAGCTGGGCCTCCACGCGGGCGAGCCCCTCCCCAACAAGGGCGTGTGTAAGCACTACAGGAAGAGCTACCGCTGGTTCAGGTTCAGCTGCTGCCAGAAGGTCCACTCCTGCGACAAGTGCCACGACGACGCCGAGGACCACCCCAACGAGTGGGCGAATCGAATGATCTGCGGCCACTGCTCGCGCGAGCAGAATTACAAGCCTGGGAACTGTAACTTCTGCGGGAGGAACTTGGTTTCCAAGATCGGCACGGGCTTCTGGGAGGGTGGCAAGGGGACGAGGGACAGGGTATTCATGAGCCGCAAGGACCCTAGGAAAAAGAGACGGCCTCATGTCAAGAAGGATTGAGATGGTTCTGGGCATGGGTCGATACCGAGAGCAAGTCTGTAAATGCTCGTTATTACTGGTCTTAACTCACGCTCCTGGCCCATCAAATTTGTCCGTCAATGTCCAGCCGTCCCACGAATGTGCATCTATATTGCCCTACGCATCATTCATATACTCTCATATGGGTAAACCCTGCCTCATCTTCACAGGCCCAACGGCAGCGGCTGACATGCTACAAGCCTTGTCATTACACAGGATGATCTCGTGGACCCGCCCGTAGAGCCGGTGCCACGGGAGCAAAGCCCCCACGTGGTGATGTGGTAATTGTCAGGACGATTCCTTACCTAGGTAATGTTTGCGAGTAGACCCAACCCCATCCTCCAAGTCAGGCGCGGGAGCAGGGCGTGACGATAAGAGGCGCGCCCATAGAGCACTTGAACATACAATGACATTGGTTTGAACAATATGAGCGTGATGAATCTCGTCTCAGCGAGTCTGAGCACCCACGTAGGTGGTTTGGGTATTTGATAGTAAAGAGAGCCATCTTAGAGACAAGACTTGCTAATAAGTCCAAAGGTTTCAAGAAGGTATAGACATAAACAGGGAAATTCAGCAAGGGCATTTATACACAGATGAAACGTCTGAACTGGCCCGCGGATCCGCCTAGCGGGCCCTACACGCAGCAGTATCGACAGCCACCACCTTTGCCGGCTCATTCCCGGATCCGGTCACCACAAAAGCCGTGGTCCTGCTAACGCTGCCACGTCCAAACGCCACAGAGGACGCACCTGCCACTGTGGGGGCGTCGACCGCACCGAGCGCCACGACCGGCGCGTTGAACTGCGCCCTCGCCGCACCTGCTGCTGTCCCGTTCGCGGCGGCGGTCGGCTGCAGCGCCAGCAGTGTGTTGCCCGTGTTGGTGGTCACCCACAGGCTACCATCATCCCGGACGTCGAGGTCGTCCATCCAGCTGGCGGACGGAACGGCAGCGATGGTCTCGACGACGGCCCCCGGCAATGGCCCGCTGCCGTCGGCCTGGATGGCGATGCGGTAGACGGTGCGCGACGCGGCCGTGGTGAAGTACAGCGCCCCGCCGTGGACCTTCATGCCGTTGAGCCCGAGGGCGTCGTCGACGCTGCCCGCGCCGGGAACGGGCTTCATCTCGGGCACGTCGACCGCCGTCGTCACGGCGCCCGTGGCCGTGTCCAGCCGGAACGCGACCCCGAGCTGGCTGTCGCCGACCAGCATCGCCGACGTCCCGGGCACGGCGGCCAGGCCGTTGAGGCGCGGCGCCATCGGCATGTCGGCGATCTTGCGGGCCGTGACCTCGAGCGGCAGGGCGGGGGGGCAGGCCGGGTCCGGGCTGAGGCCCTGCTTGTTGGGCGCCGCACGCACGGCGGACCCGCTCGCGCGCAGGTCCAGCTCCCACACCGAGTTGCTGCCCAGCACGCCGTTGGCCGGGTTGCCGCTGAGGCTGATGTTGCCGGCTATCACGGCGAAAACGTCCGGCTGCGTCGCGACCTCCGCGATGCCGTGCGTCCCGTTGTTCCCCGGGACCTGGAAGACTGGGACCATGGTTGGGCACGAGGACATGGGATTCTGGACGGTGAAGACGTTGCCCTGCGGGACTGCCATCGTCATGAGAATGTCCCCGTTGGGCCGGGAGGCGATGTTCTCCAGGAAGGTAGCATCGTTGCCGGGCCCGAACTGGAATATCGTGCGGGACTGGAGGGGCAGGCTTGGGTCGTTCTGGTTGAGGCAGGAAGAGATCGGTCCTGCAGGGCCCTGAGCAGAGGCCGAGATGGGCAGAAGGGCGCTGGCTAGGAGCCAGGTGAGCCTCCGTGTTTGAAGTAGGCCTGTATTTGACATTGTGTATGGAAACTGCTGATCTCAGATCATCCGGCGTAAGAGAATGACGAGTGCTCAGTTCGTACGAGGCCGGCTCGCAATGGCCATGGAAAGAGTGGCTGGTAGTGGAAGATGGGAGGAAGTAAAAGATAACATACTGTCGACGATGCACCGTGAGCAATGCAGGGGGCAAACGAGTTTATCGTGGGCGTATCATGTAGGAGTATCAGGATATTCTGTGAGCGCAGATAGTCTTCGTCGCATGTTTCTTTATTGTTTCATGCCTTACCCGTTCGGATCGGGGTCCTCCGCACGGCTTGGGCTTGTGCCGGCATTGTGGTTGGACCCCGAGATTGGGTAGCTGGGCCAGTAATTGCATGATATCCCAAGGTTCTCAAGCTGTCACGATAAACCGCGAGGTTCCGCGAATCTGATCCGAACCCGATAAATCATCTCGTCGCAGAAGACCCATGCGTCGATGTAGCCCAAAAGTTGACAACGCACTGGCTCGGTATTTTCCCTATTGTCGACTTCCAACTCCGGTAGATACCTACATCCCGGACCCGGAGGTCTTGGGAAACGAAACACAACGCACTGACTCACATATTACACCTTATATGAACTTCATGCCTTGTTAGTGTCAATCAAAAGTCACGTCAAGGGGATGATCTGCCATCATGGAAAAATGCCGGGCTGATGTAACAGCTGAGACATGGAGTGCGCTGTCTAAGCCCGAACTATCAACCAAGGAGCAAGCGATAGCGTGGTAGCATCGACACGGTATCATTGTGTCGGCAGACCTTGCAAATACTCGTGGCTCTGGAAACATGTACCTGATCCAGACATCCTATGCAAATTTCAAGCTCTAACGTAGTCGGCCCGCATCGACTTAAGCCTGCACAGGTGAACAAGACCAGCGTACCTTACTGGTGAGGTGTCTTGTCATGGAAGGGTGCTGTCAGGGATCAATGCCACAGCCTCACCAGAGCACCTGAATAGCTTCGGTCTAGCAGCTCATGCGCATCTCCCACTCTAGCCCTCGGTCTAGCCCTCGGTCAACAGTTTGAGAAGAGCTAAAGAATATATAAAGGAGACGACAGAACCAACGAAGAAAGGAGGGAGGCAACGACCAGTAGCTCAATACACACGAATAGACTACTATTACGCCGCGTGCACTCGTCCACTCTGCTCGCAATCCAACCACCTGACAAGTGCTTCATCAGAGTAGGTAGTATATTTGTACAAATTTACACTTTGAACAGAATTGCTGTACACGTTGATTTCCACTCTTTCTTAGAGCGAACAGGCTCGCCTCAACTCGCATCGTTCTCTCCCCAGGGAGACACAGCCACCTCGAGACCGAGAACTCCGCTGCCGTACCCATCTATCCCATGTTCCATAATAGAAACTGTAGCGTTCCTAAGACCATCACTTAGTTCTTTTCCTGTCCTCAAGGCCCTTCACAATAGAAAAGGCTTTGGCGGTCTCTCGTATACTCTGAATCAGCAAATATGACGGGTAGATGATCCAAATCATGTTGAGAAACACGTAGTATCCATAAAAATAGTACGCTTCCGGTCGCGAGTATTCAATTCCTTTCCGCAGAAACTCCATGGTGCTCGTACCAAAGTAAAGAATGTCGCCGTATATCTGTCCCAAGCTGATGATAGTCTGAAGCGAGTGTCGGAGCGGGTGGTTATTGATAATAGACCACGCGCAGAAGAATGACAGAGGACCCCAGAAGACTGCAGTAATTGTCTCCATGCAGACCACGAATGTATCTGAGGTCAGGTATCGCGAATCGGACAGGGAGTATTCCTTCCAGGCTTGGGCGAGAGTAGTGGTCATATTCGCGAGGTCATGGTGATGATACGCGAAGTATCCTGGGGTTTACTTGTCAATTGCGAGACGAAAACGAGGGACAATGAGTAAAAATATGCAGACCTTCCAGGCCTAAGTGGATGAATCCGCAAAGAACAAACCACAGTGCCGCAATCGCGTCGGGTTGGGAGATTGGGTGTCTTCGAGTACAAACGTAGGCGCCAGTAGGAACGAGAATGCTCAAACACGTGAGGGAAAACTTTGTGAGTATCTCTAGTGTTGACATACTCGGGGCAACATATCCCGGTATGACCACTCCCAAGGGGTAGTAAGGGTGCAAAGAGGCTATGGTCCCGTTGCTCATGATGGGTCTTATGACGGCTTTGGTGGCAGTGGGAACCCTGGGAATTAATGAAGGAAGCAAGAATTGCTGGGATCACTCCACAAGAACTCAAGTATTTTCGGACAAATCTAGATACTGACGTGTAGTATGGCAGAGGTGATAAGGAGCCAGACTATGGACAGGCGCCGACTGCGACTTATCTACTCATCGGTCGACCCTTCGCAGCTTTGGTGGTCCGACTGTGCGAGCAGGAGATCCGGCTCCGGCTTGGCGTACTAAATAAGCCAAGGCTAAACCTAGGCCCCACCTGATTTTATTGCAGTATGACATGTACTGTATTCTCTTTCCACTGTTATTGGCACTGTATTTCTTCAAACGCTGGGTCTTGAGCGTTGACCACTGTATGAAGGCGCCACGTACGTTTTACATGTATGGGGATTAAAAACGAAACACCCAAACCACCTGAATAAAAAATACAATGTGGCCAAAGCCTTTGTTTTCTATAAATTTTATCGACTTCTAAGTTAATTTGTGGGACATTACTTGGGTTTCAGAGCATTAACGCTCACATATTGTAACAGGTTCAGATAGCCCGTGTGGTTTCTGTGATGAAGCGAAGTGAGAAACAAAAGAACCCCCATCGTGTTGGTGAACAACCACATCTGAACAGGCCAGGACAATTTGGAGCACTGAGGTTAACGGCTGAGCGAAACAGTAATCCCTCTTTCAATTCTCGAAAGCAAAGTAATGCATGTGTTGTAACAGTGAGTGATTCGAAGGTAGGCTTTTTCACGTTGTCCGTTGTCCATCCAAGGGTGTTTGAATGTCGAAGATGTCGATGGTGTCGATCGGTCCTCTTCTCGTGTCGCTACACTTAGTTGATGATTTCTCGCAGCTGGGGTGTATAAATGGGTTCTTTTCAATCTGGGTGCTCGACTTGGCTTCTTTGTAAATCCCCGTGCTATATTCCCCAAACATCTTGGTAAAAGTATTTAAACGTAGGGGGTATCTAGGCTCTTTGGTTCTCAGTCTGCAATCGCTCTTGGGACCGGACCCAGCCGAGAAAAGAGAACAACTCTCATGTTTTTGAACATGTTCCAAAGCCTGGAAAGTATCATGATGTGGGATGGATCTTGGAATAGCGGCATACCTTACAAGCAGGCATTTTACTAGTTTCGCTTCCATTTCGCATACGTCCGAGGACATCTATGGCTCCTTCATACGATGGTACTTAAATACTCTAATCTAACTAAGACCATCCAATACACATGCGCAGCGTGAACAACGCAGCAGGAGGAATGCGGAAAGGACTGTTCCGAGATGAATGTGGGCATTTCCATTATCTCCTCCGCTAACATGTCATCCTCGCAGGAAACTTGCTCAATCTGCGTGACCGAAGCACTTAGGGTGGAGGCAATTCTCTGGCCAAGACCACAAGCGTCCAATCGTGGGTAGTGTTAGTGCGCGAAGGATTCCGTAGGATGTTGGCAGTACTTTGTTCATATTCTCCTTTGAAAGACCTTGTAATTTGCAGCCTTGTATTGAGAAAGATCTTTCCCACTCGAAAATATGGTCTGGGTATTTATACATCGTGCCTGTGCCGCAGTGTAAGGCTAGGTTGGGACAAGCATCAACCTTGAGCAGGCTTGTAATCTTTTGTGTAGGTCAACAACAAAAGTCACATTATCTCAGTTCAAGACAGTGGCCTCTTTATGAAAAAGCTTGGGACAAAGTGCCTTTCAAATCCGAGAATGCGTCCTGGAAACCTTTTTGTCAGAGGCGTCACGAGCTTGTTGGCTCTGGCCGACTTGGCCATCTCTACCTCAGCCCCGAAGCATAGAGAGGGTATGTTGGAATAAACCTTTGAAAAGTTAAGGGGCTAATACTGAGGTCCAGAAACGGCCGCACCGCGTCTCAAGAACTGGGGCGTCGTGCTCTTTCGCGCTTTCGACGGCCAAGACATTTTCGGTCCCCTAGACGCATTACAACTACTAGCCTTCCAGCGCCAGATGAACCTCTACCTCATCGCTGAGACCTTGGACCCGGTCACATCCGAGCCTGCTTCCGCCGCGATGAACTCAAAGAACTCAAGTTTCTGGCCGATCATCCTCCCGACTCACACCTTTGCCAATGCTCCGGAGCTGGATGTCCTTTTCGTGCCGGGCGGTGCCGGTGTCAGGGCGCCGGACGTGAAGAACATCACAGACTTCATCGCCGACCAGTATCCAAGTCTCGAGTACCTCATTACCGTCTGTACGGGCGCTGGTCTTGCTGCCAAGTCTGGCGTGCTAGATGGCAGGCGGGCTACCACGAACAAATCGGCATGGTCTACTGTGACTGCATGGGGCCCCAACGTGGACTGGGTCCGTCAGGCTCGATGGGTTGTCGACGGTAATATTTGGTCTTCAGCCGGTGTAAGTACACGTGAAAAAGAATGTCTAAGAATTAAACCTTCAACTGACTTTATTCCAGGTTACGGCTGGATTGGATCTGACTTTTGCATTCTTGACCGAGATGTTCGGGTATGAGCAATCGAATCGCATCGCGACGCTGATGGAGTATATTCCAAACACGGACTCGAGCAACGATCCTTTTGGGGTCGCCTTTGGTCCATGAGCCTACGCGGATATTCGTAGGCAAACTTTGAATCTATAACCCCGAATCTTACTCCTACGGCCTAACTGCTGTTGATACCTAGGTAGGCAAGACAGCGTAACTACCTAAGTACTAGTAGTATCCGCTCATTAAGGTCAACTCCATGATCCCTTGCAGCCAACAGGAGGATTTATCAAGGGCTTTGGAAAAGTGGCCTGCCTCAACAAGCCGAAAATCAGCAATATAGACTTGGTTACTTATTCGTCGTAACGCTCTGGCCATAGTGCAAAGTGCACGCCGGAAACGTGCAGTCCGTCGTGTGGAGGAGTTCAGAGTTTATCAACTTGCAACTATCGCAAGTCGAGTCTAGCTTTAAAGCCATATGCTTGTAACTTCAATTCGGATTTTGCAACTCAAATCTTTCGCTTCGCAGTGGCTACTTACCTAACTTGCTTTATCTAAAATTATAAGTATCTTGAGTCTAACTACCCATGGACTTTAATAGTTATTATTAAATACTTTTTAATTATTTATAAAATAATATTTTTTATAGTTTTTTTTAAAGTATTATACTCTCTTTTATACTTTTTATAACTTAGTAATAAAGTAGAAATTATATTATATTATTATTATTATTTATTATATTATATTTTTCTATATTTTTATTAATATATAAACTATTTTTAAGTAAACTATAATTTATATATTTTAAAACTTTAAAATATATTATTAATTAATATATTAATCATTATTATTTTATTTATATAAATTATAATTATAAAATAATATTATATAATTCTTTAATAAATATTTTATATATTATTAACTTTTTTATTTAAAATTTTACTTTTAAATTATAATTATTAATTAAATAATATTACTTAATATAATAAATATATACTTTATATAATATATTTATATTAAAAAGAGTTTTAATATAATAATTAAATTAATAATTAAAAACTTTTATTTATTATATTATATTATATTATTAATTATAATTAAACTTTCTTTTATAAAGTTATTAAATTTAATAATAAATTTAATAATTAAGTTATAAATAATAAAATATAGTTTATATAATTAAAAATAAATAAATTATATTTATAATAATTATAAAACTTACTTTAAATATTAATAACTATTAATAAATTTAATAATATTTAATTAATTATTATAATAATTTAAAATAAAAAATTAAATATAAAGTAAAGTTTTATAATATTTTTAAATAAATAATTTTTATTTATTTTTAAATTAAAAACTTAAATAATAAAAGTTAAATTATAAATATATTTTAAATATAACCTCTTTAAGTAGAAAGTTAATAATTTTCTAGTTAATTTTTATTTAATTATTTTATTATATTATAATTTAATTTAATTTTTAACTTTATTTAAACTTTTTTTTAAGTTTTTTAACTTTTTTATTTTTAAAAAAGTTAAAGCTTTATAAAGCTAATATCCACTCACCTAATAATTATATCTACTCACCTAGTTTTTTTTAACTACTTACCTAATATAAAAATTTATATATAGGGCCTATATAAAACTATATATCTAATTAGGATTCTCTAAATTTTCAATACTTTTAATATAAGCCCCTTTTATACGCCTTTTAGTACACCTTTTAGCACGCCTTCTAACATACCTTTTAAGCTACACACATTTAGGTACCAACTAAGCATTTAAATACCAACTAAATACTAAAAGGCTAAAAGTTTAGAGTACTAAAGGGCTAGAAGGGGTACTAAAAGGCTAGAAAAAGTATAGTCTTTACTTTTACCTTTTTAACTTCCAGCCTTTTAGTATTTAATTAATATCTAAATACTTAGTTAGTACCTAAATATATATAAACTAAATAGTAAAGGTAAAGATAAAAATAAAGGTAAAGGTAAAGGTAAAGGTAAAGGTATAGGGGCGCTAAAAGGGGTACTAAAAGGGGTACTAAAAGGGGCTTATACTAAAAATATTAAAAATTAAAGAAGGAAATTATACTATAAGGTCTTTTAATATTAACTTAAAAAGTACTTATAAATATAAAGAAGTTACTTAAAAAAATTAATATTAAATAAATAGTTAATAGGAATTAAATAAGTAGATATAATTATTAGATAAATAGATATTAGCTTAGCTTTATATTCTTTAAGTTTAAGTTTAAAATTTTTATAAATTTTAATTTATTTTAAATTAAATTTATAATCTTTTAATTTTTAAAAATATATTAACTATTTTAAATAATAATAAAGTTTCTTTAAAGTAGAGATCTACCTTTATATAATTATAAATTTGATTATTAATAATTATTTTTCTTTTATTTATAAGCTATTAAAATTATAAATCTAACTAATAAAGTATAGTTACTTTACTTAAAAGCTATCTCTTAATTTAATAAGTTAAATAATTACTTTTAAGTAGTTTTATTTATAAAGTTAATAAATAAGTATTTACTTAAATAGAGTTAAAACCTATATATATTTCTAATTAAAAGAATAATAGCTTTATTTTCACCTTATTTTAACTAACTTATATTTAAGTTATATAGTAAATTTAATATTTATATATAATACTTATTAATATTAAATTAAGTAGTTTATAATTTATAATAACTTTAACTTTTAATAAACTAATTTAAATTAAAGTTAATAATATTAATTTAAACTAATTAAATATAACTTAATATATTAATATAGGAATATATTTTCTAATAATAAATAGTATTATAAATATAAATTATAAAGTTATTATAAAAGTTCTATATAATAAATTTAATTAAATTAATTTTTAAAAGATATATTATATTTTATTCCTTTAAAACTTTAATTATTTACTTTTAGTTTAATAATAAAATTAAAAATATATAAATAGTTTAGTTTATATTTTAAATATAATTAAAATAATATTTTATTTTATAATATTTATAATAAAAGAATTTAATAATTATTATATATTAAATAGTATTAAAAGGAGATATAATTATTCTTTTATTTTAAGTAAAATATTATATTAAAAGTTTTAAAAGCTTAAATTATTATTATAATAGTTATTATTTTAATAGCTATTAATAATAACTTTAAATATAACTTATATAAATAAGTATCTCTTTTTTAAAAACTTTATTAATAATTTATTCTTTTATTTTTATTTAATTAATATTTAAAAATAACTTTTTTATTTTTAATTTATTATAAGTAAATAATTAATTATAAAAGTTAAAAATAAAAACTTTTAACTTTAAATATAAATTTTACTTTTATTATATATAATAAATAGTTATAAAACTTATAATAATTAATTAAAAATAAAATTATAAAATATTTTAATAACTTAAAATATTTTTATTTAAAAAGAATAAAGAAGATAAATTAATATTTAAAGATTCTATTTTATTTTTAAATAAATATAAAAACTTTAAAGTATAAAAACTATTAAAAATAACTTTTTAATATTTATTTATTTAATTAAAAATTTAATTAAATAATAATAAAATTAAATAAACTTAACTTTACTTTACTTTATTTAAATTATTAAAATAATTTAAATAATAATTTTAATAAATAATATATTTATTTAATAATTTATTTAAATAACTATTAAAAATAATAACTTAAAATAAAATTTATTAATTTTTAATTAATTAATATAAAAATATAATTTATTATACTTTAAAGATTATTAATAAAATAAAATATATCTATTTAGAATAATATTATTTAATTTAAATATAAAAGTATTTAAATAAATAAAAGTATTAATAAAGAATAATAAAATAATATTACTTATTATTTAATAAACTATTTAAATAATAATATTATTATAACTTTAAAAGTTAATTATATAAATATAAATATAAAAGGTTAAAGTATTAATATTTTATTTAATTATTTATTAGAAATAAATACCTTAAAATAGTTTTAAAAAATATAATTAATAAATAATAAATTAAAATAAAAATTTATAAACTTTTAAAAAACTTAAAAATATAATATATAATAATATTAAAAGAATTATTATAAAAGTTAAATATTAATATTTATATAAAATAAATTTATAAATTTATTTAATTTATTTAATAATTATAAACTGGGCAATGTTAAATACCTGAACCCTGCCCATCCAGCGAGGCACAGTCGACAAAATCACCTTCACCTCACCTCCCTTCCCTCTGTTCCAAGGTTGTGAACAACCCCATCCACCCGCAAGGCGGACTATCCAAAGACTGAAACAGGCTTGCTCTGCGAATAAACGTTCAGTCTATTGTGGCGTCGACAGACCAAATCGCTGCTATCTCATCTTCAACATGGAAGGCGACTCTGCCTCGGATCTGCAAGTCAATAGATTCCACCCACTTGCAGTTGACAATGGCGAGGATCTTGAACGGTACGAGCCCAGGGGATTTCATCCTGTCCATCTCGACGATTACTATGATAACCACCGCTACCGAGTGGTCCACAAGCTTGGAGCTGGCGGCTTCTCGACAGTGTGGCTCGCTCAAGATGTGCCGGACCAGCGATGGGTGGGGCTGAAGTTCATTGTTGCGGATGAGTCTGGGAACTACCACAACCGCTCGTCTGCTATCATTGCAGATCCCATACTTGCCAGCTCTGAGTTTCTCGTGAGTCCAGAGCGAGAATTCTGGGTTGATGGCCCCAACGGACGTCACCTGTGTTTTGTGCTGCCCTTCGTCGGACCAAACCTTGGGACTCTGTCTACTGGGATTTATTCCAGAATATCACCTCGTTTTGCTGCAAATCTTTCCATGCAAGCAGCACAAGCTATGGCACTTCTTCACAGTCGGGAGCGCTGCCACGGAGGTAAGTGTCAACGCCTATCCCATACGTAACAGCTACGTGCAAATTTGTTTCAAGTTACTGATTGATTCGATAGACTTCACTGCCAACAACCTTTCTCTGGCGCTATCTGAGGAGTTTGTATTGCACGGGATTGAAGATATTTATCGGACGTTTGGGAATCCAAAGTCTTGGCCCCTTTGTCTCGCTGATCCGGATGACCCAGGCCCGGGTCTACACGCGCCACGATATTTTGTCGAAGCATTGGACATCTTTGCTTGCAGCAAGAACATACTCGCCAAGCAGATTCGCGTTCTCGATTTTGATCAAAGTTTTCAATGCGACAGCCCGCCCGAACGGACAGGCACGCCGGCGAAATACATGGCCCCGGAAGTCACCGCTGGCCGGCCACCCAGCAAAGCTTCGGATGTTTGGTCACTGGGATGCACCATTTTCCGGCTGCGGGCGGGCAAGGATATTTTCTTCGACTACAACACCACCACCCCCGCGGCAACCTTGCAGCAGATCCAAAAGTTCCTAGGCGATCTTCCAGAGAGCCTGGCGCGGGCGCTTTTCGATGATGATGGCTACCCAACCGAGGACGAGACCGGCGAGCCGCTTACTTATTTCTTGGACAAGACTGATCTGAGAGCTGAGATCAAGAAGATCTGGGACGAGCCCCCATCGCTGTCGATGCGAAGCGATGGTGAGATTGACACCAAGGTGTACACGGATCCCTATAACCCTGAACACTCTATATTTTCGGAAGAGGCCGAGAGAGTTACCCCGTACCCATCTGCGTATCGATCCATGTTTTGGAAACCTACAGCAGTTTCCGTGGATGGGGATCACTATATATTTTATGAAGACGCGGACAGCCCATTTTGGGGTGCGTTTCCTCTCATCACAGACAACGAGGCGGACTTGCTTGGGGATCTTTTGTCACAGATCTTCGTCTATGACCCTTCCGCGCGACCAAATATTGAAGAAATCGTGGAGCATCCCTGGTTCAAGCAGTATGGCGTGTGGTCGGAGGAAGAAATTGAATTTTGATGGTAGAGCCTTGCCCTTACCATAATAAGTGGAAACATTCCATCCCGGGAAGCCACCTGGCAGTTGATAGCTCTGTGATTGGTATGGGCCAAGTTTCAGCCGGCTCGGAAATCCAAGTCATCCAAGATGCTCTGATCAGTGCTCTCAGGGTTATAAATACGCCTTGCCCGTACAAGCAAGGCAAGTCAGTACTTCGATTGGTGACAAAATAATGAGACCGAAACTCGCGAATAGTACGGAACCGTGATCGATTCCTAGTTGATGACATTCTCACCATGATGGGTATCCCGTCGGCATTTCTCCTACTTCCACCTTTATGCACTACCACCCTAGCCATTTTAGTATATTGTTAAACATAGTAAATTAATTAATTAATTAAATAATAATAATATATATTTATTAATTAATAGTTAAAGTTATAATCTTTATTAATAAATGTTATAAGAGGGGAAATAGAGATAAGGTAATTGTCCTTAATACGTTAATTTAGATTAAGATAGTGCTACCTTCTATGTAAGGGGAAAGGTTTGAAGGGATTGTAGGGGGAAGGTTTAGGTCTTAAAGGGTGTGAGCGAATGGGCTATACTGGATGACTAAGCAGCAGGCAGCCAGTGGGGCCCCTAGTCACCCATACACACACACTTATAATAAAATTAATAATAACTTTTAAATAATTATAAAAGTTTATAAAAGTTTAAATATTTAATTAAATAAATATTTCTCTATTATTTTTTATTTATTTTTAAATTATTTATTTAATTTCTTAAATAATATTATTATAAGTAATTTATAAAAATAATTTTAATTTTTTATAATAAATTTTTAAAGTATTTTTATATTTAAAAATTACTTTATATTTAAACTTTAATTTTAAGAATAATTTAAATATTATAATTTATTTATTTTAAAAATAAATTAATTTATTAAATAAAGATAATAATAAAATATTAAATTAAAATTATTAATTAATAAAAATTTAAATATTTTTAAAAGTAAAGTTTATTATTTATATTTAAATAATATAATAATTCTTTCTTTTTATTTTTATTAAAGATTTTAATAATAAATATCTAAGTATTTTTATAAACTTTTAAATTTAAATCTTAATATATATTTTTATTATATTTTAATTCTATTAAATTTAAATTAATATTAAATATATTAAATAATTAAAATAAGGATTTATTTTTAATTAAAATTCTTTTTAATTTTAAAGCATAAATTATTTATAAATAAGTTTCTTAATAATACTTTATATTATTAAAGTTAATTTAAAACTTTTATCTACCCATTGGACTGATGAAATTGACTCTCGCATTGATCGAGCGTGCAACACAGCGCTACTTGTCTTCCAACATGTCGACAGAGGAAGATTAAATTACCTTATCCCAGTCCTAGATACCAATCTTAAGTAAAAATGCATCCTGTGAGGGCTTCTACTCGTGATGTATTCGCTCGGTATCAGTGTTCTGATTGCCGAGATCCCATAACTTCAAGCTGGGACGAGATTTTCAGATGCTGTCAGCTAGTGTTTTGCAGATCTAATTGTGCCAGTCAGCATGAGAGCACAGCTGATGAGTGTATCTGGTCCATCTCCAAGCCCGCCCCCAGCTGTAACGATTTATGGCGTTTCAAACAAGACACGATATACCACCTGGAGTCACCTCGAGCCACTGCTACGGATGTCCCAGAACCTCGTGCACCGGGAATCGTGTCAGCAGATCGGATCCGGTCTCAGTCTCGCGTGTTTTATTGCTCTCCACGGCCACCTTCAGCTCCCAACATAGACAGAGACAGGAGCACGAGAAGGGGACGGCGCCAGAGCCACCAGGAAGGCGGACGTCCGAGACCAGTGGTCTCATTTTACCATGTGGTTTGATATTCAAGCCATTCCCTCAAAGGCGCAGTTCTCATCTTATTGTATTTAGACCAATAGTGTTTCTGAAGATGACACGAGCTCGAAGCCACCAATACTCCAAGTGTGGACCCTGAATATATTTCCCATCCTGACCTCCCGCCACATCCATATCGAGTTTCGAAAGCATCACGCTCCGTCGGTCCTGGGGAATCCCGAGGAGGGGATGGCAGAAATTCCGCCGAGACACAGGAAACGCGAGGGCCTAACAAGCTTAATAAATGCCGTGTCGCACTTGGTCTCACTGACCAGGCGGGCGTGAACAGAAAGTTAGTCTCAGGAATGATTACACAGTTGCGGGGCGCATCGGAGGTGTCTTTGATGGCGCACGTGAATGGGAGGTTGTGCCCGATTCCTGCATTCCACTGTCCGAATGCCTACTCGTAAACGACCAACGCCGACCTCTTTCCCTGAGCCTCTACAGGGGGTCACGCATCAATCCTGTATTAGGAATCACTCTGCATTGCTTTTTTTCTGGGAAGTTGCTTGTTCGGGACATCGCCACAGGGGCATACGGTAACGCCCTTGCGGCGCACCGGGAATCAAGCACGCATTGCTAATCTATTCCCGACAGAGGCGCTGTTTGTCCTTCGAGGTACCTGGTGGATGACTTGCAGTTTGGCGGACGGGTGACGGATATGAGCTTCAAAGTCACGTCACACTTTCCCGGGCCATCATTGATGTTGGTCATCCCAATTCCAATAGCCCCGACACAAGGCTGTTGGAAATGCTGTGGCACCACAGATTCCGTGGCCCTTTTGGGTATTGTTAATCAATTGAATAAGTGCCTCTGGGAGGTGTGGTTTCGCAGAGGGGTTCAGGGCCACAGGGTCTCTTCGCTCGCTGCCGTGTCTCCCCAGGGTCGCTTGCAGGCTCGTGGCATTGGTTTGCTTTTTCCTTGGTACTCTGCTCGTGTCACGATGGCGCAGGTCAAGTGAACGAGAGCCGGCCGCTCTGTAACCCCGGGGACCGAAGGGGCAAAGGTCAAGACAGCAACAAAAAAGAAAAAAAGATCAAGTCCACCTTGACGGTGAGCAGGTAGACCCGTGGTGGGAGAATGGGCAGGTCGAGCCGCAACCGGACCCGCCTTCCAAGGCTTCCTCCTCCCCTCGGGTTGGGCGTCTTGAAGCCACCAAGTTCGTCCTGTCTCGGCGCCCTTTCCACTACGGGGTGTCCCTCCCGCCTCTTGGGTCCGGCCCAGACAGTGCGTGCACGACAAGGGCAGGACTCATGACCGGGCCCGCGAATAACAAGCTCGTCAGCTTGTGTTGCTGACGATATGCTAATTCCGGCCGTGACATGTCCTCCGATTGAGTGAGATACGGCGGAGGCCACGATCCAAGAGCGACAGGCTGCTGATCGATGATCCCTATACACAGCATACGCGTCCCCCTGTTGCATCCGCTCCCTGTCCCATGTGATAACCAGATGGTCGGGAGAGCCAGAGCGACGGGAAGAATGCGACACGGGAAGGCAAGCCTGTTCTGTCCTGGAACGAGCTCGGGACACAGATATCGTGCAGCCCTAGAGCCTCTCGAAACGGCAAGATACGAGGCAACCCCCATGACCCACGACGAGCAGCAGCACCTCAGCGTGGCCACCAGGAAGTGGCCGCCGTGGGGCACAGGTACCCCCCGGACCAAGACGGCTGAATGCATTTGCAGCATATCACGACTTTTGCCCGGCCTGCGCAGGACCCTTGATCTGTCAGCCTGTCATTCCCACACGCTTCACCGCATCAGAGGCAGAGGGCCAGGCGGAGGAACATCATTGATCGAGTCCATTAGCGCACCCTGCCTGGCGTGCTGCGCGCTGCTGCTGCTACTGCTGCTGCTGTGCAGCGTTGCTAGGGACTGCGGCCCAAAATCCGGGAATTCGGGCATCCGATATTCGAAATGCCCCCCCCCCCCCTTTTTCCCACTCATCAAAGTGCCAGTGACGCTGGTTCTTTTGATGACCCTCCCCAAGATGTGCCCCTCCCCTGCCCCCCTCCAAATCTCCATCGTCATCGCCGCTGCCGCCGCCCACCGGTCTTAATCTTCTCCATCTGTCGTGCGCCGTCGCACAAAGTAATGGGCTAAACCTGGAAGGATGATATGTTAGCGCACCTCCCGCCCAGCACCAGGCCGCCACTCGCCAGATTGTGGAGATACACGAAAAAGAGGCGGGGACGGGATCACGACCAGCGGAGGTGGGGCGGTTCTGCTCAGATCAATCAGTACCTACCTCTGCCCAGCGCGCCACAGGCCCGGTGACGGCTGCAGGGGAATCCCAATCAAGGTTGAAACCTGCATGCTCTGAGGCTGGGTCAAAAAGGAACTCTAGGGCTGGCTGACCTCGCGGCGTGGGCTGATCTCCTCTCCCAGGCGCTCACGACGGGCGCCGCCATGTTCAACGTTGCAGGCGGAGGGTGACGAGGCGCCAGCCGGTCGATCATGGACGAACGGTGGGCAGGCATAGCTTCGTCGCACGAGGGGACTGGGGGGAAAAAGAGGAAGGATACGGGCGCGGGGTCGGGACCGAGAGAAACGCTGAGTTGAGTTTAAAATCCAGAGGTCGACGATAAAAACAGGCCAAAAAGCAAATCGTCATCCACTTTTCCTGAAACAGGTACGTGGAGGTAGCACAAGCTGGGATCTCTGGCCTCGTTCGGATCAGCTGGACAGGTCGTAAAATCCTTCTAGAAGGCGCAAAACCACAATATCCTGGAGCCGGCAGGGCAGCTGGACGGGGGAACTGCTGTCAGGTTCGGATGAACGCGCGTGTGTGCAGGTCATCTGGCGGACTGCATGACTGGAACGGCCGTTGGCGTGCCCCCAATCTTGCTGCTGCTGGTGCTCCCGGCTCGAGTCTGGCTTCCAGACAGCACGACTCGGAGTTGGGATGCGTAGTGACGACGGGCCCAGACGGCACGAAGCTCTGCCGATGTATGCGGGACGCCCAGTCCCGCTGTGGTCGGCCGTGGGGGGTTCCCATCACAAGTTCCTGTGCCTCGCCTGGCCAGATGCGTAGACGAGGCGAAGGGGAGCAAGTGCCCGTCGTTTCGGCGCTGTTGGAGCCCCGTGATTTACGGATGAACTCCATC